AAGTGACACCGTCCTTTCCTTCAGTTCCCAGGCAATGTTTCCACAACTGACGGTTTCTAGTCAAATTAAAACAGATGCAACAATGACTTTATTTTCTTTATTTTCAATCGATACTGTATGAATACAAAGTTTCTAGAAAGCTACAAAAAAATCTACCACTTTATCAAGAAGGCATCAAAATGTGTCACTTTGCAAAGACATGGAACACCTGCAGTAACCGACACAAAAATAGCATTTTTAGAGTGATGAAATAATTGCACTTAACTGTCATGGATATTAAAGTTATCACACATATGTACCGCGAAAGCTAGAATACATATTTTTTACAAAGCACTTTTATAAAAAAATTCTCTGCACACAAACCCTATAATTTTCATATTACTATCATACTAAAGATAAATTCACTTTAAAGCCAACACTTAAAACATTTTTTTAAAAAACAAAGAAGGTACCAGTACCTACACACAGACAACAACAAATACAAGAATACTGTACTGCCAAAAGGTTTGATTGAAACTCATTTTGAAAACTTCAAAATATGTTAAGACAAGATTTGAAAAGTTTCATATATATTTTTATTTTTTAAAAAAGAGCTTTCCCTCCATGTCTAAGCAGGAGGTACTTTGTCATCCAAAGGCAGATTCTACAACCCCCCCACCCAAAAAAAATAACCAGCAGCAGTACAATATTAAAGTAACCACTGACCATATATGAATATGCTTAAGTCACAAACCCAGTTTATACACATTACACAAATAAACAAAGTGAGAATTCCATTAAGTCATTTACAAATGTGAACAAATGCATGTGGCAAATAAAAAAAAAATCAAAAAGAAAACTGTTTTACATAAAACGTACTGATAGTAAAGAATTAAAGGCTATTCAGGCTTTAAAAACTGTTATAAAATTCTTTTGTCTTTTTTCAGGCACATATCGTTGTTTTTTTATCCGCAGTCATGAGCCTGAAGCAGAGGCCCATTTGAAATAAAGAGAACAGAAACAAAATGCTGAACAAAAAATAGAACTTGTGTGAAAGGAGGTGACTGGGGCATATCCTCTCTGTGAACTGAGTGCACTTAAAGAGTTAACTGACAAAATGTATTTAGTTTGTTATATATATATATATGGTATCTCATTGCCAGACCAACTTCCTAAGCTAGAGATCAAGACTTCCAAACTTCTTTTATCTTTCAAATTATCCTGTCTTTCTTTTCAGGGTGCTGGCCAGAAGGAAGAAAAGGAACAGATTTAGAGAGAGAAAAATCAACCTGAGTAAGGACTGAAATGAGGACCACTTTACATGTTACTTGCTGCCCACGGTGGCTGCACTCAAACCCTTCTCCATACTGGTGATCAATGGGGCAGGGAGCGATATTTAAATCCTAAAATTGCAGAGTTGGAAAGAGCCTGAAGGGTCACCCAGTCTACTTTCCCACAATGCAGGAGTCACAGCAAAAAAATTCCCTGGCAGGTGGCCACCCAACCTCCGTTGAAGAGCCCCCAATGAATGTTTGACCATGCACTGTAGGGGCCCACAGTAGACAGGGCTTGGGGAGAGTGTCAAAGGTGTACTGCCTTGGTGTGCATTTAGAACGGCAGACATGGCAGATGCAAGGGAGTGTTAGTCTCTGTTGCATGGACTGCCAAGCAAACAGAAGAGCTTCTCAACAGCAGCCACAGACAGTGAAGGTATATTGGTCCCTAAAGAACCATATGTTGCATGACCTGTGTTGATGATGTGGGCCAATGTTAGTGCATTGCTCTGTAACTGACTTCTACTAAATTCTCAAAGACATCCCAAGTCATGGTTTGTGCTTACTATGATTTAGAGTACGGCAGGCAATCCATGGTTCTGAGCTACTTGTTTGCTTTCATTTCCCACCTCTGCGCATTCAGCTTCATAAGTTCACGCCCATTGCCAGAATGCGGCAGCTTCCGGAAGCTGAGCAATGCCCAACCTATGGTGGTCTGTTAATTCAGACATCTGAACCATAGGTAGTGGAGAATATGAATCACAAACCTCCTCTGAACCAGAGTTTTAGATGATGCTTTACTACTAGATTGAATTAACATAGCCATGCCTTGTAGACACCACACTAAACCATAGTTAATCATCTCTAATCATGGTTTGGCTTGATGTCCAAACTGAGCCATAGAGAAGGAAGAATGCCCTAGGAATTAGATCAAGGAAAGAAAGTATAAAGATTTCAACTTTTCAAGTTCTGCAAGCCAACTTCCATTCAGTGTAATAGTTCACTCTGTTACTTGAAGGTGACAAAACAGGAAAGTTGAATTCAATGCAGTTGCCAACCTGAACGGACTCTAACATGGGTAGGAAGTGGGAAAATAGTTACCAAAGTTGCAAATTATTCAGTATAGTGGTACGGTACCTAAATAAATCATTCTAGAATTCAAGTAAGAACAACATTACATTTGTAAAGTAAGCTATGTTTCAACTGCCACAAATTGTACCATTATTCCCCCCCAATTTTGTACACCAAACAATAAATAAATTCATTCATTTGCAATAAAATATACTCCAGCCACTTGCTTACCTATATCTGTTGCAGCAGATATATTCAATCGCTGTAGATCTATTTTGGCACCATTTACACATAATACAAAGCCAACATGTGTCTTGGCATGAATGAGCAAGCATGCGGGTGCACAGTAAGAAAATCACGGCTGCTTTATTCCTCCTAGCCATGCCGCTGCCACATTACCAGTAGCTAAGCCACAGTTTTTCTATGAACCTGGGCTCATGAATTATCTTGCTTCAAGGAAAACACAAACTGTAAGCAAGGTTTGTTCTTCGTGTGCCACTCCTAGGTTGTTTGCGGGGAGACAAACCAAAAGCTTGGGTTCACATGTTGTGCTAAGCCAAACTATGGCTTAGTTCCTAGTACCGTTGCAGCAGCAGAAGTGAAGGAGAGTGAAGTGGCTGGATTTTCGTATTGTGCACCAGGACACTTGCTCATTCATGCCAAGGCCAAGTTTGGCTTAGTGCTAAGTGTGACTGGGGCCCATGTACTTCTGAAGCCAAGCAATCCTTACTAGATGAAGATGTCAGAAGAAAGTGAACAAATACAAATTTAAGAAAAAGGGAGGGGTATAACTACATATATTTACCACTTTGTGTGCCACATACTAATTTTAAATAAAAATTATTTGATTTTTTTTTTTGTCTATTAAAAACAAAAGTGTATTCACAGCTACAAATCTCCTCTGCCAAGCTTTTGGTTTTACTGCTATTAGTTCTCAGTGATTATTAATTATGTTGTATCCCTCTGAACCAATGTCAGTGCTGTTGATGTTTCTCAAAGAACATGGTATTGCCCAAATGCATGGGTGGTATTAAAACGGCACTCTTTCCCACAATGAAATAGGAAATGGTGCTGTTCAAGGGTCTCCCCGAGGACATTTATTCCTAACAATTTGGTGCTAAAAAGCACAGGTCAAATGGACTGTTTCATTTTCTTCTACACTTTCATTTTCAATTTTAGGCATCCAACTGCTCAACTTTGTAAACAAAACAAGTGCAAATTTAAAGAAGAAAACCATCTTCACAGATTTAGAACTACTATAATGATGATGGTGGTGATGATGATGATGAAGTCAAATTTGTCCTTTGCCTGAACTTCTGCTATTTATATGGGCTCATGTTCCTCAGATGCAAGACTGGATGGAGAGGGACATGGCAAAGGGTGAAATACTGACCGCTTTCCTATCCTTGCCAGCCAGCAATGCTGCATAAACAATCACAAACGGTTGAATAACATAGAGAATAGTTTTTCCAGCATGATGCACTCTTGTGATTTGCAAAAAGCACGCTACTATAAAAAGTACTCTTTTGAGAATGGAGGCCTGTTAGTTTTGACTGTTTCCAATAAACCAAAGGCATTATGGTGATCTCTAAATATTTTTGGTCTCTACAAATTGTCATTTATTATGGCAGCACTTTTCTAAGCTGGAATTTCAAAACCAAAGGCACTTGCATGCGAGAGTGCAGAGAGTCACAAAGGTTTAAGTATTTGGTCATGAGAATTTAAGAAGGCAGCATTATTATTCATACAATTCACTTTTTGCAGAAATTTCTAGCGCTGTTAAAAGGTTTCATTTTGGTATCGATATTCCAACTATGTAGTGACAGTGTGACTTATATAGGACGGTGTTTTAGGGCCAAGTAGCCAAACGGCTTCTCTTCGGGAGATATTTTTTTCCTTTTTCCTTTATTTAAGTAAACCAATTAATTTACTACATAAGATTGGCATGATAAGCTAAAAGGTACTTCTACTATAGCACTAAGGCACTGCATATTGTAATGCTTTGGCAGCTCGGAATTAAGAAGTTCCTACGACAAAGTAACAGTTAACAAGGGAGATGCTTCCAGCTTACAAAAGAGCTCACAGTTTACAGGCAGCCTTTTGGACTACACAACCCACATAAACATCTGACAGACTTAAGGCTTTCCAGAAGAAACATGCACAGGGGTGTTTACACCCAACGTAAAGGTAAAGGCAAGGCAAACAGCTCCCAGGAAGGTTTTACAAAAGTGGAGATGCAAGAAACATTGTGACTCTTCAAACAGCAGAGTTATTACATACATCGTGTCCCAGACTGCATTAACGCAAAAGAGAGAAGTGTACCTGGTTTGCAAACTGACTGCTCTTCCACACACCTCAAGGGGTTGCTTTGAGATTCACGTTTATTCTAAAAATGTCCAACTTCTTTTAAAAAAACAAATCCATCAAAACCAAAAGCCTCGTAAAAGGTAACTTTTTTTTTAAAAAAAGTAGTTTTAGACTTGTAACACCAAGTGCTTCAAAATAAAGGGCTACTTTAGATGAGTAAGATGCAGTGCTAATTCTCCGTTAGTGTTAAAAACTGATGAAGAGTTACAGCCATATAAGCATCTGGTTTTACAGTTCACAGAGTTAAAATGACTGAGAGGTTCATCTGCTTTAATGTCTGTAGGACAAAAGGCGTGCGGCTTGCAGAGCCTAGAGGCTATACAGTACTGGACTGACTGCAGCATGCCAGGAGAAGGGCTGAATAGGAGTCATGAATGGAAGACTGCATGCAACGTGTTTCAGTTTTGCAGTGTTCCAGAAGTTGAGTAGCTCCTCTGACAATTGAATAGGGCAAATCTCCAAGCTATTTATACCTTGAGCATTTCCTGCCCCCATGTTGGATTCTAACAGTGTGAAAGGTTTTATGCAGGCATAAAGAAGTTTGCTTTCTGAAGTAACAATTATTCTAAGCAGCACACTGAATATGTTTCTTAAGTATGCACGAAGCTGCATTTCAAAGTGCAATAGCTACTGACCTAGTGCCTTAATGTAAAGAAAGATATTCTCCATAGTTCATTTCATCATCCTGTGGGCTATACAGCTTCTCATAAGTGGCTGTAGGCCAGGGGTAGGCAACCTAAGGCCTGGAGGCCGGATGCGGCCCAATCGCCTTCTCAATCCGGCCCGTGGGCGGTCCTGGAATCAGCATGTTTTTACATGAGTAGAATGTGTCCTTTTATTTAAAATGCATCTCTGGGTTATTTGTGGGGCATAGGAATTCATTCATCCCCCCCCCAAAGATATAGTCTGGCCCACCACATGGTCTGATGGACAGTGGACCGGCCCACGGCTGAAAAAGGTTGCTGACCCCTGCTGTAGGCAGTAGGTGGAGAGAGGCAAATCCTTGAATGGGAACTGTAGCAAAGTTGTTGTGTTTCTAGCTCATCAAACCCTACAAACCTCATGTAGTGATAGATTTCTGGGTGATTTGCACTTTCTCACTACCAAACACAACTCTCTTCTATCTAAATTCGGCTGCTGAAATGAAGTAGACTTTTGTGTGAAAGAACTGTATGTTCAGTTTAGTTCTACAATTGAAGCCAAATCTCCAAACTCAGAATGTGCTCAGATGCACCATGTTCCTTCATTCTAACTATGATTTATTGATTTATTTTTTACTAGGCTCTGACTGATAGATTTTGGGGTTGTGGTAAAAAAGCAGACCCAACAAGTCTGATGTTTGCCTGCCATGTATTATAGGTTAACATTTACTAATAACATAAACCAGTTCCAAGACACTTTTTCAGCCTTTCATCACGTCGGGCAAGAATATATATTTACAAAAGCTGCCTCTGAAGGGGAATCAAACCTTGTGTAGTGATAATAGATTTATACCTCTTTGAAAAAAGCTCTTCCTCACTTGTTCTTAGGAGCACCAAATGTTTCTACAGTGATGGAGGGGATGTGGGATACATCATGTCTAGGAAGTCTGAAAATGGATTGTAGGAATTGATAATAAGATCCAGTGTAAATTCATACGCTTCATGGTTTGAGACCATTAACTATCAGAATTTTCACCTTTTTGAGTGAACAAATCCTGTTAAGATGGGCCTACACAACTTGTGATCTACAAGCCACACACATTGTCAGGCCTTTTTTGGGTGACAGTACTCACTGGTTGGAAGTGCATGGGTATGGAGTCACCTCTTGTTGTTGTTGTTGCTCATGGGAACCATTTTGTAAGGGCTCCCATGCCATGTTTATCAATATATGAGGATTGTCACCTCTCTTCTAACCCCCCAAAGTACTGCACTTTGTGGTCTGTCAAGTGTTTGACAACCCTCCTGTTTTTGCATTTTCAGGCAAGCTGAAAGAGAAGGAGATTTCAATGGGGCTCATAAAGTAATAATTGTGTCTTTTTTGTTTGGCGAAGCCTGTGATTTTCTAGCATTTTAAAGACATTAAAAACAGATGAACCTTTTGATTGTATATCTATTATCATCTCAACCACAGTGCTTTTTGTGGTTTTCAGCTGACAGTTTAATTGTAATTCAACAGTCACTTTAATTCCACCACCCCCTTTACATTTGCTTATCACTAATTTTGGTGTTGCAATTTATAGACTCATTAGGAAAAACAAAAACGAAAACAAATTGTTCATATAATATATAACCACACACAAAAGATTACGTACACCATAAGTCTAATTTTTCAGTATTTACCTAGTTATTGCAAAACGAGTCATCTTTTAAATAAACAAATGTCCTTATTAGTACAATACTTTATACCTTTTTAATGCACTAGATATAATTAGTAAAAGGGAGGAAGTCTTCTCGCTTTGCAATACCTGCTTGAAAAGTTAAATGGGTTAGAAGGTTAGTTTTAATACAGAGGGAAGAAAAATAATATTTTTTGCCTACTTTTAGGACCTGTCTGCTCCCATCAGGCATTTTTAAGGCTATGTTTGTCATTTGGCTTCAAACAGAAATTGAGTTGCAGTTATAAAATAATTTAGTGAATTACATTCGTTTGTATCGTCCACAGTAATCAGTTATGAAGATAATTCTAAGAAGAATTTGTGTGCTAATTTATGCTTATAGTTAAAATTCATTTCAATTTCACTAGCATCTTAAAAACAGGGTTTTTAAAAATTAATTAGGCAAAACACCTCATAAACTCTTATAATTGCTGTTAAGTTTTCCCATGGCAAACGCTCTGTCTTATATTTTTCTAACACAACAACAACAAAAAATTAAAACTTCCACAAAGGCCTTGAAATTCTTAAATATAGTCTTCCCAAGGAACGGTGGTTTTTTTTATATATAAATTTGAAGAACACTTTGTTTTAGAAAGAATTTGTACAACTGTACCAGAATTTCACAGCTACAATATATATTGACACACTAAAATGAGGTTTAGAAAAATGTAGGGGAAAGCTCAGCCAGAGGAACTGCCACTTAGTGTTGAGGTTGACAGTCTGTGTTTTGATAAGGAGTTAAACAAAACATGTCTATAAATAACTGTTCAGTCCTTTACAAGCCTGTAGATGTGATGCTGTGCACCATGTTCGCTGTTTGAAACTTCAAATACACAAGCCATGCAAAGTAGGGTTTCTTGCGTGTCCCTGTTCGTTACAACCTGTTTGTGTTTTTATACATATAAAGAAAAGGAAAAAAGACAAGGCATTAGAAACTGGGTCATTTGCTACCACAGGAACAAAAGCAAAATATGTAATTGTAATCACTGGAGATACACACACACACACACACACACACACACACACAATTTCACTCTCATATCTGAAGAGACATACACCTCTCATCTGTCAAGGTTTCTTGGTTAATGCCTCTCTAATGCTGACTTTTGACTCAATGCATATAGACATTAAAGAGTATTCTGCGGGTATGAGAGATAGATATTATTATTATTATTATTATTATTATTATTAAGAAACCATATTTTACTAGAGTGCATAATCCTATCTCCCTTATCTCCAGCACTATGTAGTCTACAACATATTGAGTAGGACTTCTAATGGAAACCATCTCAACTGGATTCTGACCTAGGTTCTGCAGTTCCATATTTCTGACAGAGTTTCTGGAAAAGAATCTGGCAAGGCAGGATCTGCTTTTTGGGAAGCTTCCAGAGGCATATTTTTGGAATACTTCCCGGGAAAACCAAGCTGCTAAGATTTTAAAGGAACAGTTTTCAGGAATCTCCTTTCTCCTCTTTGAGAATGTGCAAAACTGCACAGCAGTACATCGATAAGAGCAGAACCGATCTAGAAGCGAAAAGCCACCATGAGCCAAAATGTTCTGTTCCACTTATCCCTGAATTTAAGGCCAAGCAAGAAAAAGAACACAAGGCTACGATGGAGCTCTGTAATCGGAGCTGCGTAACCCAATCTTTAAGGGCTTGGAAGAAGGGTAGTGGGTAGGAATTCAGAAGCTAGGAGAGAGGAGGGAGGATGAAAAGAAGGAAATATAAAGGTGAGAGGGGTGGGGCAAACAACAAAGAGGGATCCCAGTTTTCCAGAGCCCAAAATGTTCTTAGGGTATTCAAAAGCTACTGTGATAGATCCATTCAAAACAGGTGGTTAACATTGAACATAGCTTGAAACGAGTTGTTTCACAAAGTAAACTACCAGGTGTCCCAGAGAATTACTATTTTCTTGGCGCTCTGAACCAACTAGGAAGTGAATTTACCACAACTTCCATGTCTCCAATCAGCGCTATGGCGGGACAGCCAATGTGGACACCAGGCCCAAAACTCACCCAGACCAAGGAAAAGATTAGTGCCACCCAGTTACTGCAAACTCTATTGCTAAATGAGCAGTGGATGCATTCTAGAAGTAGAAATATTATTTACTACAGCTAGATTTCAGCCTCCTTCCCCTGCTGGGTTCTAGGTCCAGGGTCAAGGCAAAGAGGCTAATGAGTGGCCAACTAGATATATAAATGCATCCAATTCTCCACCACAGAGGTCCAGTTTATAAATTGTCTTTGGTGGATTTGCTGCAGAAAAGCCACATCTCCATGGCTGCCTCCTATATCGGATCAGTAACTCATAAAGCTGCCTAGCACAGGGTGTTTGGACCGCTGTGTAGGTTTAGTAGCAAGCCTGGAGGTTCTGCAAGCCAAGATTAAAGCACAGCACCTACATTTGGCAGTAACATTGTACTTAAGGGCATGGAATTTCTAATCCTTGCAAAAGGAACCAAATAAAAATCTGCCTGCTCCTAAAGAACTGCAGAAAACCGCCAGAAAAAGTGAAAGAGAGAAACGTTACCAATAAAATTGTAAAGTTTTCCAACACGCTGTTCATCATATATTTTTCTGGTAAATGCTTGAGCTTGTGGATGAAATTGATCATATATTCACACATTGGAGAGCGGTTTATTCTAAACACAAACCGGCCATTCTCAAACCGTGCGTATTCAGTCTAAGGACAAAAGGCAAAAGAGAACAGAACGGAACTGTCAATGAATGAAAAGCTCTTTTTTATTTTTAAATGCGAGCCACTGTATAAAGACATCTTAGGATATTAAAACGAAAATTTATTTCAACTAAATTAAACATACCATGTAGCTAAAATATTGGTTTCTCATAAAAGGAACATGAGGAAATAATATATTGCTTATAAAATAACCTTAAATGCTGCCTTGATATTGTGGCTCTGATATAAACTAGGGTTTGAAAGAACAATTAAAATCCATGTTACAGGGGCTTTCCTGTTTTCTCTGTTGAGATGGGAAATGTTTTGAATGTACTATTAATATTCTCTATTCAATGTGTTGAGCATTCTCAGGCTCACAGAATAAATCTCACAGGGAACTCTTTTTGGTACTTTGCAACTCCAGGAACTTTTGGTCAGGGCCACCACTTAATTCAAGTTTTGTGTGCATGTGTGCACTGATTCATTATGGATCATCTGTGAGCAGGAACAGAAGAACGGTGGATCTTTCCAACTGAAATGTAACCCCTGCACTAAAACCCCACTACAGGGAAACATGTGTGCACATGCATGTATGCATCTATACACATACATACATGCACAATGTAAACGTATAATAGAGGGTGCTGCTGCACGGTTTGCAGGATGCCCTTCAAAATAGCAGAGCTACCACAGACATTCGTGGCTTTGCATGTGCCCTCCTAGAGGAGTCTCTTTCCCCTCTTCCAAATGGATAAGTAAATCAAAACTGGGTTGTAAGGAGTCTATTCTATTCAGCTCATAGTACAAAATTATGTAGAGATCCACCAGGATCCTGCATTAGTATTAACTGCAAACCAGGGGTAGCCTATGCAGAGTTCTCCAGAGCTTGTTGGTTTACAACTCCCATCATTCAGCCCCAGGCGGCATGGCCAATGCTCGGAGATGAGGAGAGATGTAGTGCGACAACATCTGGGTGTCCCCCAAATTGGCTTACTCTGCTGTAAGCTCAATGATTTAAACCAAGGACAGCTTGGAGGAAAAAAACACTTCTAGAGAAAACAGTGACCTGGCAGCAATCAGGCAAGCAGCAAGTTTGAAAATCATACCTCTACTTTTTCTACCACTTGCTTCCCGAACGAGCAGACTTTGGTGGAACAGGTGATTGTCATGTTTTCTGAGCTCTCATACTGACTAGTTACACCATAGAATGCTCCTGTATCATCTTGGATGTTGCAGTTTAAGTCCGCCTGCAGGAAAAAAACAACAGATGCTTCCTCAACTACCGACATTATTGCAAAAAAAGAGAAAGTATTTATTATGAATGTCATTTGAAATAAAAATTGATCTGCTTTAGCAATCCCCATCAAAAGCAGACTTAAGGGCACAAAAGAGCAAATTGCATTGATATTTCCTGCAGCTGCAAAAGAGTTGCCAGCAGATTTTGCACAGCAGCTTTGCAAGATGGGACTGGGATGCAGATAACACACCTGCAGCCCCAGGCAAATTTCAAGGGAGTACCCTGAAACAATTCTCATTGCCAAGGACAACAGCTGCGCTATTTCTCTTAGGCTTGGGTTCTGTGCTTCCAAATCGTAAAAGCTTTTGACAGCCCATGGACTAACCCAAGAAATTAAAAATATAAAGATACAGCAGTTCCATGGAAAGAATAAGGATTTCTCAGCTTAGACCCTGAAGATCAGACTGGAATTGGATTTGGATAGCTAACCCAGCCACATAGTCAAGTAACCGAGGTCCATAAAAATAACCCACCACTACAACCCGAAACAATTAGCAAGATATATTCTCCAGCCACATATTTGGCTGGAAATATGCTCTTCAAGTGAAGGATGAATGCTTCTGTAATGCACGTCTGAATGGTGCCTTTGCATACTGAGACTAAAAAGCAGGTGCAAAAATTATTCTCTGTGCCTAAGATTTGCAACAGAAGGAGTGGCTCCACCTCCATCATCCAGCCCAGTCACTGAGATCCAGCACTGAGGGCCTTCTGGCCGTTTTCTCACTGCGAGAAGTGAAGCTACAGGGAACCAGGCAGAGGGCCTTCTTAGTAGTAGCGCCCTCCTTGTGGAACATCCTCCCATCAGATGTCAAGGAGATGAGTAACTATATAACATTTAGAAGACATCTGAAGGCTGTATAGGGAACCTTTTAAGGTTTAAGGTTTTATCATGTTTTTATATATGTTGGAAGCTGCCAAGAAAGACTGGGGCAACCCAGTCAGATGGGCGGGGTACAAATAATAAATTGTTATAAATTGTTATTATTACTGTCTGTTGATTACAGAATATAATGCATTCATCTATCAATATACTATAACTTGTCAGCATGGAGCGCTGCAAGTTTTACATATCAAGACCCTCAACTATTGGACACGATGCATCAAAAAGAACCCCACAACATGCCCCAAAACTGAGCTGGCTGCAGACAAGAAAAACACTCCACATGGGTAAGTGTTCTCGGTCTTCGGGGAAACGAGGAGGCAGCCTGCATGTGTCACAATAGTCTTGCCTAAATAGAGTCTTCAAAACAACAGAAAAGCAGCAAATGCAGAAAGATTACAAAGCCCTTTTCCACAAAAAGAGGGGGTTTCCCAAGAGAGCAGCATAATTAAAACACAAATATTCAGTAGTTAAAATTGAACACAGGGAGGTCACTTGTTAAACAGAACAGAGGCTTCAATTACAGTGGAAATGCCGTGAAGCGTCAGTCATATGAGAGCGTATTAGACTTCCCCTCCTTCTCAATGAACAGGGCTCAAAGAGCAGAGATTCCAAAATGTGAAGCAATTCTCACACACACACACACACACACACACACACACACAACTGCATCATCTGGATCTTTGGCACACGTTGCTGCCAGTTGTGTGCTGCAGCTTTGGAAACGCTTCCAGGTCTGCCACATGGCTGGGCTTTTGATGACCAGGCCAAGCTACTCTACTTCCCAGCTGCTCTCTGACTCATTCAGGGGAACCAGCACACTTGCACCAAGTTGCAGGCGGGCGGGCAATGGCTTGTGAAGCGCTTTGCACGAGTGCCATAAAGCTCGCCGTGCAGCAACGGTCCTCTCTGAGGCAACAGAGGGGGCGAAAGCAGCAGGAGTGGCTTCTTCCATCTCAGTTTTGTTTCAAATGTGTCTGAAACACTGGCTAAAGATGGTCAGTCCACACAGCTGACCTCATCTCTCTACGGCAACTCGCTTGCCAAGTCTCATTCCGTTATGCAATAAAAATCACATCTAAGGGGGACGGGACACATTACAATAGCTTTTTTGTGAATGAAGGAGACAAAGAATCAACATGCCTCTAAAGGCAGCAGCAGACACACATGAGAGACGTGGGAGGAGACCATGTGGCTGAGCTCTTTCTGAACACTAACCACACTGAATTCATTATTTGTTAACAGTGCCTGACAAAGGAACAGCATTATATTTTCCAGGTCACAGCTATTTTACATGATAAGAATAGGAACAAACCTAACCATCCAACTCATGTTACTATGCCACTAATTATGGCATATATTTACATCTATAAAATGAGAGAGATTTTTGGACATGATTTAATGCCCTTTTATTGTGCAGATTCCTTTATTTCCATTCCACATTTGAATTTCAAAAATGCTTTGGACTTCAAAGCATCTTTTTTTTTTTTTAAAGTGCACTAATTACAATACACATTATTTTCTAGAACTGCTTGTTTGCATTGCAGATTTCTAAAATGATAGGTATTCATTAAAATGCACTTATTAATATCACCCGCACTTCTTAGAATGAGAGTTTTGCTCTCCATTTTGCAATGGTGCTCAGACACACAAATAGGTTTTCATTACAAAGCAATATTGCAATCGTCTAATATTGCAACAGCACAATTCTAAACTTGTTTATTCAGAAAACAAGGCTCATTGTCTTCACTGGGACTTACTCGCGGGTTGACATGTGAATGCATTTATAAAAGTAATCAATCCTTTCAAAAGGAGGTTATGCACTAGACTGAGCCAGCTCAGAGTATGCACTTATAAAATATCTCAATCTTTCATTCCACCTGATATGAAACCATCCATAATACCTCATGCTAACAGGTTTAGTTAGAAAACTGTGCCAAGATACCGCACAAATAAATAGTACACAAAATATGAGAATGTATAGTTAACGATACATTTGTTGATATAAACATTGAGCCTGACAGAAGACGGATGGGGCCAAAGCTGGGAAATACTCATTAGTAGGGTTCAGATGTATGCATCTCAGCTTAAAAGGCCAAGATATAAACAAGACTTCTGCCCACGGGGGCATAACTATGAAAGGACACCTCATGAAAAAAAATGGTATGGTAGATGGAGACATGCCTATTCAACACTTGCAGCAAACTGTGTACATGGTTACACCACAGAGCTACAGGATTACAGCCACCTTCTCCAGCTGCTTTCTTGAGTTTGATGTAATATATAAATAGGGCAAATGTATGTCTATGTGTCCAATCCTTTCCTTCAAATCTGGAATGAGAGGCAAGTGGTTGCTCGTATCAGAGTTTTGGGCTGTCAGAGAAAATGGGAGCGGAAGTTTTCTGATGTTCATTTATTCATTTCATGTCCAGGCCATAAATCAACCCAGTGAATACAACCGGTATTCGCTGTTGCCTTCTTACTACAAACTACATTTAATTGATTACATGTCCCCACCCCAATTTGCATTGAATTTCCTTTACATTGAAATGAATGGGCTGGAACAAGGTACTGCGATGTAATTTACATAAATTATGTAAGTTCCACAATAGCAGACGGTGAGAAGGACAACAGTTTTTGATGGAGGTTGAACTGCAGCAGAACAGGAGCACTACTGCATGGAACCAATATAGGGAAGAAGGGAAAACGATGTCTTCTCGCATATTTTTCTGGGTTACAAACTTTACTGCATGTTGCACTTAGCTTTGCCTCTTCAGATCTCGGGAGGCTCACTCTCTACTGGCAAGGAACATTGGAGAGGCTTGAAGCACTTGGTGGCAGCTAATATTCCCTGCTTTCCGCTCTCAACCACCAAATTAGGAGAGGGAGCGAACCAATGGAAAAAGCCCAGACAGCAGTAATTATGACTCAGCACAGAGGAAGGCACAAGATGAAGAAGTATTTAAAGCCCTTCACCTTAGGGGCTATAGGAAGGGACAAACAGCAAGAATGGGGTTCCTTTTCACATGGTAATTATAGCATATGGAATGGCCCTAGGATGTTAAGGCAAATGCATACCACGGGAGAAGAGTCTGGGCAGACAGACCTAAACTGTGTCATTTCACCATACCTTCAAGGTCCTAACTTGCTGCATGTGTCAACAGTCCTTTTATGACCATCCATTATCTGTTTGTGGATCAGGCATTCTTTGGTGGAAGCTCTCAAAAATCTCACATCAGGCAAATGTATATTAATGAGGCTTTTTTAAAAAATTCACTTTCCCTCACTTAGAAATGTTATCTTCCAGGGCAATGGGGTGCACAGCATGCAGCCTACCTACATGCAGGGTTTGAGGCAGCTCTCAGTTTGACTTTACAAAAAGCACTGGCTACACAACAGTCATGAACAGCAGCATTTTTGTGACATCAGGGATTCTTGCATGTAGGGATGTCTTGATGGTGCCGTCAGCATTGCTAACCTGTTCCACTAGATGGCAGGTGACAGTTTGCAAATTGTTTCAGTACCGGTTGTAGAGTGAGCATAATGTCGACAAGCAGTAAAGGAAGCCTGCTCTTGGTAAACTGGATCAGTTTTTAAAATGTTGTGCTAACATGCTAAAATTAGCTGTAAATTACTCATGCCTTTGCAGGGCTGGCAAGATTGAAAACCTGTCACGCTACAGTTCTGAATAAATATTCTGCCTCGGTTTTTGAATAAGATTTTGGCATTACTTAAAAAGATAAACTAGATTACTTAGTGGCTGATCAGAACCATGACACTACTACGACAACAGTTATCTGTTTTGCTGTAAGAACTGTCAGGATTGAAAATAAATTTATTAAATCAAGCGGTTGTTCAAAATTAGTGACAGCACTGAATACTTCAAATAGTTTTGATTGTGATGACTGGTTAAAGTACAGAGACACTGGATTTGTATAATACTATTTTGACACACTGCTGAACTGTTTTATTGAAGCAATGTTAAGTTTTAACTTTGTTTTCACTTTACTTTATTCTACTGTACTGGGTTCACCACCTGAGGTTCCTATGGGATGAAGGCTGATCTAAAAGTATAAATGGATGGGAGCATAGGTTTGTAAATCTGGTGGGATAACTGCTGACCTTTGTCATTATTGAAATTGTATTTGGTAAGTAACAGCTTTAAGACAACCCCGACTGGCTGAGATCAAAGGCAGTTCTTTGTAGCCATCATGGGCTAATAACCATTGACGGACTAAACCTCCATGCATTTGTCTAATTTTCTTTTAGAGACATTTTAGTTAGGGCCCTTCAGCACATATTGGGGCAGAAAAATACATCAATTTTATGCTGTGTGAGTATCTTTCCCTCTCTGTCTGTTCTGAATCAAACGCTGCCAATTATATTGGATGACCCAAAGTTCTAGCGTTTTGAGAAAAAAGTGTCCCTCCACCCACTTTTCCTACACCAGCCAAGAAAGTACATTGGCTGGATCAGGCCCATCTAGTCCAGCATCCTGTTCTCACAGTGGCCATCCAGATGCCTATGGGGAACCAGCAAGCAGGACCTGAGCACCACAGCACCCGCCCCCCCTTCTGAGGTCTCTAGAAAATGGTATTCAGAAGCATGCTGCCTTCAAGAACGGATGTAGAACATAGTCATCAAGGTTATCAGCCACTGATAGCCCTGCCCTCCATGAATTTGCGTAAAGGTAAAGGGACCCCTGACCATTAGGTCCAGTCGTGACCAACTCTGGGGTTGTGGCGCTCATCTCGCTTTATTGGCCGAGGGAGCCGGAGTACAGCTTCCGGGTCATGTGGCCAGAATGACTAAGCCACTTCTGGCGAACCAGAGCAGCGCACGGAAACGCCGTTTACCTTCCCGCTGGAAGCACTTTTATGTGCTTTTGAACTGCTAGGTTGGCAGGAGCAGTAACTGAGCAACAGGAGCTCACACCGTCGTGGGGATTCGAACCGCCAACCTTCTGATCAGCAAGTCCTAGGCTCTGTGGTTTAACCCACAGAGCCACCTGCGTTCTCTTTTAAAATCATCCAAGGCTATTACTGCCTCCTGTATTCCATAGTTTAACTATGTGCTTTCTTTTGTGTCTCTGCCATCTTTCAATATTCAGCTTCGTAGGATGTCCCCAAGTTCTAGTGAAGGCATAGGCAAACTCCGCCCTCCAGATATTTTGGGACTACAGCTCCCATCATCCCTAGCTAACAGGACCAGTGGTCAGGGATGATGGGAGTTGTAGTCCCAAAACATCTGGAGGGCCGAGTTTGCCTATACCTGTTCTAGTGTGATGAGAGAGGAAGGGGAACTTTTCTCTATCCACCTTCTTCATACCATGAAAAAGATAGTAGAACATTTAGGAAAACAACAACAGCCGAGTATTTTGAATATCTCACCCAAAATTTTACGAGGAAGAAGGCATTCTGAGGTCCTTTTCCAAACAGCTCCTTCAAGCCGCCCTTCTTTTCAGGGAATTTGTCATAAATCTGGCGAATGTCTACCGATTCCAGCAACGGATCACTGTAAGAATGGTTGGCATGCCCAATGTGCACAAAGAGGTGTTTGTTATACTGTGAAATAAGGAAATAAAAAGCATTATTACTGATGTCATAAGAACTTTGCATTTCAAATGCAAATAACATTTCTTTGCATTTGTCGGGGCTTAACGCTCTTTCTGTTCGCACAATACCTAGAGGAAAGATGTTCCATATAATAAATAAATGTGCATGCTAAAATCAGATGAAAAACAGGAAAATAGGTGATTCAGTGTCCTGAAATGGAATGCGGTGCAAACAATCAGTCATGAAACTTGGTGTGAGGGAATCCGCCTATGCCTGTTCTAAATCTTGGGTTTCTGTGCAGAAAAATGAGGATTAAAAACAGAATGGATGAACTACAGGTGACCAGCAGAAGTGGCACAGGCTTTAGGAGCGTTGGCCACCTCTGGACTGAGACAGCAGAGTCTGACTTCTGGCTGCCTCACCAGCTTGGTAGGCTGGAGGCAAAGTCACAGCACAGCTGAAAGGAAGCACAGCAGGAAGATTCTTCACAAACTTGCTTTGAAGGTGATGAGGTTAAGTCTGATTTCTGTACAACAGCTGCTAAGAAAAACAGGAGGTAGACAACAGTTAGCAGTTTTTAATTGGATATAAAACTGAAATGCCTGGACGCTGATTTGTGAAGTCTCTCTTCAAAAGCCTGCATTTATTTATATTCTATCTTTCTTCCATGGTGCACAAGGCAACATACATGGAGGTTTGACCAGCTTAGTTTTCATTATATAATGTGCCCCCAGACTAGGTCATGGAACCCTTGCTACATAAAGAATTGTTCTATTGACTTGACAAGCTTTATTTGTCTTTAGCTGTATGACTATAGATGGATATAAAATATAGTTGACAGGACGGAAAGTTTGTAAATTATTACATCAACCCTTTTCGTGACAGTGGCATTGAGGTTCTAGGCTGCATCTCTGTTTTGCAGAGAATTTAAGGGGGGTGGAGGCTCTTGTATTTTGGACTTGTTGCTCATTTGTCAAAAAGCATGGCCACTGGTGAGATAAACAATAAGTAGCTGATTAGGTGTTATTGTCCCTAATGAAGGGATCATCAATGGTTGCACCTGCGGAGGCCTTCCCTAGTTGCTGAATTTAGGCTTGAAAAAAGAATTAAGTTGTAGCCAATAGAATATTTCTGTGCAACATCTGAATCCAAAGAGGGCTTCCAAGCCCTGAACTGGTGGCCTGGGCTTGGTAGTGAGCTGGATGAGAGCTGATAAACTGACTCTGAATCCTGGCCATCATGGCACTGTGGGTGGGTGATTCCAGAGTCTGGATAATTGGTCAACTGCCTGCTTTGGAAGGGTCAGATTCATAGTCTAGAGTGCTCCATCTGTTGCTAGAGGCCATGGGGACCTCAGTGGCCAGGAGTGCTTTTTACCAACCATGGTAGGGAAAACAGTTGTGGTGCTGCTCTAAGAAGATGCAGCTGGTGCAGAATGCAGCTGCTCAACTGCTGACTGGGATGGAATACCACCATCATATTGCTGAAAGAACTTGCCTGGCTGCTAGTTAGCTATCAAACTAAGTTCAATATGCTGGTATTGGTGTACAAAGAGCTATACAGCTTGTGATCTGGATACCTAAAATATAGCCTCATCCCCTACATACACAACTGATCACTGACCGTGCCCCAGCAGTGGGCACACATGGGTACCTGCCCTGGTTGGCATGGATACATGCTTCGCTGTTGATCCATTCTGCACAGCGTCTTTCATGTCGTGGCACCTACCCACTCCTCCAATTATATATTAGGCAAGCACCTCCCCTATTGTCTTTTTGAAACCTGCTGAAGGTGTTTCTCTTTCAGCAAACCAAATGGAGATCTTTATCCCAACTGGCAACTGCATTGGCTCTGAACTGGTTTTATGTCCATGCTGCTGCTGTTTTTTAAATGGTTCTCAATACACACACACAGTTGAATACATTATTTTTTATTATATTCATACATGAAATACACAGTAATAAGTTGTGCTTGACTGTGGCTTGTGTGTGTTGTCTACAACAGTTTCTTTGGTTTGCAAACACACCCATAGGCAACCCAATGTCTTGCTTGTGGACTTCCCATAGGCATCTGGTTGAGCACTGAAGGAACAGAATGCTGAACAATATGGTCCTTTGGTCTGATCCAAGAGGGCCCTTGTTACATCTTTAGGAATCTGTCTACCAGTTAACTACTTAAAATAACCTCACATGATAAAAGGTAGAGTAAAACAGAGAAAACATATTAATCTGTACCTGCAGCCAGCATTGTCATACTTCAGTAGCTTTCCTTCCAAGTCAGGATTTAACACTATATCAGATCTAAATTCAATTTGTTCAATTATGAGCTAGTCCCACAGCTTTTCAATCAATTAGGAATATTTTTGTCCAAACTCCCCTTTCATAATAACCTGAATTATGTTACCTCCAAATACAAATGGAAAACCTATCCAGTCTTTGCTTACAGACCAGAGCATCAGCCAAAAAGGGTGTTTCTTCTTTAAAGAGTAGAGTTCATAAACAAATGAATGGAGAGAGTGAATGCATGAATGAGCAAACACATGAATGAATGAATGAATGAATGAATGAATGAATGCTTATGAGTAAAAGCCTTTGAAAGGGCAGGCTTAACTTGCATACCGATCAGTTACACAAGAATTACAGTAATTATCGTCCTATTCTGTAACAATAAGTAATTACCATACAGCATCTGCACAATTGCTAGCTTTACCATCATGCTCAAGATGCCAACTACAAAAGCAACAAGCTTGTTGTTATCCTCTTTAAAACTCACGTCTAAAACTATGTATGTAAAAGTTTTTATGTATACACCAAACTGTACCTCTGTAACACCACAATTTAAATTAGACTTTCAGGCTTCAAATCGCTCTCCTAAAACCATCTGTATTGAAATAGCTGTAGGGATGCTTACTGGACTTCTTCTCAACAATACCTTAGACCTCTGAAGTTAAGAATGTGGGAAATGGCAGAATGTTGCACCATCTAAGGACCTCAAGCCGGTCAGAAGTTGGAACAATCACAAATTAGGGATATATTGCCTAAATAATTCTTACAGCTTCCTTCTGAAAATCACCTTGATTTCTAGGAGCTTTTCCTTTTGACTTGTCATTGCAGAATATTCTCTAGGGATAAGGTGGAGCTGGTAACAACATTTATGCAATGCTTTAGAGTGTACAAAGTATTTCACATGCATTATCACAGCAGAAACTGCAACCTTCCAACAGTTCAGGGCTGCCACTGAGATTGAGGGGGCCCAGGGCTATGCAATGTCAGCGCATTGTGACTGCTAGCTGACATCATTCGTGTGTGTGACACAAGCACATCCAATGGTATGCATGTGCATCCACCAGGGAACTTGGGAGAGCCCGGCCCTTTAATTGGAAATATTGGGGGGTGCTATCCCCCCATGGTACCTATGCAACAGTTTGACTTCACCCCCAAAGGCGCACTCCTCCACTGTCTCCTGAAACAGAAAGATGCTAACCAAGCAACATTATCGCAGGAATCTTTCCTGCAATCCTGTGAAGTAGGTCTGTCTTATTTACTACATTTATATCTTACTTTCCTTCCATGAAACTTAAGACAGCATACATAGGATGAGCTTAGCTTCAAAGCAAGATTGCTGCATTCTGTATCTTCAGCCATAATGAATCCTATCCCTGTATTGTATATCGTTTGCTGAGAATGACAAGATACATACATGTGAGATATAAACCCAGTCCATCCTGGCTCATAGTGTATGCTCTTAGCAACCTCACCAACTTGGAATGTACTTCCCTTCTGCTTTATTTAGTAAGATTTTCTATGCAGGTCAATTCAGGGAGTGGGAGAAAAGTTCTCAAAAACTCATGTTTCATTTTTGTGGGCACAGAATTCCTTATACACAGTGCAGACCTACACATGAGTCCTGCAAGTCCTGCATATAGAGTTTAGTGGGGCAATGGAGAAAGAGACTGAAAGTCACAAAATGATTGTGTTGTTAAACTCCTGACTTAGAAACCTAAGAGACACATTGCAAAAGACAGTGTGCTTCTCAAATCCAAAGCAAAGTTAAAGGCAGCTGTGGAGCTACTACAGTTGTTTGCTGATCTTGCCAAAAGTACCAGATGCTGCTGCAGCAACAGCAAAAATTCCAACATGTTTCAGAGGGACAGATGGTATGGCATCATCTCACAATATTCGAAGGACATAAATGTTTATTTTGACATTGCATGTGTGATTATTTTCTCCTTATGTTACTGTAATTCCTACACTAAACAGAATGATGACTAATCCCTTCAGTCACGGCATGTTTCTAATGAACGACAATGACAATGTAGTAGGCATTAAATGAATAGATTTTCTTTTCTTTTTTTTAAAAAAAGAACTCATGTTGGTTTAGAGACAACTGTACACCACTTATGAGATCACTCACACTTAAAAGAACGCAGTCTTAATCTCCTCCACACCCTGGAGAAGAGGAGCAGGGAGGCTCTGAATGGGCAAAGGAGCAGAAATAAGCAGGGAGCAGACTTCTCAACTGGCATGCTGATCAGTGACAGATGGCGAGTGAGGGTCAAAGCCCTTCACAAAAGGCTGTGTCATAAAGGGGCAACTGAGGGGAGAGGAAAAGCCAGTCCAGCCTACCCCTTTCCACCCTGTCCGTCCCATTCTGACTGCTGCAGACCCCACTTCCTGGCCTCTCTTCCTCCTCTCGGTGCAGTGAAGAGCTTAGGGCCATTTCTCTTACTTCCGACAGAGAACCTTCTGGCACATGGATGGCTGAATGCCACAGCCAGACAAGTGGAGGATCTCTTCAGTGTGGTGGGCTGAAACCTGGAGCATTGATGTACACTCGGGTGGGGCATGACTCCCTTCTTCCTCACTTTTCCAGGATTGCACTTGAAAACTTCAGTAACAACACCTCGTACAACTCAGTTTTCAGTAGAAGCTCAGAAAATACAACAAATACCTTTCATTTACATCATTATTCTTTCTGCCTGTTATATGCTAGGTTTGCAGAAGGTCATTTCTAAGGAGAAAATTGCCCACCCCAGTACTTAAGGGTTCAGGACTGAGATTCCTTTAACATTTTGATGTTATGGCCCTTGTGCTTGTTTTTAAGAAAGAACTTGAGAACATACATTCACGGACTGTTTCACCCGTACTATCTAAAGTAACCTCTGTAGCTTTGAGATGGCTGCCTCTTACTGAACTCTCTCGTATTTGAAGAATGCTGCCTGTAAGGCCATGAAAAATGGCTCTTGTCAAATAATACCAGGAGAAAAAGAAATTATAATCCATTTAGGAATTCAAAGGAACCAAGACAAATTGCTGGTGTCAGGGGATGCTAACATACAAGCTGTGGCAAAACAAAGACAAATCACCTGCATTTGTTTTACTTGCTAACATACAATTAAGCATATCATAATAATGTGTTTTATTTAAAACTGCCATCCCATTCAAAACTCAACAAGCAGGGTGGAAAACTTCAAACAGTGCGAGTGTTTCATTATATATACGTTGAAGGATCCTGATGTGCTTCAGTTTGAGCCCTCTTGTGCATGGAAAGTCAATAAAAACAATAACAAGAACTACCCTGTCACCACAACATAATGATAAGAAACCTTGTGACAAAATGTAAGGTACAGTACGTTTCCTGTTCCAATTGTATTTCAACTGCATTTTATTGCTAGTCCAAATGCATTTCAGAGATTCTGTGTGCCTCTGTAAGGGCAAATGCAGCCATGGAGAGCAACTGGGATGGAGGCTGTGGTGCAGAGGGAGTTTTAACCCTTTCTTTCCATGCTGTTAATCCAATTCCAGACATACATACAAGCCCACTGGAATTGGGAGAGGGATTCAGACTGAGAAAAAGCTGCAAGGAAGAGAGTTAAAAGCACCACTCCGATAAAGCCATAGCCCCAGTCCAGATTATTCCCTGCCTCCATTTTCCAAAAAGAAGAGTCTGGTGATCAGATTGCAGTTTTCCTGCCACCTTCTACCATTTGGTTTTAGGCCCAAACTAGCAGGACCATGTGCTGTATATTGTGACCTGTCCTTCTGGTAAGCCACAGCAATGCCAGGGACTGGATGCCATGTCAGCACCACTGCCCTCACTGATCATTACGGCTCTTAGGACTGCACATAACATTTTCCTCCTTAGAAAATGAAAATATGGAAACAAGGTCTTCTAACGACCTGCTGAAGCAGAACCAGCAGAGGGAGCTAAAACTGCAAACTTTATTCATGGTGCAATCTTGTACATGTTTACTCAGAAGTAGGTTGCACTGAGTTCCAAGGGACTTGTTCCCACATCAGTGTCCGCATCAGATTGCTGCCTTTATTCCAAAGTAGTAGCTGCTTTATCAAACACATCTTAGCAACAATGGAAAATCCACACCAACCTTATGCTCCCTAATCTTAAAGCAGGTTAACATTAGCAAAGGGCAACCCCGCTTTGCTCTCTCTACATTTTTGGCTAATATGCCAGGCACATAATCCTGGAGAAAGTAATGGCTATAATCCTGTTGCTTTGATGAGGACCCATTAAGTTCACCGTCCCTGTTCCTTGTTCGTAACATTATCAGTATCCTCTACAGTGACTGGCAGAGCCGCTACAGGACATGAGGCATACACAGCCCTATGTGGGAGATACTAGGAATTGAACCTGATACCTTCAGCATACAAGGCAGATGCTCTGCCACTGAGCTGTGGCTGCGACCAGCAGTTCCCCCATATGGAACAAGGATGTGAATGACCCATGCCTGCTCGTGTGAGGGGTAGGCAGCTTCTCCAGCTTCATGGATTATGTAAGCACACCGTTAGATTTGGCTCAATGACATCACCTCTGGAAATATACTTAGAATGGTAGAGTTGGAAGGGACCCCTAGGGTCATCTAGTCCAACCCCCCCCCTGCAATGCAGGAATCTCAACACGCAGTCCCCCACCCAATTTGAAACCATAACAGACCCTGTTTAGCTTTGCAAACATGATGACAATTTTAATGCTGCACCACTAGGAGGAGGGTAAGTGTGCGGTTTGGTCATGGATGACCTACACCTCTAAACCAGGTGTGCTGAACCTTTGGCCTTCCAAATGCTACTGAAGTAAAGCTCCCTTCATCCCCATCCCTGGCAATGTTTGCTGGGGCTGATGGGAGTTGTAGTTCAGCAATTGGAGAACCAGATGTTTGACATAGTTGCTCTAAACCTTCCAGCTGGCATGCAATCTCTTTTCAATGACATGAAAAAGGAAATAAACACTGCTTGCTGTGGAAAAGGGAAATCTTTCTCCTCTATCCTTGGCCTTGCATTTCAGCAGGTGAACAACAGAGAAACTTCTACTCTGCTTCACAAACCACCCCCACCCTATGTTTTCCTTATGTGACTTTTTGGCCATATCACCGCAACTGCGGATGGCAAGAACTCAGTAAATTCCACGTACAAGAGAATGCTGAGACCCGATTAGGATGTGATGATCAGGTAAAACCAAGTCACCCTCCTATTTCAGCCAATCAAGTACATCTATACAGCTGGAGAGGCTTGAGCTTTCAGGTGTGAAATGCAAGACCTAAATCAAAAGCCTTTTCAGCACATAGACAATCAGTGTAAACATCTGTCTCCAAAAGGCTCTGTTTCAATAGTTGTATGTTGTCTTCTAAGGGGAAAGTCATGCCTACATTGAAAGCTAAACTTCATTCAACATGTTGAACAGCAGTATTGAAAAAGCAACCATATTGTGCATCTTAATTTCTGTACTGTTGTGCTATTTTCCGCTCACAGCCTTATTGCTATGAAGAGTACTCTGATGTTAGGTTGCCACAGTATGTCTCTGATCATTAATTGTAGGAAAACACTTTATTGATAATGCCTACTTGCAAGGATACATACATTCAATTGTTCCCAGAAAAGAGTTATAGAAAGCATAAGATGAGGCTCCACTCTACAGACTATTGTATTTTGCAAGGTATTTGAAGCAAAGAAAGGTTTCGTTTTCCAGGCTTTTCATAAGTGAATTCACTTTTCATAAAGAAATAAAATCTGCATAAAGCAGCAGGTTTAACATGCCCCCCCACAAAATGAAACCAAGATGATAATTGACACTGAAAATATTATCACCCTTAGCCTTCTAAGTTCACCGAATCTCTCTGCTATTATAGATAGATAGATATAGATAGCTGAAGTCTTCTCAATGCCTTAAAGCTGATTACAAGAACAAACATCATAAATTCATATGCTCTATTCCTTGAAAGCAGCTAGAGTATATTCTAGGACTTGTGAGGGGCACCATGAACCATCCCTGTTGATCACACAAACAGAACAGGTGATTTAGAAGTTTCCATGGTACAGTGCTGCCCCGCAAGACGAATGCCTCGCAAGACGAAAAACTCGCTAGACGAAAGAGTTTTCCGTTTTTTGAGTCGTTCTGCAAGACGAATTTCCCTATGGGCTTGCTTCGCAAGACGAAACGCCTTGCGAGTTTGTTTCCTTTTTCTTAAAGCCGCTAAGCCGTTAATAGCCGCTAAGCCGCTAATAGCCATGCTTCGCAAGACGAAAAAACCGCAAGACGAAGAGACTCGCAGAACGGATTAATTTCGTCTTGCGAGGCACCACTGTACAGGCAGATGTTTGCATTGCATTTGTGAAAAGATGTGATACAAAACTGCAAGAGTAAAGACGCACAACGACTACTATAAAGGATATTTACGTAATTCAGGGTAATACTTACAGAATCTGGATCTCTTTGTTGTTCAAGAAAAGCTGAAAATTCCACCAATCTGAGTTTAGTTGTTCCAATAGATCGACCTTGCCAAGCAGGAACTGAGGGGGCTGGAGCCGATGCAGGTTCAAACCCTGAAATATAAATGATCAGCAACGTCTTTGCTAGTTTTAGATTACGATTGCATTGTATTATTTATTATTGTGGATGAAGAAAACTTGACGCCAGCCTATTTTATTATAACTGTTAAAATTCAACTACTTTTAAGCTCGCTCTCAATTGCTTGGAAATATGGTTATTTTACATTTATAACATTTGTGTTTTACTTGTTGTTAAAATTATATTGCTGTTTCCTCCCTCAAGTATTACATTCTTCTTTGTAAACAAAAGAAAAGCCTATCCAATATATTGTATTTGATGTATCAGGACTGTGCAATTCCTTCTATAATACCGTATTTACTCAAATCTAATGCTCACCTTTTTTGGCCAAATTACATTGCAAAAATTAAGGTGGGCATTAGATTCAATGGCACATTTACATTTGCCAGCAAATACTTTTTTTGTTTTGTTTCAAGGATCTGAAAATTGAGGTGTGCGTTAAATTTGATGGTGCATTAGACTCAAGTAAATACGGTAATTAGACAACACTTTACAAGAAAACATTAAAATAATCACAGAAACCTCAGTAAAATAAGTATAAATGAAGTAGTCCAAGACTGATGCAACTCTGAAAGATTCATTACTGGGAATGTTTGTATCCATAAGAGCCAAGGAGACCAATCTTAATGAAGTCAATAATCATTTTAAAATAAAGTCAATTAATTGAATGATTTTATATTCCTTTAGTTTATTGCATATGAGGCCAAAGGGTATGGTTTTAGATTTAGAAAGGACAAAGAAATGTGCCATTTCTTCACAGATGTTCCTACAGTGAGGAATTCTGGAACAGGTAATGCCACTATGGCTCTAAAAGTAGATGTGGATTAGATGATTCGAATGCATATTTCATCATCTCTGCATAGATAAATATTGCATACACAAACTCACAAATACATTCATCCGAGCTAGATGACCAATGAGACTACTGAACTCCCTTGTGTAGATGTAATTAAAGGCTGCAACCTGTGCCAGCCACTAAATACGGAGTGGGTCCAAAAAAATCTAAACAAATGGATAAATCTGTAATTGTTACCTGAAATGGGAGTTGCGACAGTTGGCTGTATAGGGTAGGCTTGCTGGACAAATGGCTTTATGCTGAAATAAACCATTGGACAATTAAGTCAGATATTAACTGAAGTATTTAATAACAGTAACAAGAAAGCACATTTTGTTTCTAGTAAAGACAACAGTGTAAACCTCCTTTTAGAGCAGTATTTCTTAGTCTGAATTAATGGCCTAAAGCAGGCTTCCTCAACCTCAGCCCTCCAGATGTTTTTGGCCTACAACTCCCATGATCCCTAGCTAGCAGGACCAGTGGTCAGGGATGATGGGAACTGTAGTCTCAAAACATCTGGAGGGCCGAGGTTGAGGAAGCCTCATCTAAAGCTAGTGCATCCTGGGACGAGTGTAGTGTAGAGATTAAAGAGTTGCAGTCCTGAGGAACAAACACAGATTTAAAATGGAGGAATCCTCTCTCCTTGCTCAGCAACTTCAGATTGGCACCTCAATGTGTATGAGCCAGTGGCCCACCTTAGGGCCACCAAATCCATTCCCTGCCCCCTTTTTTGGCTCCATAGCTGCTTGCTGCTAATATTTTGGTTCATTGGTCAAATCAAGAAATACACAAAGCTGGGCTGGGGAAGTGTGGAAGCCCTTCCTAGTGACTGGCCTTCAGGATGTTTGGGACATGACTCTCTGCCAACACCTCCACAAAGAGTGTGATTGGAAGTGGACCTCAGGACTGTGCACATCCATTTGTTTGTTTAAAGTTTATTAGCCGCTGTTCAGCCAAAGCGCTTGAAGTGGCCAAGAAGAGGCATGTAAATGTACAATGGGAGTACCATATTGGTCCAAATAGAAGCCACACTTTTCCTCCAAATTCTGACAGCGAAAAGTTAAAGTGCGGTTTATATTTGTGACTTTCCCTTTTCCCCAACAGCTCTGGTGAGGCTTGGGAGCAGCAGGTGGGCTGCGCACCACTGCGCCACGCTGCCGGGCTGCTCTTGGGGAGGCCGTTGGCAAAGTGGCACGGCTCCCCCCCCCCCAGGGAGTAACCTGGGAGCGCGGGGAGCGGTGTGGCAGCGCCACTCCCAAGCCTACCTCGAGCTGCCAGAAAGAAGGGGGGAAGGCCGGTGACAAAGCAGTGCGGCTCTCCCTCCCCCCCCCCCGGAAGCAGCCGGGGATTGTCTTTTTTTCTCTTCCCTCCTTCAATTTTAAAAGTGCGGCTTATTTGCGGGTGAGTCTTATATTCGGGCCAATACGGTAATTCATTGTTCTAATGAGGAAAACATTCAGTCAGGGGAAGCATTTCAACTTGCCAGTTGGAAGAATCCCCCCACTCCTCACCCCACACACTGTTCCAGGGGGGTTTCTTACACACACACACACACACACACACACACACACACACCCCTACCTTTTTCCCCCTGGGGGACGGGGGAAAGAAAGCCCTGTTGTGCAAGTGGAAGTCCTTATACAGGGCTTATGCTGATGGGACTCCCGCCCACAATATGCACAAATTAGTGCCTAAGCTGAGGGACAGGTCAGCCTTTGCCAACCTGGTGCCCCTCAGATGTTTAGGACTACAACTCCAGTCAGTGCAGATGTATAGCACAGTTGTGCTGGCCGGGGCTGATGGGATCTGTAGACCAAAACATTTGGAGGACCATAGGATACCAAATGCTGCCCCAGGCTGTGTAAACACCACACATTAAAAGAACCACCAAAAGAACCTGGGAACTGTACATTACCCCTCACAGAATTACAGCTCCAACTATCAATGAGCCATGGGGTTTTCCAGGACCACACCAGACGTAATATTAAATAGATGCAAGCATTTACCATACCTGACTTTTGTTCTTTAGTTAGCAGCTGGGGTGGGGAGAGGGGGCAGAAAAGTATCTGGACCATGATATGTGAGGGATTAACCTAGCCCCACTCCCCAGGGTTGTGGTCCAAATAGAAACACATCCCTTCCTGAAATCCTAAAATCTGCTCCTAAGGTGAGGCTGGAACTAATTTCTGTACAGCTTGAGTATCCCACCATTGACCCTAATTGAAACAGCCTTTGTTTTAATCCTCATTAACAGGCACTGTGGTGGCTGGGTAAATGTGCTGGAAAACTAGTATTAAGTATAGAAAGCATTCTGGTCACACAAATGCTTCATCTATTTCCCATGCCACCACTGCCACACTCATTACGTTCTTTAGTTATAGCCTCTGGGATTGAATTCCTCTGGCTAGGTACACATCATTTTTGGATATACACATGCATTCAAATGAACACATACCTACCAATGTGTATTGCAACATATACATACAAACAAGTGAAAACAGTGGCGCTCAGTCTCTTTGCCCATCACTTACTCTTGTGAAGATCCAGGCTGTCCTGTTTGTATCATCCCTGGCCAAAACTGCATGGGAGTAAAAAAAATTAAAAAATAAAATATTTTTATTTTAACACACACAACTTTTTTCAATTGCTCTCTTTCAGGGCACATTTCCTATATATATATTCCACTAAAGAATTTTATAAGGGAAGGGGGAAGTACATTTTATAGAGAAATTAATTGATCCATCCTTCATTTCCTACCAATCATTGTTCTGAAATGTACTTTTTTATTGCAGCCAATTAACTTACTCCAGGTGCTCCAGGAAACGTCGGACGGGGAATTCCTGGCAGGCCCAACTTATTGTGAATCGCTGTTGCAGATACTATTTGAGCTGATGACATAGCGGCCATGTGCTGGAGTGCTTTGTCCTTTGCAGTCTGATCCTTCAACATGACAATTACAGGCATTCATTAATAGAATGGACACAACAAATCACACCAAGCAAGCACAGCTAGGAAGCACATATGCTAAAATAAATTTTATTTTTTTTAAGGCACAGGAAATGTGAAAAATAAAAGCATACCATGCAGGGGGGGAAATGTAGCACAAGGGGTAAAATACATTTGGATTTCCTCAGGGTAAAGTTCTCTGCTCCATATTATCATGACTCGGTTTAAGTAGGAATACAATTCCCTACTGCAAATCGGTAGGAAGTCAGCTAGAATTTAACCCAGGACTGAATTTTATTCCCCCCCTCCCCACAAACCAGAACAGAGTCTGAATCATCATTTGAAAGTCTTTGTTGAGCCCAAACAGGAACACAACAGCAGCAACAAAATCAGGTGACTAGTTCATAATAGAGATTTGCCTAAATACACAACAGCCCTGATAGGGGTAATGATCTGAAGGCAGCTGAAGCTATGGTCTTGCTGAAGCTAAGCAGGTTTGGCTCTGGTCACTGCCTGAAGGTGAGACTGCCTGGGAATTGCATGTAAGCAGCCTTGGGCCCCATGACAAAAGAAAGGTGGGTTATTAATGTAGGAAACAAATGATGTCACCGATTGCAACCAGATGGGAACCTGAGACCCTGAAACTAACATCTATAAGGATATTTAGGTATTTCTGGAATCCACCTGGCTTCTCTTTAACAGCCCTCTCTTCAAGAGCTCAGGAGAAGGAAGCCTGTTGCTTTAAAACCCACACTTCACTCTAAGAGGCTGGAAGAAGAATAGGAAGGCAGGGCAAGGCAAGGCATGCACTGCACAATATTTCACACATGCTGTAGTGCTAAGCTACTGCTGGTGCCTATTAAAGTTGTGGAAAACTGAACTGGAGGATTTAATCCAGCCAAAGTTAAATACTTTTAAAGCCTATTGCTTTCAGCAGCAGAGATTTAAACCTGTACTTAAGGCTTCTGTTGAAACCAAGCTTTCCTTAGGTCTGACTGTACCCTTAAAGGCTCCACACCCACACTCGGTGAAGTAGGAACCCCAGAAATACTTGGGAAATACTTGATTCCATATATGTTACTACATATACTATTTATGATACTAAATGCTAAATAGGTTTATTTTATAACAACCCTCAATCTATAAATGATACTGTTCAAAATCAGCGGTGGACTTGCTCTAATGCAGTTTCTCCAACTTAGGTCTCTGACTGTTTCTGGACTACAACCCCCATCATCCCTAGCTAGCAGGACCAGTGGTCAGGGATTATGGGAACTGTAGTCCAAAAAGAGCTTGAGATCCAAGTTTGGGAAACCTTGGTCTAAAGGTAACCCTGGTTATCCCCAATCCCAATTATCAGCCATGCCAGGGTCAAGCCAGAACCATGGGCAGGTGCACCATGGTTTAGATGTGTGATGTGCAGAGCAGGATCCCTGAAGTAGGTGGCTGGAGCTGGGAGGTACTGGAGTCTAAAGTACAGCAGGCACTGCTCTCTTGAGAAGCAAGGGCAGCTTGCTAAGCTCCTGGTGCTTATGCCGAGTAAAAGACTGAAGAGGGCTCTGAGGCTTGAAAGTGTGCAGTCCATAGAAGCTCAGGTCCCAGCCTGAAACAATCAAGTTCAGATCCCAGCCCTGAAGTAAATGACCTTTGGGAGTTAACCAGGCAGCAGTTTTATATTTCTCTCTCACCCTATTCCAAAGGCTCATGCTAAGGAAGCTAGACACAACCCAAACACAATGAAGCCCTTGTAGGAAGGTTCTCAAATCCTACACAGGCCTTCCACAGTACGTCTAGTCTTAGATTTGAATACTTGGCTGCACAACTGCACAGGGCCTACAAGTCACTTGGTGGCTGCTTGTGAATAACAGAACCAAGCATGTGAAGTCAACTGCGCGAGGAAGATGCATTTCCCTGGCCTCACTTTCCCTGGCATTTCCCAGCATTCACACACTGAGCTCCCTCACCTCCACCATCACCATATGGGACCACAGCGCAGGGAGGTGGCTCCTTTGGGTAGCTCTCTGTGAAGCGGCCTGTAAGCCCTGGATTTGGGATCCCATTGGGTAAGAAGATACTGGCAAGACATGGGAAACCGTACCATGGACCTCCAGGTCTTCCTAGGGAACCAGTCCCTTGTTACGAATAAATCTGGCTTCAGCAGAATTCTGTAGCAGCCTTATTTATATATTCCACGCCACAAGTTCCTCTTGCTTTGAAGGAAAAAATGTTTTGGGCGAAAGCTAAACTTTGGGTATAAGACTGAACGATAAAGGAACACAAGCGCTAAGAGGCAGATTCATTGTTACAAGCAAAATCGCAAGCATGCTAGCCAGGAAAGCATGCCATCCAATATGGTAGACGAATCCGCACACATAATTCCCCCCAAAGCCCGTAATGAGAGGTTGAGCAGCTTCTTCATTTCAACAGCTCCTTTAGAAACAGCAGAGGCTAACAGTACAGTTAAAGCTAGCTAAAAGAAAAAAAAGAAAGAAAAGGGGGGGGGGAGCCTGCCAAGCACAGCTGAAGTATGTAATACTTGCTTTACTGAAAAAATACTTACCATGCTTGTTACCTGGATGCAACAACAAAAAGTTTGTTAAAATGCTTCTGTACAAGTGCAGTTTCTTAGCAAAATATGCTCTAGCACAATTAAAATTGGAAGGTGTTCCTAGTCATTTCGTACACAGAGTTTAACAGTTATTATTAATTTTCACCAAGGAACTGATTCATCAAAAGAAGAAAAGGACTAATTGTATTAATGCCTACCACGCTGATAAAATTAAATGACCAGCTTGGCAGCTGTTAGGTCCCCATTTAAAAAGCTGTGGAAACTGCTGTAATAAAACTATTACAGGTTGCCTATTTTATGCTGGTTTGCTGGGGGTATGGGCGGCAGGGGGAGCAGCTGCTCTCAGAGGTATCTCCCCCCCCCCCAAAAAAAATCCTGAGCAGAATTCAAGCGGAAACCTGATCAGGTGTTAATGCTTCGAGAAGCGACATTAACACCTGTGGACCCATCTGTAGCCTGCTCTTCCAGAGTCACAGGGGAACTGGCTGAGAGCAATATGGCTGCTGAAGAAACCCGGCTTTTAGCAGCAGCGGGGATGCCGTAGAGTGAGAAATCAACTTATTCAAACAATTATGCCAACTGCTTGACCTATTTTTCGACTCCTGAGGTTTTTGGGTCTTGCATTATTATTCGAAATAGTTAGCAAGGAACTCTTCAGAGTGAAAAACGAAATGAAACTGCCTCTTTCGAGCAGATTTATAATGATAAAAGAGGGAATCGGCTTTGTTTTCTTGTATCACAGGCAGCACGCGGTGACTGTACATCTGTTAGTGTCATGGCTGGGCCAGTGGCACTCATGCCAGGAATGAAGCTTGGAGTTGCCACTCCGTAACCAGGCAGGGCAAGAGAGGGCCAAGCTCCTGACCAACCCAGAAGCTTCAGATTGCCTGCCAATTGGAGGAGCAATGTCACATGTCCATATTCCTTTTTCATTCCCAAAGAGAGCTTTTGCTGCACAAGCATGTACAGACCCCGAGGGGCTATATAATTCATTTGTGGATCAATGAAACTGAGGTCAAGAGAAGGATTATATTATTCAAGAAATTTATAACAGCTGTTTTATCATTTCTTTTAATTACATGCCATTGTATTTGCATTCCATTTGGTCAAAATTTAACAAATAGATATGTGCATATACATTTTATATGTATCTGTGTATGTTGGGTGTGAGTAGGGCAGAACAGCTAACATAACTGCAGAATGTACATAAAAAGTGTGTCCTTTTGGAAAGAAATTTTCTATTCAGTAGAATGAAAAATCAGGGTGGGAAAATTTCTTACTTGTTTGGAGTCTTAAATCATTTCTTGTCTGAGGGAACCCCAGGCAAGGTGTGGTTTGTTTGTTCCAGAATAACTAATGACCCACTATTATCTGGATTAAATGGCTAATTTGTAAAATAAACTATGATGTATAAAAAAGGCATATTACAGCATATTACAGGGCATGGATAGGACTAGGTAGCATTCAGGGTCTCTTCAAATCCTCTGATTTTATTATCAACCCTACATAATGAAAAGGAAGCTTTACCTTCCTCACTCATATGCAGCTATTTCTGAGGTAACTCATAACAACTGATTAATCACACATTAAAATGCTACATGACAGTCTGAGCAGCTAGTGAAGAAGACTACATCCAATTAAAACTGGATGGGGAATTTAGGCAGGCAGATTAGTAGTAATTACTGAAACTGGAATTTGGCCAAGATACATGACTTAACACCCGTATTCTCCACCTCTGAGTGCACTGGGATCTTTAATGAACACAAGCGATCAAGACCTTGACTTCCTAAGAAAATGGGTGTGTGTTTCCACTGTCAGTTATGCTGCAGTAAATACGAAATGGCTTAATTGTAGTCATGCAAAATTATGCAGTCACTAGGCAAATGTGAAGCAGAATTTGTTTAGAATAGTTTGCCTTCAAGTGCCATGATTGGCTTCTGGTGCTAGTAATGCTAACATTATTTTCCTGTCGTTTACAGTAAAGTGTTCCTTGGCTGACTCTCATCTAGTATTGATCTTTGAAACCTTGGAACAGGCAAGCATTCCCCCAAGATGACCCTGAAATAGTCCTTGAATGTCTCTTGCAATACGTTATTTTCCAAAAAGGGGCGGGGCTTAATTTGCTTCCGTATTTTGTCATTTTTGATCCATACAGGGACCATTGCAATACTGTTTCCCAAGAAAAATGATCGCCGCCCAAGTAATTATCTACATATCCTTGTTCCCTAAAATGTCCCTTCTACTTCTGGGAGAGAATTTGGAGGGTATCACATGTGAGGCATGGACTCCCAATAAAATATGTGGATAGAGAAAGTGGGCGATGTTCTCACATAAATGGCCAGAAGAGATGGGATGGGTGCCTAGGCTGGGAGAAGTTGGTTAAAAAGAAAGAAAGCGGGTACAGTCGTACCTTGGTTCTTGAACGGAACGCGTTCCAGGAGTCTGTTTGACTCCCAGAACCATTCAAAAACCAAGGCTACAGCCAATCGGAAGCCGCGGAAGACGTTCAGCTTTTGAAAATCGTTTGAAAACCGGAACACTCACTTCTGGGTTTCAGTCGTTTGGGAGCCGATTTGTTAGGAGCCAAGGCGTTTGAGATCCAAGGTACGACTGTAAACCCAATGGCATTGCCTTTCTGTCCAAGCTGTTGCCCCTGGTTTGGCTCCACCTACAAACATGTGGAGGAGAGAGAGCATCCCAAGAGCTCACTTCACTTCACTTCACTCCACTCCACTCCTTGTGCTCTCCAGATTTGTGATGTGTGGTTTCTATGTGCACTAAGTGGTACACACAGAAATTTTTCTGGAAGCCTAATCATGCAGGGTTCCTGATGATTGGAAAGGGTCTACAAACAGAGAAACCCCATTGCTACCATTTGCTCGATGCACAAAAGTCAGGTGGTGGGGGTCTTCTGCCACTATCCTGCTCTCTTTCCCACATGTTTCCTCTATGTGTGAAGCCAAACGTAAGAAAGAGCATGTGAAGAAAGATTTATTTGAAAATGAATGGTTATGTGTGGCCAACTGCATGAAAAATAGAGTGGTAATGAGCATTGCAGATGGGAGTAGGCAGAACAGCAGGAACAATTGTTGCATGTGGACAGAAAGAAAGGAGGATGCTGGGCAAGTAGGGGCTATAAAGCAGGTTCTTGGAAGAGAGGGGTGATCTTTGGTTCAGAGAGAGGGTTTCCTGCTCATTGAGATGTACCAGTTGTGACCAGTTCATAAGCAGTGACTAAACCAGGCATAGGTAAACTCCGACCCTCCAGACGTTTGGGACTACAATTCCCATCATCCCTAGCTAACAGGACCAGTGGTCAGGGATGATGGGAGTTGTAGTCCCAAACATTTGGCGGGCCAGAGTTTGCCTATGCCTGGACTAAACACAACAGCCCTCTCCCCACTGTGTATCTCCAGTATCTTATATTCAGAGTTCTATTTTTCTGTTTCTCTGTAACAGAAAGTGTCATTTAGTGATTATGGTGGATAGCCACAGATAAGACTTGCACTCCACAAATTTATCTCATTCCCTTATAAAGCTATTGCCACACTGCGTGGCAATGAATCCCATAAGCAATTTATGCACTTTGTGAGTAATTGCTCTGTCTGCCGCACATACTCTAACAATAGTTTTCATTGGGTGATTCTAAGGTTGTGAAGGAGCGTAAGTAAAATGCCTCTCGATCCATCTCTTCTCCTCATTATGGAATTTTATAAGAACTTCCTTATGGGTCCCCCTTTCATCTGTTTTTATTCTGAGCTACAAAACACAATGCACCCTGAGCAAAGGCTAAAGGGAAGGCAATCCACCTTACTGAGAATTTTGGTTGCTCTTGCGGGGTCAGACAAAGTAACTGTACATGATAAAAGGAGAGGGGAGATGGGGGGCATGTGTGTAAAACACAAAAAGAGCTTTGGAGCTGAGGAAAACAGAAATCAAAGTGCTTGTACAGAGCACAAGGTGCTGATGGTCATCCTATGCATTCGACAAAACTCTTGAGGCTGCATCTGTTATGAAGCTGAGTGTAATATGTTCATGATTAATAATTTTATTGTTTACTACTTTGTTTACTACTTGTTTTCAATTTGCAAGCCATTAGAGAACATTAACAGATATGGGATATATTAAAATTAAATGTAAACCAACATTTACATTTGTTCCCTCCCAACTCTACAATGCTATTATATCTTTTAATGAATCAGAGCCCTGTGTATCCTTGAGTGCCAGCTGGTTTTGAAGTAAATGCCATAAAAGATTAACATGCTGGCCATGTTACATCCACCATAGTTCAGTTTGCTGTATACAAACTTCTGCAAGCCTCTGACTAGCACCCTTCCTCCCTTCTCATTTTCTGGTTCAGAAGGGTTTGGAAACTGCTGCTTCCATTTTTGCTTAGCCATAGTTTGTTGTATCATCTAAACTGACAAATGTGCTTAATGTTAATTACAGCTTTAAAAAACTAAACTAAACTACAGACAAGCATGATGTCCAAATGTGGTCATTCCATTTTTTTTAAACCTGTGATAAAACAGGTTGGAATGGATTTTTTAAAGGCAAGAAATTAGCAACATTTGTTCATCATCTGTTCTAAAACTAATGTACACTTCGAAATAATTCACTGAGCCTAAGCAACCTACTCAAAATGCTTTCGTATCCCAGGGAAATGAAAGAGATATGCAATATAACTTTTCAAAATATATTCTTGGTATAATTAAAAGAAGGGATAATGTGCATTTTAAAAAATCAACAGCATAAATTATGTGGTATTACATATTTTCATTAAAACCCACATAGACATCTAACAAAACATTACTTTAAAAAATGTTCAGGCAAAGAAGCTGCAATTTGCTCTTAAAATGAATTTTACAGTAAAGCATGAAATACTAGCATAAAACAGTTTTCTAATAAGTAATTTTACAAATCTTAGTTCTGCATTTAGACTGTATTGATTAGAATAACCTCTGAAATTATTTGCTGGAGCTAAAAAAAAACAAACCATGGAAGTATACAATTGTACTGGGCAAAAGACAGTTGAATAATTGTAGCCATGATCTCCAATTTGCTTATTATTAGAGAAGACAGTAGTAAATACAAAAGCCGGCTATTTCAGCCAGGCAATAGCTAATGCTAAAAGAGAACCCACATTCAAAGCTATTCCAACTTGCTGCCTAATGAGGAGCAATTAATCCATCTTATTGTATCTCAAAATGCAGAAGACTTCATTCACATCAAAGGGAATTTTCCAAGGCTTTTATCATTGTTCATTTATTAAAAACAAGAAAAAGAAAAAGGCTCTATAGAGCTATCTTTAGCATCCTAACTGTCAACAGTATTTTCTTTTTACATGCAGGCAGCACAGAATGTACACTAATGGATTTTAAAGCACCACATACATGCAAACTGTAGGCATTTTTAAAAAAAATTTGGCTTCCTTTAATGAATTTTAAGCTCACATGCTAATGAATACTGGAAATCAAAGCCAAATATCTTGTTATCTCTAGGACAAAATACCCTTTTAATATCCATACACCTGCTCAGATCTTTTGGGGAGAGATATCCACATCTATTGTCCCCCCAAGTATGAAACTGTTCCAGTGTTTACAGAAGTAGCACATTATGGCACACCAATGCAAAAGGTGGAGTTGTGACATTTCCTAGTTTTAGTGGTATTCTCTTCCTGAACTATCAAAATTGCCATAACTAACACTGAGGAAATTTCCATCACCTATGGATTTTCAAACTTGGGTTAGAATGTGCAGACTTCTCCAGACTATACATGGGGGATTCCAGAGGCGTTTCCCACAGCAAGATAGGGCAAGGACAACCATGTGTTCCTTAAGACTCAGGTTCATGTACCTAGAAACCATCCTCTTCAGTATGTGCCTAAAGGTACAGCTGCTGCCATGTTAAAACGCTTTTAGAAATTGCTTGTTTGAATGCATATTTATTAAAAATGTATTCAAACTGGCTGTATTCTTCTTGATTATTAAGGCAAAATATGTAGTCAGGCCACACTCTGATTTTAACCCTGTTATCCCACAGTCTTTTGTGGGCAAATGGAGTCGTTCCATTTGTGGGCAGCTAAGTTTGTATTTAAGCCATTTATCATTTGGCCTTTGGTTTTTATATTCTGGGACTTGGCCCTAATACATTATGATGCTTGGGCAAAATATCCTGGAATTTCTGCTTGTGCAACAGGACTTGCCTCCCTCTGCTTCCCTCACACACGCCCTGGATCCTGGAACAAATTTAGGAGTTGTGAGGGAGGAAAGAAGGGGAAGTCCCATCATGCAAGTAGAAATCCTTGTGATGATGAGAGGCACCACTTAGTACCCCCAATGGTTCTCATCATTTCTTCATTTGCCTTTCAATACTGGGTTGCAGCTCCCACAGAACCCAGCAGCTGCCCAGAGAAAAGCACTTTTAACAGCTTGCTGGTGTAAGAGATGAAATCTTCCCTGACCCCCTGCAAGACAAGCTTGTTTCTGTGTACATGTGGATTGGACCTTATGGCCTATCAAGCATCGTATGTCTGGGCTTGTGTTAACTGAGATGGCAACTGTTGGATTGGCCACTTCTGTTTACATGGTGTTTCTCCCTTGGGTATCATAACTAGAGAGGATGGGCTTGCTGTTTCCCTTCTTGATTCTGCTTATCTCCACACCTAAGGTAAGGGCTAGTTTTCCATATCCGCTTCAGTGGCATTTCTAGATTTCCTAGATCCCCTGAAGCAAGGATGTTGAAGCTGCACATTGCCCTGCTCCTATAACATGGCACTTACAGGGAACAGTATGCTGCAGGATCACATCACTAGCAACATTGAGATATTCAGCAGATCTGAAAAAGCCCACACAGATACAAATAAAATCTGAATATGGGCCATTATTGTGAATACATTCTATTCAGATCTTCTGCAGGACATAAAATGTCATAAATTGGAGAGAGGCACTTGATCCCACTGCCCTCATGCATTATTCTGTCTGATTGCATGATGCCAAGTGAACAATGCACTAGTTGAACAGTCGTCATCTGTCAGAAATGGGGACACTGCTGAAGTTCAGAATTATCAAATTCAGAATACAGATTTGCCCAGTTTTTAACATTTTGCTGTATGACTCAAATTGTATTTCCCTGAAGACATACTACAGCTCAGAATGCAAACTAAAGTTCTGCACATGTGCAGAATAAGCTTTTAGCAAAAGTCTATTTTCATCCCTAGTCATGGTGGCCTCTGCTTCATACAGAGGCTTACAGAGGAAGTCAAAACTTGTATGAGACTTTGCATCTTCACAGAAAGCCAAAGTCTCTATCTTCTCTGATTTTACAAAGTAATTGAATAGGTTTGATAATATCTTGGCTGATGTGTCCCAAAAGAACTGCAAGGGGACACTACTCCTTAGAAGGACTGGTAGTGCAAGAGTAAATGTACTCAGTGCTCCACCTGCTGCTGCAGGCAGACTGAGAGTAGGCACTGCTACCTCAGTCTCCCACCTAATCTGCACCAACTCGGGAAGAGGCTTGGTACAATTAGCTGTGTGCCATTTCTAGTACTGTGCTGGAACTGTCATTCAATTTCTCAAAAGTTTTCTTTCCCTAAGAATGAAGCTTCCATTCCCCCCCCCTACCCTATTCTCAATGCATTTTTGAATTCCTGTATGTGCAAGGATCTGATCTTGAGTTATCATTCAGCAATAATAATAATAATAATAATAATAATAATAATAATAATAATTTATTATTTATATCCCGCCCATCTGGCTGGGTTTCCCCAGCCACTCTGGGCAGCTTCCAGCTAAACACTAAAATACAACAAACTATTAAACATTAAAAGCTTCCCTAAACAGGGCTGCCTTCAGATGTCTTCTAAAAGTTTGGTAGTTATTTTTCTCTTTGACATCTGGTGGGAGGGCGTCCCACAGGGTGGGTGCCACTACCAAGAAGGCCCTCTGCCTGGTTCCCTGCAAGGTGGCAGAGGTCTCTTCTTTACAATAAAGAAGAAGAAGTAGTAGTTTGGATTTGATATCCTGCTTTATCACTACCCTAACAAGTTTCAAAGGGGCTTACAACCTCCTTTCCCTTCCTCCCCCACAACAAACACTCTGTGAGGTGAGTGGGGCTGAGAGACTTCAAAGAAGTGTGACTAGCCCAAGGTCACCCAGCAGCTGCATGTGGAGGAGCGGAGACGCGAACCCGGTTCACCAGATTACGAGTCTACCGCTCTTAATCACTACACCACACTGGTGTAGTGTCTAGTCCCCAGTAGTTTGCAGCCTCCCTAGCTGCCTGCACTTCCTGATCTCAAAAAGCCCCTTTAGAAGAGTTAACCTCATGACATCTTCCCTGGACTTTAATTGAAGCCAGCAGAACCCAAGAAGGCTGCAGAGTGCAGAACAGTGGAGAGATTATTTGTAGAATGAAATAAATGGCACTCACAAATGGTCCTTGGCAATTGTAAGGCAAGCAAGAGAAAAATTTCACACCCCACCTATAGAATTTCACTGAAAATTTATCTTCCCTTTGGTAAAAATGCAAGTGACTGGGGGCGGCCGCCGAGACCATATAACACCAGTCTTGAAAGACCTACATTGGCTCCCAGTACGTTTCTGAGCACAATTCAAAGTGTTGGTGCTGACCTTTAAAGCCCTAAACGGCCTCGGTCCAGTATACCTGAAGGAGCGTCTCCACCCCCATCGTTATGCCCGGACACTGAGGTCCAGCGCCGAGGGCCTTCTGGCGGTTCCCTCATTGTGAGAAGCAAAGCTACAGGGAACCAGGCAGAGGGCCTTCTCGGTAGTGGCGCCCGCCCTGTGGAACGCCCTTCCAGCAGATGTCAAAGCGATAAACAACTACCTGACATTCAGAAGACATCTTAAGGCAGCCCTGTTCAGGGAAGTTTTTAACGTGTGATATTTTACTGTATTTTTGGTTTCTATGGAAGCCGCCCAGAGTGGCTGGGGAGGCCCAGCCAGATGGGCGGGGTATAAATAATAAATTATTATTATTATTATTATTATTATTATTATTATTATTTGGCACATCATTAGTCACTACTTCTTTCCACTCAACCCACAGGAGCTAGAAATAAGCAGGCATATGACAACCTGGGCTGAGTAAGACCTACTCAGTCACCGGAACTGTCTGTGTGAATTTGGGAGATGGTCTCACACTTTCCCTCTCCTGCCCCTACCACATTCTTCTGTTGTCTTTGCATACACTGTGCTGACATAATATAAAAGAGAACCTATGCTTGCAGGTCCCCTGCAAGAGAATCTCATAAAGCAAGTTCTACTCCACAAAGTCAAAGACATCCTATATTCAAGGAAATGCAGGACAGCCCAGTTCCATTGTTATAATTATGATAGTACTGAGGAGGATGGCAGTACAAACCTCATACCAACTCCCAAAATCATCATGGATTCTGTTCTGGCGACCCATCTGACTCTTGTCTATTTCTTTCTTAAGGACCATATACATAATTTCTACTTCACATAAAATAATATATTTTGCATGGGTGGAGTCACTGCCACTTCATAGATGGTTATTATTATTATTATTATTTTATTATCAATCCTTTTCCATAGAAACATCTCCTAGTTATTTCTTCACTGTAGCAACAAGGAAACTCGAGAGCAAGACTTGTGATAATCAGTGGTTAATTTTCATCAGTGCCTGGTCGCCCAAAGCACATTTTACTGCCGTAACTTGTCTCTTTACGCTGAAGTACATGCTGACATTGTGGGAGTGGCAGAAATTATTACTCGACAGATGTATCAGCAGATTCTTTCAGCAAATTCCATGGAACCAGTGCATTCAACAGAAAACATCACTAAACTAAATTCAGTGGAGAGAGAGAGAGAGAGAGAGAGAGAGAGAGAGAGAGAGAGAGAGCCCACCAGGAAAAAGGACTTGCAGGTATCATTGGTGTTTACTTTGCTGCCTTGCTCTGCAGAAGCTTCATCATCATACAGGCGGTGCAGCAATAAGATATAAGTTCAAATTTAAAAGTGGTGCATTTTAAAATATTTTAGGTGTGGGTAAGAAACACGCCTGGGTGGTTTTCCTGCATGGCAGAATTGCAACTTTTTAATCCTAAGAATAGGCTCTTTAGTAGAAATCGAAGCAGGTAGCCCATGCTAACAAATGTCTGACTTCAGTTCCACAAAGGAATCTGCAGGTGCCCACTATTAATTTAGTACATGGTGTCAGTACACTGCTTAATTTTCTAAACAGGAGCTAAGATGCCTAGTTTTAGCCATTAAGTTTGACAGTTTTAGTCTGAAAATGCTACAGCCTTCTGTATCGTTGCACCTTGGGTTAAGAAGCAGTACTTTCAGAGTTCCCTTAGTTCTTCACCAACCGCAACTGCTCAGCCAGCCCCGCTCACAAGCCAGCCACCAACAGCCATACAAGCTTGCCAGCATGCTGCCCACAGCATATTGAAAACCCAAAGCTCCTGACAAGTAGGACAGTTACAAAGCCAGGCCTGTTATTTACATACTGCAGTTCCAGGATTGCGGCAAGCAACATCCACAGTGTTTACCACTTAGGGCAGCATAATCACTTTCTGAAATGCTTTTTGCTTTCAAGTGACTTTAAACAAACAAAAACCAAAAAAAAGCTCAGCAAAAAGACAGACAAACATTAGTAGGATCTCAGATGATAGTCAAGAAGATGCTATAGTTTACTGAAAAATTAAAACAAAGCAAAAAAAAATCACCCAAAACCTAACAACTGGACATTCAGGGATTCTTTTATGTAAAAATCTGGAAACGGAAGCATTTTTTATCACTTCGTCATTCCTCTCAGAAATCAGAAAATGGGGGGTGGGGTCATCACTCTTAAAGTTTAAGGGAAGCAATTAATATCTTTCCCTAGGTTATTCAATTTAGGAAACTACAAAGATAAAACTATTCAAAAAGCCCAATCCTACAGATGTTTACTCAAAATTAAGTCCCACTGTGCTTAGTGGAGTTTACTCTCCAATATGTGAGTTTAGGATAGCAGTCAGATTTACACAAATGGGACTTCCCCTTTCTTTTCCTCTCCTCTTTGAAACAGATGGGGAGACCTGAGACTGGATCTCACCCAAAGGGCGTAACTCAAAGTTAATCACTTCTAAGTCACACTGATTTCAAGCCGAGAGCAGATGCCTAACTTTTCTGCTGAAGCCAATGAAAGTGCTTCACTCTGAGGGGGATCATAGCTGGAGTCAACATTTTACTTTGGGTAACAAGTGATTTAAAGGTGGATGTGGCAAATTAGACTCTCCGGAAATCACAGACAAATGTAAAATAGCCTGAGGTAGGATAGGAATCTAATGCTGATCAGAAAACGTGTTTTCTTTTATCTATCTATTTATTTCTTTTAAAATCCCTGCAAGTATTTTTAAAATCCAGATAACAAGGGGGTGGGAGTGGGAAATGTACCATCTCAGTTATCAAACTGCAGCTGCAAGTGTGTGCACATACAAAACTCCTATTTAACTGCAGTGCTTTTAGTACTAACACTAAGTTAATGCTTTTTTTTGTTTGTTTAAAAAAAGAACCTTTAAAAAAGGAGTACACATGCACACAGCAAGTAACATTTTTGAAGGTTGTTAAAAAAAAAAAAATAGAGAGAGAGAGGCCAGTGCAGAAATCAGCGAAGGGAAGAGATTAAACACAAAGAAATGTAAACAGCCACCACATGCAAGGAAACTAGGTTACAAGAATCACAGCACCAGGCATTCACCGATCACCAGGGAAAACAGGAAGTGAAAGGCATAGCAACCACAAGCCCAAAAGCAGAAAAGCGCATACCTTCAGCTTGGAATGAAAATCACGAGATTTCCTTCTGGCAAGAACCTGAATGTGACTAGACACCTGCAGGGTAGGGGAAGGGAGGGAAACAAAGGAAAAGCCTGTAACCATGGAGATGAAAAGCCCCCTACAACTGGGCAAGCCAAACGTACCTTAATGGCGGCTTGAATTTCTCGAACTTTCTTCCTTGCTAAGACCTGTATGTGACTAGACACCTACATTGTTCAGAGTTATAAAAGAAAAGGGGGAAAAAAGAATAAAAAAGAAAACACAAAAGAAACACAAAAAATCAAACATCTGTTTTTCTTTTTTAAAAAAATAAAAAAATAAAAGTTTATTTGGGGAAGTTATTTGCATCTTCAGTAAGCTTTGCTGTTAAGAGAAGACATTCCCAGCCACACACCACACTTTTAGCACAGTTTACTGATCATCACTGCAGTGACATGATTAAGAAGAAAACATTTTAGACTACTCGATTTATTTTTCTGACAGAGAAACTAGGACGTTGCCTACCGTTAAAGACTGCATGCTCTTTTCTTAAAACCTTTTCAGCTACAGTCTTTGTAGTAAAGGCATGCCTTATGGATAAATATTTGCAGATATTTTTCAGAACAAATGTTTGCTTAATATCTGATAAGACTATATAAAATTTAAGGACAAGCAGAGTGCCAAGAAAGTTGTATTTTGATGTATTCAATAGCTCTTAAGTTTCGTTGCAATTAATTAAGGAACACCCAGTTTCAAATGGAACATGAATGAATATTGCATATACAAATACTGCAGTCATAATTGTGGAGCAAAACTATCTTTGCTACACTATGGCTACAATAGAAGCATGACAAACTTTGTAAGCAATTTATCTCATGGTCAGTTTCATGTCATTATTTTGCACTAAACCAACGGAGGAGGAGGGGAATGTTATGTCAAAAACAGAACACTGGACTCAGCTAGACTGGTAAAGGAAAAGCAATTTATATGCGCTGTATGTGCAATATAACATTGCACCACCAGATGGTGAGGTGGAGTCCCGTTTTTCTCTACCTGTTTTCCCTGTTTAAATTTACAACGCTTTAAACTGAATGAATGAACCAAATACAGGGTGTACAGAGTACACATGTTCCACGGGGCCTCTTTTAAAAGACCCACCCTGTATAACCATCATGTTGCCGACTACTGGCTGTATCACATTCATATCCTATCCCCTTTCAAAGGTGCTCAAGTTAGCATAGGTACTATCTCAATATCACTACAACAACCTTTTGAGGCAATGAACCAAAAAGTTAAGGTCATCCCGTGTTCTTCGTTGTTGCGTGCAGATTGAACTCTGGCTTCCTCGCTCCATGTCCTACACACTAATAGTACTACATGCTACACATCTGTAAGACAGCTCTATTATTATACTGAGGATAGAAAAGACTGGTGTAACAAAAATCTGCAGGAAGCATTAAACTTCTGTATTGTGTCCTGTATGATGAAAATTACAATTGACCAGCAGCGTAAGAAATCCACACAGTGTTTACTGGTGAAGCCCAATCACAAATCCTTCCTCTTGACATAACAAGTTTAATAAACTGTTTCAATAGCCATCTGTTTCTCTGTTAATCATGAGTGTCCATAATGCAGAGAATTTTATCAATCACAAATGCATATATCACTTTTTTAAAAAAATCAAATCAGTAGGAATAGCAATGTCCACACAGCTCTCTGGCAAACTCCATAACAGAATATTCTATGTAGATAGAAGAAGCCTTAATCCACTTCAGCAATTAAGTATCACATGGTTCCAAATGCAATGAAACCAAGAAACATTAAAAATCTAATGACTACCCCTCTCCCCACCTCAATGCTCCTATAAAACATCTTCCCAGGGGACAAGCTGTCTATCACCAAAAGAAACTTTCGGAACCTTCACCCAAAAGGCAGTCAGATAATTGGCTGGAATGACATGAAAGTCACTACCTTTATAAATACTTCCTCAGAATCACACATAAAAGATACTAATGGAAGTTATTATATCCCACATCTATTCATTAGAGGGATATTTTGTATTACCAGTGTAATTATACAGAGTAGCTGTAGGTTTGCATCAGGCAGACCCACAGTCACAGCACAATCTAGTCCCGGGACACAATTCTTACCCTTTATAGACAATCTGTATTATTGGATTATTTATTGGTATATTTTTACTTTTAAAACTTCAGGAGCCCTTTAATGTTCACTTGCGGAATTTCCACACAAGTAGGCTTTCCTGCTGAATTCAGTTTGAGGGGTTAACACACAGAATCAATGGGAGGAATGTGTGGCACCTGACAAAATCAGCTGAGAAAATCCTGTGTGTGTGTGTGTGTGTGTGTGAGAGAGAGAGAGAGAGAGAGAGAGAGAGAGAGAGAGAATGTGTATTCCTGTAAACTGGAGGAGTCCATGGAATCTGGCTCAGTTCTGTACCACACCAATTTGACTTAAATGTGTTTTCTAAATGAAAATGCAGGGACTCGGCACTTTTCTAGCTATACGAACAGGTAAGGTGGAGATCAAAGAACGTTTAAAAAAAGGATGTCTTCATAAGTAAAATGTCTCCATTATAATTCCTAAATTCTGTTCTCTCTCCACTTCAGTTAAAAGCCCTGTTTAGTAACCTTTGCGAATTGGTGGCAGCTCAGTGGCAGAGCATATGCTTTTTGCATGGAAAAGATTCCACGGTCAATTTCTCTCCAAATAGGACTGGGGAAAGGCACCACCAGTCAATGCAGACAATACTGCACTAGCTGAATGAATGATCTGACTTGCTGTGAAGCAGCTTCTTGTATTCTGAATAGGAAAACTAAGTTTACATACAACTGGTGCAAAGACTGGCTCCATTCAGACATTACACCCACACAAACCAGAGGCTGAGCTTCCAAATATATAGGTAAACTATAGTTCGCAGCTATTTGTGTAATTTCATTTTCCTTCTGCTCTGCGCAGTCTTTAGTTACAGCAACGATGGTTTATAAATGGAGATACCACTCCAAACTATAGTTAGCAAAAATCATGATTTCCACATTTGCATTGTGCCCGCTGGTTCACAAATGATGGCTTCAGTGGCGGAGCTTCATGCTCTGGCACCGGGGGGCAGAGAGCAGGCAGGGGGGGGCGCACTGTCCGCGGGGGGGGGGGGCGCCCAGAGCAGGGGGGGGGCAGCTGCAATGGCACCCTACCAGGATCGTGCTGCCAGGGTGTGCTCCCCCCGCACTCCTCTTCCTCCGCCAGTGGATGGCTTATTTAACTAAGCCATAATTAAACTTTCTCAACCATGGTTGGCACGGTATCTGAACTGACCGTAACTAAGACAAATGGAACACAACTGCTACTTATCCAGGGAAATGCCTAAGGGCTGAGTGATGCTAATGCTGCCTTTTAGTCTCTTGTGAACTCTGATGCAAATTCTTCAAAGCCATGTCCATCTCTTGCCTGATTTTGGAAGTCATGTCTGATAGGAAATTAAAATGTTACTTGTGAAAACTACCTTAGGCTTTAAAAAATAATAATACACAAAATACCACATCCAGTTCTGTAAGGAAAGCAGACAGTTGTGGGGGGTTTTTAAGCCTGCAAATTACCTGCAGGTAACAGCTTATCCAAGAAACACAAATAACATTGTAGGTTGGGTTACTAGTCTTTTTTTATGGTTGCTTGCCCCTCATTTTTGTTGCTGCTTGCCTAAATTTCACTGTACTTAGATTTCACCAGCAAAAATACAATTATTTCACTATAAATAAGTAGCTGCATATACAACTTGCATTTGGCCATTACCTTCCCTTTTCCCCTCAGTTGGCATTGCCTTTCACCATGCCTCAAAACAGGCACAGCATGCCTATGTAGGAACTTCAACCCTTCCCTTCACACACACCATTATTAAGCCCCTGAGAATTCTAGATGAGTAAGATGGAGTTCAGAATGCAAAAGGAGGATGGTGTCTTTTTTAAAAATAAAAAGAACGTAGAGTTGAGCAGAGCTAAATGGCAGAAAAGCTTTGGTGGGAAGCTACATCAAATTCCAGTCTGCTGCAATTCTGGAGTAGATTGTGGAAGCTGGAAGGGGCTGCATAACTCATTCTGGGCCTCCATAAAAGTTTGTGATTCTTTTTAGATAGATAGACCTCTCTTCACAAGGTCAATAGTCCTCTGATACATAAAGGAGGAGATGGCCTGGCACCTGCTGTGAGCATCCTAGGTCAATCCTGGTATGCACTCCCTGAATTCCAGGGCAGAAGGTATGCAATGCAGCAAGGCAAGAATCAAAACTCTACTCCCTCATTGTTTTGGAGAATCACGGGGTTCATGAGCAAATGCACCACCTAGCTCCTAGACCCAGAGGCCTCCATTGACTTTGGAGGAAGGCTTAAAGCAGTGCTTCTCAAACTTGGGTCCCCAACTCTTGTTGGACTACAACTCCCATCAACCCTAGTTAGCAGGACCAGTGGTCAACAGCTGGGGACGCAAGATTGAGAAACACTGGCTTAGAGCCTTCAAAAAGGCTTGTCAGGTTTGGAAATGTTTTCTCCACCACCCATAACTCTGGCCCTGACCTGGATCAGCAGAATCACATAGCAACCCCTGGAAGAGAACCTTGTGTGCATTCATTTGTATTAGAGTCATTGCAGAAAAGTAATCTACCAAAATCTCTTGCCTACATTCCTGTACCAACCAGTCCCCACAAGAATGTATATCCTGCAGTGCCAAAATCTGATATATCTGACCTATGTAGCAACCTTACTAATGTCCAAATAAATGACCTCTGGGAACACATTTGTACAGCCCTCTTCTTAAGAGGTACCAACTTTATTATTATTATTATTATTATTATTATTATTATTATTATTATTCTGAGTACAGGAAATTTTCAACAGCTCCAAATTGCAGGAACCGTAAGTGCAAAATATTAAATTTCCTATTTTAAAAAGCGGGTCAACTAATCATAGTTGCGCAAATAGGCTTGAAATGTCTGTGTGTCTTGGGTGATCAAAATCCTTTTACAAACCCCATGTTTTTATTTTTAAGAATGTTTTAGGAAATCTTGCAGGTGGGGTTATGATAAAAACAAGGCTAAGTGAGATAATAAACATCATAAGGCGAGGGTGATCCCTACTTGAAAATGAAATGGGTGCAAAACTCACAAAGGACATGCATAGTGGCATATGTTGATTTACATATGTAAATGAAGAATGTTCCATAATCTCTGATGAAAAAATTACAAGGGAATACAAAGTTACTAGCTTCACATGAAGCACAGACAACCCTCACAGTTTCTGCGTCTCTCTCGGAAGTTGTAATGCACACCAAGCTTTGTCACCTCAGCACATAAATGTACTTTGTGTTACTTTCCTGTGTCATAAAAATGTGAGAGAGCAGCTATAACTCTAATAATTCAACAGGCTTGAATGGCTTGCACAGCAATGTAAGTAGCTTAAAAAAATTTAAAAAATAAAAAGAATCCCAAATCCCATCTCATGCAAATAGACAGATGTGGATTCTCTGTTACATTGACAGAAGGACATATCCTCCTCTAGATCTTCCATGAAAACCTCTATTTGCCTACTCTTTCATTATTAGCTAGTTTTCAATTCTCTGTCCCATTGGTTAAAAAAAAAAAGCCCTTTCTGCCAATCCTGCCTGGATACACTTTCAATACCAAGGAAGAGACATATGAGATACAATTAAAGGTCTCTTAGCAGGTTCTGGGGACATTCTTCTTTGTCTGGAGAAATTCCAGTTGTAACTTGCTAATCATGTTGTAAACTTCCTGCTTTTTCTTGCTCCTTTGTCCTGAGACAACATGAGGCTGTCCCTGTTTGAAATGGCTTGAACAAAGGACTTTGGGGAACCGTCTTAAGTTTGGATCTTGCATGGCCTACAAACTGGGTGGATGACTTTACCTAAGAAAACATGCAATTTGCTACCCTTTCTCTGCTCTTTGCTGTAAAGCATTCTGTTCCTTTTACTAAAGGATTTCCTTAAATATATTTGGATGAGTTTAAAACGACGTGTTTTTATATTGGATTTTTATGTTGTGAACCGCCCGGAGAGCTATGGATGAAGGGCAGTATACAGATTTAATAAAGAACATAAATAAAAATAAATATAATAATGCACCTTGAAATTTGTCAGCCATTGCCTCCCGAAGTCACCACAAGATCCCTGTTACCACTTTTGCTCCCCAAATATTATTAGGATTCTTCTCATAAGAGCAATTTAATAACGTGTTAGCGTCAAAAGGAAGGATTTGATTTTGGCAGTCCAGATTAGGTTCTTGCCCTTTGCAAGCCAAATGAATGGGCTGGGAGGACAAGAGCAGCTGAAGAAAACACAACTATGTCCCATCATAGCAACTCAGTAATTCTGAAATTAATTGATTAATGCATCCAATAGTTGTTTTTTTAAAAGATAGGTACTTATGACTGCAAGCATACGGTGTGCTTAAGGAAGTTGTCACTGAAGTGATGAATGGCACAAACAGCAGTATTTTATTTCTGAACACAAACTCAATACACTGAAAAAGCAAGGCAGGAACTAACCAGAGCTGAAGCAAAGGCAGCCAATGCAGCCAAGACTGCTACATTCTGTCATTCATTGACATGCACAGTTTTTATCCTGCAGGATTTCCTTACCTGTTTCCTGGTCCGTGTCTTTCCCGTTCTAAGTTTGATGTATCTGGCTATCAGTTCATTCCTACCTGAAACAAATACAGATTTACAATGAAGAACAAAAACAGAAATTCAGCTTGAAGGTATAAATGCGAAGAGCTGCACAATTTAAAAATACAGATCAGCAACAAGTATTATGTGCATTTTACAAATGGATCAGGTCCTGTGCCCAAAAATTGTCTTTTCAAACGAAATAGCACAAGCAAGCCGGCATGTGGAATGAAGAGACTGAGAAAAATATATTTTAAACAGTAGCTTAGCGACTGAGCCACAAGAGAATTCTCCTGCAAAAGCAGTTGCAAAATTCAGCAACATTCTGGGAGGCCATGACAATCTGATAATAGAAACTGCAATACTTTTAGAATTTTAAACTACAATTCTTTTAATGGCTAACATGAGCTAAGTCAAAATAAGTAGGGGAAACAACCTGTGCTTTCTTCTTCCATCCCTCCCCCGAGTCAAAAACATCATATAATACTAGATATGTCTTGAGAAAAGTAAAGAAAGCATCACACTTGTGTGGGGTTGTACCCAGGAGACTGGCAGAGGACCACAGAGGTCATCTCAAGCCCCTCCTCTCCACAACAGAAGAGTTAAATGACATGAGGACATTCAAATAAATATGGAATCTCCCCAGTTCATTCAATCAATTTACTTTTCTCCTTGGCAAATTTATGGCACAATGTGAAATATCATTGCGTTTTCCAATAGCAAAGGTCTGGCTACTGTTTGCCCAAAATGTTTCTATTTGAAAACCACCAATGTATTCTGTGTTTGGATCTTTGCAAAATACCAGAGTCAGAATTCTTGTAATCAAATGTTGGAAGAGTGACTACAGGACTTATAAACTGCTCACTGGATCATCCACAGCAAACAAGAAACCTTTTGTGAACTGGAAGAGAGTCTCTTAGTCCATCAGTAGGCTTCAAATGACTTTGTGTGGGCGGACAGGCTAGTGGCTGAGCAAATAACTTGTGTGAACTTGTTGGCCACACTGGTGACAACTGTGCTGTTTCAATATATAACACCATATGTTTCTGTGTGCTTTTGGCTCCACCTCTCCATTTTCTCCTTCCTAACAGGGTGATATTATTAGTCCATAGAGGTGATTTAAGATTGAAACAACCCCAGCTTTCCAGTACCGCCTTCAATCAGTTTGGATCCTCAATATGATCTAGCTCTGTGGTACAGCCGGAGATTATGAAGGTATGCTTGTTTGTGACTATTCTGCTACAGAAATCCATCCTGTCCAAGATTTCTAGTTATTATTTCAGCCTCTTGATTTCAAGACATTTTCTTTAAAAACTCAACAGACCTAGTTGTGTCAGGTGCTGCAGATCATCAGACTATATGCTAGCTTTATTTAAAAGCTCAGCTGAGTAAAGTTCATTATATGTTCCACATTCTTTATCACCATCACATGCCTGTTCTTGGGTAAGCAGGACTATCCCCTTCTCTCTCAGCACAGTGGTCATGTTATGAAATGGCAGCAGACATCTGGTTTTCAGGATCCCCGAGAACCTGAAGATATAGCAACTGGAGCCAAGTGCAAAAGATGTGTATGCAGAATTAAAAAAAAAAAAATCGCCTGGGGGTTTGATTAGAGTCCCAGAGTTAAAGCGAACTAAAAGTCTTTCCACATAAAGTCCACTTTAGGTTACCCTCCCCATCTTGATTTCAACAGTAATTTCTTGGGCGGGTTGGGTGGTCTTTTTGTTGCTGGGAGCCAGAGATCCTTGCTGATCCACTTCAAAACCTTGTGGTCCCTTCCAATTCTATGATTCTATCTAGAAGTCTATAACTAGATCAGGCATGACCAAACTTGGCCCTCCAGCTGTCTTGGGACTACAATTCCCATCATCCCTAGCTAACAGGACCAGTGGTGAGGGATGATGGGAACTGTAGTCCCAAGATAGCTGGAGGGCCAAGTTTGGCCATGCCTGAACTAGATCCTTATACACCTTCTGCCCATCCCTCATGTAAGACCAACTGGTTGGTATGAGAGAGGCTAAATAATCCCTACAGTCGTACCTCTGCTTACGTATCCCTCTGGATACATAAACTTTGGGTTGCGAACGCGGAAAACCCAGAAGTGTATACTTCCAGGTTTCGCCCCGCATGCATGTGCAGAAGGGTGTCTCCAGTTATGAAGTTTCCAGGATGCGGCCGGGCTTCTAGAACAGATCCCATTCGTAACCAGAGGTACCACTGTACCACACACCTGAGTCTTGATGAGATCCTTTTGCTGCTCCCCTGCTTCACATCCAAAGGAACAAAATATTCTCTTGGTGTAAGAGGTTGTGCTTTTGTTTTTGTTTGTTTTAGCCTATTTATCTAATTTCGGTGTTTTGAAAATCTGTTCTTCAATCTGTTCTCGTTTTTCTCTCCCCCTACCTCACCAATACGTCTCCTCATGGATCCATTCCTTCCAAAGTTTTGTTTTTTAAAAGAATTATGGTTGTCAATGGAAATTTTGATAACTCTGTCTAAGAGGGAAGATACAAATAATAAAAATGAAAAGTAATATAATAAGAAAAGTAAGCAAAGCCAAAGGGATATTACAATATAAAAATAGTTGTGAAATACAGTGTATGGAGAAGCCTCCAGGAATTCATCAAGGCACATGAGGGAATCAAACTCAGGTCTGAACTTTGAAAATCAGAAATGTTGAATTGTGCCTTGGATGTGTGTACAAATTTTCATTCTTCTATCTTAATCTCCAACTGCATTATCACATTGCAAAGAAACTGATACACAAACAGAAGGCCAATGGAGCAGTAGTTAAACCAAAACCTTACTTTGCTTGGTGAATAATATACAATCCTGTCAAAAATCTCTTTGTTAAAAAACAAAACTTTTTTTTTAACCCCCACATTATTTAAATCAGGGTTGGAAAAATAATGTCAAGCCCTTGCCGGGAAAATGGGAAAATTCCTAAGATGTTAAGCAGAACAATCCTATACAGAAATAGCTCCTATTAAATTCCATGGTTCTTATTCCCAGGTAAAGGGGTATTGGATTGCAGTCTTAGGCACTCTTCCTCCCCACCCAAGTACAGACCTGATTAAAAAAATTCAAATAAAATACATCCTTATCCCTGTTCATAAATGTTTGAGCAAAGAGGGAAGACTTAGATTTCCTATGGAAGGTACTCTAAGGTTACCAGACATCCCCATTTCCCAGGGACAGTCCCCGGATTTATAAATCAGTCCCCATACAAAATCCATTGAAGCTGAAAAGGTCTCCGGATTCATTGAAAAAAATATGGTAACCTTAAGGTACTCAGCACAAATTCTAACACCAAATTTACTCAGGTGAAGAGAACATGCAAGTTTTTGTTTGAAATCCTAGATCCAACCAAATTTTGTCTCACTAACTTTTAATAGAGATTTTTGTGCCATTTGGATTGGTGACGTCTGAGAATTATTCTTCATTAGAAGCATTCCTAAGAAACTTTAAACCAGCATTAGGAATCTCTGAATGCTCTAAGGCCTTCCAGGATTTTAGCATCTTACACCACAATAAAATTCTGCGTGCCTACCCATGAAAGCGCCTGTGTTAAAGGCCTGTGTGCATGTGTGTGTGCATGCGAGCAAAAAAGAAAAAAAGGAGAAAAAATCCACCTTGTGTAGCATTTGTGGCCAGGGGAGAGAAATTTTAAATCCAAATTAGTTAACAAGAAACCTCTCTTGTAGATAAAAGTCAACAACTGATTAAACAGATTTTAAGACACCCGCTATTTTAAAGCCATGAGCAAAATCTTTCTTAAGCCTTTAAAAAATATTATAGGCAGGTGTTAAGTCATCCCCATAGCGAGTGTTTAGAGTGTTCCTCTTAGTCAGTTTTGAGAAGGCTTACAGGAAAGGGGTGGGGTGGGAGATTGGGCAACGCTTTCCTATGCAGGCAGCGTTTTGTTCAGACAAGCTTACTGCAGAAGGTCATGTGACATAGGCCAAATAAACAGCATCTGGGGATTTTCAATTACAGACCTTCACCCAGCATGCCTGCACTGTAATCTCTACCAGATGAGGCTCAGGCCTCACTATTTTCAATAATTCACACACTGTGTACACATAACATGACAATAAGGGCATTCATGCAACCGCCTGATTCGCACATCAAAGCTCCCAAATGGCCAGCTGTAAGCATGCTTACTGCTGAATAATTCATTCTTTTCACAGGCTTGAAAAAACGCTCAGCAGGACTTGGCAAGCTTGTGTTCTTTCCTGTGTGGTATGCTAAACTCAAATTTTGAAAGAGGCACAGCCCCACTTAAAAAAGGGAGAAAAGGGGGGAAAGAATAAGAAGAAGGGAGCTAGAGATTCAACCATTTAAATGCACATTTGCAAGGATTCAAATGGTGCGTGTGTGTGTTTTTTGTGGGTTTTTTTTTTAAAAAAATAAAAATTAAAAAGCAGTCAGCTAAATGAGCTTCGGTTCCAAATGAGGGAAAGAAAGAAGGCTAGGGAGTGCAGGCAGACGCACAAAACGCTCTCGTGCTTTTGGAGGCAGGTGTTTCATGTGGGGGTGGGGAGGAGCAGCTTTCGAAGGGTTCTCTCTTCCAATAAGCAGACAGACAAAAGTATATCTGCCCTGCCAGATGCTTAACAGTTTTACAATTGCAGAAAATTTAATTTCAACATATCTAGATTCCCTCCCCACTGTACACTGCCTTAAAAACTTTGCTCTCTATAAAGACCATACTTGCCTAAAGGATGGGGAAAATATCATTAGAATGCATTATTATTATTATTATTATTATTATTATTTTGCCTTACTTCATTTTAAAAACCGCGCAGCTAGAATTTTAACTGCAAGACAGTTCTAAATGTATTTATATTATATTCTGATAAATCTGTTTTGCTGGCCCTCCAAAGCCACATTCTTTTAAGGAAATCCCGGGCTTCATAATATCAAGTTTTCTTATCTGCCAATCAACACTACAACCAGCAGGATCAACTAGTCATGACCTCCCCTCATAGCAAACACATGCTGCTTACCAGCTGTGGGCTCTGCATTTTTACACCCTTTCCCTATCATTCAGAGTGGTTTCCTCTTAATCACAATAATCCTAAAAGTGCTAAAACATATCAATCGTCCTCTAAGCCCTGCCTACAAAAGGCCAGCCATCATGCTTTTATGGGCTTGTCCAACAGCAGCTGATACTTCATTCAGCTGCAAATCCAATTTAGCAGCTACAAGAGGTTTAGCATCCCTGGAAAAAAAAATTGGGTGTTGATCCTTCATGGTTAAGCCAGCAATATTCTTCTGCCATATTGTTTTGCTTTCTCTGTTGGATTTCCCCAGTTGAGATGCAATAGTACAGGTTTACTTTTGGAAGCATTGTGCTGACAATGATTTTATCTGTGTGTGTATATTTGTGTATCTATTATGCTTATATACAATAGTAAGTATATATTACAATAATATTAGGATGCTTTCATAAGCTAAATGTTACAAATGTAAATAAACTGTAGGCTAGTGTAATTATTACAAATACAAAACACACACCATATGTATATATATGTCATTCCTTAATATCTTCTTCAAAATATCATTTGCCATGTGCCCATGAGAAAATTCATGTCAATTCCTCTAGACATTGTGCTCTGACCATATAGCCAATTCATTCGTTCCTGCATGAAATATGAACTAGGGTGCCAAATAAGGACACTAAAATAATTCATTTCATGCCCACTACTTTCAAATCCTTTGCTATGAACTCCCCAAAGCAGAATGGCTTCTCTCTCCCTTGAATTTTTTTCTTTTTCGCCATCTTCTTTACAAAAGGAACCTTCCAATGACCTGGCTGTAACCTCCTTCTTATCCCATTCCATTGCCTTTAATATATTTGCCCTGAAGTATCCTAGCCGTTGATGACAAATCTATAGTTTTGGAAATTCTGTTCTCAGAGACCACAACCCAGCCCAACATTAGACGTGATTAAGCCCATTGGTTGGAATAGTGCAAAGCACTTCTTGTTCTGTCTTGGATTGTGGCTTTTGAAAACCCATTTTTCCGTTAAAACACAGCTACTCCTAGGAGTAAGCATACAATGTTTAATGGTCTTAGGCACCTGAGTTTACACAATTAATGATTCAGATCCCCGCCCCCACAGTGCTGTGAGCCTCAGCAACAGAATACTTAAGATTTACATTGGATGAATTTGCATTTATATACTTTGCTATGCAATATTAAGTGAATCATGTTTCACTGAGAAATTCACTGAGAAATACTTAGTGATTTCTCAAAACATCACACAACCACAAGAAACCACAATCTGCAGTTCTGACCAAGGAAGATGAAATAGAACAACAGTTTGTAGAAAGATCATTACCACTATTTTTCTTGCTGCGGTAACAGGCCAACAAACTAATCAAATATGAACTTTATATGCTGAGGTTGTATTTGACTTTTAGAAAGTGCTGATTTATACGGTGCACCAAACAAATTAAAACAAGTACTCTTCTGCCAAGAATTCATAGTGAAAAGTCCAACTTGGACAGAAATCCTTCAGATATGTAGACAATGGGTTGGCTCATCTGTCATGCATGATGGATGAGTTAGGGGGATTAAAATCAGGATTTGCATCATAATAGATAAAAATTAGCAAAATAGAATTTCTCAGTTGGTGGCTTCAGTTTTGCCAAGGAAAAAGGAGGTTCCTTTTTCAGAAGAATTACAGTTGGCTTGCAGTCTTCATTTGAAGAGGCTTTATTCTAAATGCTGATTAACTTTCTCAATAAAGAATGAAGAACGGTTAGCTTGGATAAGTTTCAGATTCTCATACAGTCTTTTTTTTTTAAGCTCAGTTCTTAACTGTATATATGTGTCCAGGAAATGTAGAGTTTTTCACTGTTCACATTACATTATAGCATAAAGGAAAATTTATGGGGAAAGGAGTAATTTAATATGAAAGGAAAATTATTTTCTTGCAAGATTGGAAAGATATTCTCTGTGAGAATAAGGCCAAGTCTGTTAATGACATTGCTCATAACACCACTTTGAAGACTCATTGAATTTAGAGAGTTGCCAAAATACTCTGCTTATGTTATGCTAATGTCACACTACAACATGTGCACCTTTCAAACGGATTAACCAGAGAGGCCTAAGAATAAATGGAAGAAACAGGCAGGACTCCATTAAGTTGTTGCCCGCAAATAACATGGTCAGGTCACGCAATGGGGCTCCCCCCTTCTCTCCCCACCCCATGCATCCAGACAACTGTAAAACTGTTCTGGAGGCTTGGGGTATCCCCAGAACATGTTTAGAGGGTGTATGGAGGGAAGAGGGAAAGTCCTATTGCACAAGCAGACCTTGTTCCCTATGCACATACCCCACTTAGTGCTACGTTGGATTCCACTCTTTAATGCAAATATATTCATGTATGCTGTCAAATGTATAGTTTAGCAAAAGGTAAGGTAAAGGACCCCTGGACAGTTACGTTCAGTCAAAGGCGACTATAGGGTTGCGGTGCTCATCTCGCTTTCAGGCCAAGGGAGCCGACGTTTGTCCACAGACAGCTTTCTGGATCATGTGGCCAGCATGACTAAACTGCTTCTGGTATAACAGAACACCATAACGGAAACCAGAGCACACGGAAACACTGTTTACCTGCAGTGGTACCTATTTATCTACTTGCACTGGTGTGCTTTTGAACTGTGGCGCTGTGGTCTAAACCACTGAGCCTTTTGGCTTGTCGATCAGAAGGTCGGCGGTTCGAATCCCTGCGACGGAGTGAGCTCCCATTGCTCTGTCCCAGCTCCTGCTAACCTAGCAGTTCGAAAGCACACCAGTGCAGGTAGGTCTTCCAGCTTCACAATGAAGGTTTAGGTAATGGCTTTGCTCCAGCTCAGGGAAGCTCCTACTAGCTGAAGAGGAAGACATTGCTTTGTTCCTGCCCTCCCATCAAAGCCACTGATGCCTTTCAAAAATCTGCTCCAAAGGACTGGAGATCCCTCTGGAACCAGAGTGGGGTGGGGGTGGTATGTGCAAGGGGAGAGAAAAACTGGCAAAAATAGCCTCCTGCTTCTGCTAGAAGGATTTCTCCACTGGACCAGAAGCTTCCTGTGGACAAAAGGGAGTCCTTCCATTTGTAGATGGTGAAATTTAGGACCCACTCAGTGTAACTGACCACAGTGACATCATTTTAAAAAAATCATTCAACAGAAGTATCAAAAGTTGAATACAAAACACAGTGAATATAAAAATGTAAATAAATGCTGATCTATTTACATGATCAAAATGAGAATATATATATATATATATATATATATATATATATATATATATATATGACATATGGGTATATATTGATACACAGCATTACTTTCTTGATATCAGGGTGCCACATAAATGTGCATTATTAAATGCCCCATAATAAAGAATATGGGTCTACTAAGTATGGAGTTCTATCATTCCAGCATAGTATAAACAAACTCAATTTTTCAATCAGTTTAATATATTTCTATCCGCCCTCACTTACACTAATTATATTAGTCAATTTCAACCGTATAAGCCATATCTCAAAAGTTAACTAGCCAGGAATCACCAGAAGGCAGAGTAGGAGATTTTCAGTTTTGACACATCACTATTTTAGTTACAGTTAATAAATAAGTTGTCATTTCAACATCCTCCTCTGATACTATGTTTTAAGGTTCTCTGCTTTTGATACAGGAAGGAATGCTGCCTCAAAAGTGTTCTCTCTACCTACACTATCATTAGTTCAGAAGCTAGTGACTTAATAACAAAAGCTTCTTGCAGGGTAAAGCTTTAAAAACAGAAAAAGAAATCATGTTTTCATTAAGCCAAGTATCATTTTGTGAAAGAGCCTGGCCCCTATGTTTGAATACCCCTCCTATTAATAGTACACACACAAAAATCAAATGCTACAACCATTGTGACAATTCATTTTCTATGCCAAAGAGACTTATGTGGTTTATCTGACACTGTTTAGCACATACCGTATTTTTCCGTGTATAAGACGTTGCTTTTTGCTAAAATAAAAAACAGGCAAAAATTGGGTGTCGTCTTCTACACGAATAGTGAATGCAGACATGCGATTAATGGCAGCAGCAAGCAGGAGATTGGCAGCAGCGATTGGGCAGGTGATTGGTAGCTGTGGCAACTGGGCAGGCGATTGGCGGATGCAGCAAGTGGGCGGGTGGGCTGTTGGTGGCGGTGAGCAGGCAGGCAATTGGCGGCTGCGGTGAGGTGTGCGATTGGAAGTGGCTGTGGCAAGTGATCAGCAGTGGCAGGCCGGTGGGTGAGCAATTGGCGGGAGTGACCTCCCCACCCAACAAAGCTAAACAACTTAATTTCTTAATTTTGGGTTAAAAAAAAATAGGGGTTGTCTTATACATGGGGGCATCTTATACGTGGAAAAATACGGTATGCCTAGTGTGGAAAATAAATTTTGAATTTGTAGCAGGTCTAGAGATGTTTTTAAACTCACACAGTGTTAATCAAGAAGATCTGGAATCAGGTTACACAGTATCACAAGTTCAGATGGCCAACAAGGGCCAAGTGGAAAGTATTTAACCAATATATGAAGGATTTTAAATGTATCCAACCCCTAACTTTGCTTTCTTAAGTGCTGAGTGAGACACTGCTTATTTGGTCAGAGCAGAATTTGTAGAGATATTTTTCCAGAAGTGCAGGGGAAAAATATTTGCTCTTATTAATGAAGCCACAGGCCTCCAAACATACATTTTCATTAAAGACATATTTGCGCACGCACACAACAGGCGCCCTTCGTTTTCAAATGCAGGAGTAGTTTTGCAAGGAAACTGCCGCCACCTATTCATGATCCATCTTATGATCGGGGTGTGTGTGTGTGTGTGTGTGTGTGTGTATGTGTGTGTTAATCTGAGCAGTTTAGAAGGACCATTCTGAATTAACAGGATAAACCTGATCCTTTGCCACTTATGTAAAGAGATCTATAATGCGGATGACAGAGTGGGGTTGAACCGCAAGGTGCCAGGCAGGAAGAAGGTCAGGCATAGAAGATTTCTGTCTCACTTGGAAGATCAGCAGCTACCTCTCCACCAAGCTTCACTTTCATCCACAAAGAACTGAAATACTGACTGGGAAATGGAAGATACTTCGCTGTAACTCCCCTGAGATAACAGCACTCAGGTGAAGTTCCTTTAAAACGTAAAAAAAAAATTCAGCCAGAAGAACAGCATGTGACAGTGCTCTCTAACCCTCTCTAAAAGTGACTTTCTTTTTAGATATATTAGAAAGCAAAATTACTTATAGCTTGTTTATCCTCCGATGAGCTTATATACTTGAAGCACCCTTGTGGCCTGTCGTGCAGGTACAGGGTAAGTGCAAATCAAGACCATCTTTTCAGCTGAAATTTTCACATGGTAAAAGTGCCCCAGAGAAGACTTCAGTATGCCATTGCATGGAAATCAGCTGGGGTGGAGAGAAAGAGGCTTTAATAACATTACTATGGAGGAGTAAGGACTCTTCAAGCAGCCACGAAATTAAAAGATGCCTGCTTTTTGGGAGAAAAGCAATAACGAACCTAGACAGCATCTTAAAAAGCAGAGACATCACCTTGCCAACAAAGGTCCATATAGTTAAAGCTATTGTTTTCCCAGTAGTGATGTATGGAAGGGAGAGCTGGACCATAAAGAAGGCTGATCGCCAAAGAATTGATGCTTTTGAATTATGGTGCTGGAGGAGACTCTTGAGAGTCCCATGGACTGCAAGAAGATCAAACCTATCCATTCTGAAGGAAATCAGCCCTGAGTGCTCACTGGAAGGACAGATCCTGAAGCTGAGGCTCCAATACTTTGGCCACCTCATGAGAAGAGAAGGCTCCCTGGAAAAGACCCTGATGTTGGGAAAGATGGAGGGCACAAGGAGAAGGGGACGACAGAGGACAAGATGGTTGGATAGTGTTCGTGAAGCTACCAGCATGAGTTTGACCAAACTGCGGGAGGCAGTGGAAGACAGGAGTGCCTGGCGTGCTCTCGTCCATGGGGTCACAAAGAGTCGGACACGACTAAACGACTAAACGACAACAAGAACAACAACAAAGGACTCTTCAGCCTCAAAAACAGCAGCACAGAAATCCATGCTTAGCAACTCCTTCTGCTTGATCATATATAGTCCCATTCACATTTTAAACAGGGCATCATGCAATTACTGGAAAATGGGACTGTGGTCCTAGACTGACCCTGCTTCCAGTCAAGCACACTATTGGGATGCTATGCCAGGCAGGCCACCTGACTCTGCGACCAGGGTCACAATCCCACTCCCCAGAAATCGTGTGCTGCTCCTTTTGCACATGATGAAGGTGTTTAGTTTCAACAGAATGTGAGATAAAGAGACTGGCATGAGCTTAAGCATGGAAGTGAATGTTCTTTGACCTCTGGAAAGAAGAGGCGATTGGTGAGCAACCACAGAAAAACTTTCAAATATTCACATTTGTGCAGAGGCAGAGGCCAGCAGCTAGCAACATTTCCCCAGCAGACTGAGTGAGGAGAGCTTAATGCTACCATCCGCATGGCATATCTCCCTTCCATTCACATTCTCTTCAGCATAGCTATCATACTGAATGGCTTTAGCTGACAGTAACTTAGAATCCTGACAGCAGCAACTTATATTTCAAGATGACCAGAGGATTCCATTTCAGAGTTTAGAAGCACCGTGTGATATTGATTTGGGGAGCAGTCCTTGGATGGACCGGGAGTAAACAAGGGAATGCTCAAATGCCATCATAGTTGCTAAGGCTGTCACAACTCTAGGAGTTAAACCGGAATCAAATGCAAGCAGATCATTAGGGAAATGTGCACGCGTTCTATATTAAAACCCAGTATTTATGAACACAACAGCTATTTTAGGGCCTCTCACTTTTATAATTTTAGCTTTCTTTATAATCCTCGAAGACAATGGCTTTCAAAAGCCTTTGCCTTTTAGGTCAAATATGCAATTTCTATAGCTCCCCATATAACCGCTGCAAGATGCAAGCCTCATTCTTTGGTTGCAAGACTGATCTCAATAATATTAACCAAAAGCAGAGGTGCGATTTTATCTTCTTAAAACTGTGTGCTTTACCTGTCTGCTAACATCCAAGGTGGCATGATGTTATTTTAATCCAGATTAGTTTGTCATGTCAAGATGCTAAACATCAACATTAAACTCACACAGTTTGTACTGTAATGCAAAAAGAGATGGAGACATGTTCCAAAAAGTGGACACATTCAGTTTGTGTCTGATCCTCCTGTAGAGCAAATTTCTCAACCAGTCGCTTCATTTTCTTGGTCTCTCAACTCTAGCCCTACCTTCATCCACAGAGCATGCAGCTGCTTTAGATAATCAAGGGGTCAAAGCCATACCCCAAATCGTATCTTATTCCAAGCCCTCTTTACTTCATAAATTGACCAATTGTTACTAAAATTCCTGATTAGGGACTGTGTCCAATGCTGTGCAAGTGAAGTTCCACTCAAACAGTAGGGAATTATCCTTCTTCTTCCCTGTAGCCCCCTGTGCACCCCCAAATTCTGCTACTGCAGGTTCCCCAATCCTCTGGAGAAGATTTTGAGGGTGCACAGGGGTCTACAGGGGAGAGGGGAGCAAGTTTCATTGTGCAAGCAGAAGTCTGCTCCACAAGTGGGGGGAAAACAGCATTGGATACAATCCCTAGTACCTTCCCAGCAGCTTCTGCTGCAATACAGTCATACCTTGGTTCTCGAACAGAATCCGTTCTGGAAGTCCATTCAACTTACGAAACCATTTGATAAACAAGGCGTGGCTTCCGATTGGCTTCAGGACATTCAGCTTAAAAAAAAATGTTCGCAAACTAGAATACTCACTTCCAAGTTTGCAGTGTTCAGGAGCCAAAATGTTTGAGTCACAAGGCATTTGAGAACCAATGTATGACTGTATATTTAATTCTGCTCATGGAATAGAATTCCCTGTATTCCATGCCCCTTTCATCCCACACACCATGACCACGTCTACAGCACACACACACACACACACACACACACACACACACACACACAGACAATGTTAGTAGATATAGTACTGCTTTATCTATTTTACAGCAGAAGCACTTAGGCAAGATATTGTATCCCAGTGCAACATGTACTTAACTGGGGACATACCTGTGTGGTGAAAGACATGATTTGCATTTGCCATTCGTGTTGAAATGAATTCAGCATTGTACTAAGGTGATTGTTCCGGCCAAGCATTCTGGCTTACCAGATGGAACAGTCCAAACTCTTCTTCCCCCTAAGTGCTGTTCCAGGGGTTTTCCTACCCCCCAGGTCAATTTCAGAGGTGCAAGGAGGGCACACAGGTGGGGGTGAAGCCCAGCTGCCCAAGCAGAAGTTGTTGCACAGAACTTCTGCTGACAGGACTCATTGGTTGAATCCCACCCCCTTAATTTATGGCATCTCCAATTGAACCTTCTCATGTAATATGGGCAGAAAATTCCTCAGGCCTAGAGCGACCACTGACCTAAATTTGTGTAAGGTGAGGCTTTGTATCCTGTATCATATTATGCAAGAACTGTGTGTAGATCTTTGTGCCAACACTTCTATATTACATTCTCATCTGTATTGTGCCTTTGGCAATATACAGGGGTACATGCATATGTGCAATTTAACACTTTTCTTGTGGACACTCTCAGTTTATTTCTTCTGCTCATTTAATCCAGAAGAGACTGAAATGGATTACTGGGGGTGTTCCCCACACACAGAGATCCTTGAACACCCACCCCAATATTCAAGGGTGTGTGGCAAGAGACACATCTCTGTAGGAAAGCAACTCTATACTTACTAGGCCAAATACTAACTGTCTAACCAAGAGATAAAAGTATTGATTAAAAGGGCCTTGGAAATTCTGCTTCACTGTTTTACTTAAACATAAATATTGCATTAGCCCAAAAGCTCAGGGCAGGCAGCATGCTGAAAAACAGGCAGAAAACATTAACAACAGCAACAACAACAACAACTAGAGTACAACCCAGCCAGCAAGGGACAGTGTAGTTTGGTCATAACTGCTTTAAAATACAAAGCATGATGAAACTCGTAAGAGAGGGATGTTACAATAATTACAGTATTATTTGATTATTGACAGGTGCTATGAATTGTACCAAATGCCACGACAAAAGGTAGGCTGTATGCAGTAGCTTTTAATACTGCTCTTCTGCATTACCCTACATTTCCCTGGCTGGGAGGCCTCATTAAACAGCCATGGTCCCCTTCCTTGGCTGCCCTCACTCCAGCAACAACCGCTTCAGTGCTACCACCAGCATGGATCCCCTCCAGTCCAAAGGCTCTCCTCTTGTACAACTCAAATCGCTCCGCAGGCAGTCCCCTCAATATAGAGGCTTACCTTATTTCCATCATTTCCTACACCTTGAGCAGTTAGCTTTGCAGCTGTAAACGTCTTTTAACACGTTTTTTATTGTGCATTATATTGTAGCAACACCTGCCCCGCCCAGTCACAGTGAACGTCACCCTCAGTTGAGGGTTGCTCACGGGGCACAAGTCACAAGGAGTGAAATGAAGCGTAGTTACCCCTACAGGGTTGTAAAAGGTTTATATAAAGGCATTAAAAAGCAAGGAGCTGAATACATATTTGTTAGGAACAAAATGAAAGGTTGTTTCTGGTGAAGCTTACAGCAGCGATGTGTTTTCTGTCAGGGAAATTTATAGCCCTCTGTCAAGAGCAGGAGTGAGTCACAAAGATTTCCAGGTGCCATGTGTCAGGTTTTTCATTTCCTCAACTAGACTAAAGTACATTATCACCCTAATACACGCAAGCTTTTAGCATATATTTATCATGTGAACATGTGTGGCCGAGTTTCCTTAACTTCAAAAGAGCCACCGTTTCTCATGGGGGGATTCCAGAATTTTCGAGCTTTAGTATTCCTAAATAGCAAAGTTCCATCGTCTCTTCCTGCTCTTGCCCAGTGAAAATGTGAGCTGCTTGTGGAGAACATACTTGTTCTACTCTTAAATAAAAATATTCAAACTTATTGACTAAAATAATGACTCAAAACGTTGATCTGCACATTAGAGTCTGCACTGATTCCATGGAATGAGAACAAGAGTAAAAGAGCCTATGGCTTGCAGTAGGCATTATGGAGGATATGAGCCAAGTTTTGCTGGTGATCCAAAATCCTTAAGGGTGGTTAAATCGAAAAGGGAAGGCATATATCAACTGCTACACAAGTGCTCCAAGACAAGTAGTGTTGCACAGATATTGATGACAGATTAATGTTTAGGATGAAAAGAAAGTGAAAAGAAAGTGGCAAAATAATGATCAGCTATCCAACCAAATGCTTTTGAATCTATACACTTTTTTCAGTTCGGGTGCATTACTATTACTAGACACAGGATATTAACAGTGTGATTGGATAAAAAAAATTGATGTTACTAATATTCTCAGCTTGCATGTGCACTTGCCTGATATATGGTAGTAAATGACACTTGGCATGGAGTGGTGGCAAGTTTGCATGCAGTCAAGATACCTCTAGACCTACCATCCTTCTTCAATATATTTTTTGGCCCCATATTCTTGCCCTGTCAAGCTGATAAGTTGCTCAAAGGAAAATGGGAGCACAGTAAAACTGTAATTATTTCCCAGTTCTTTTTTCACCTGTTCAGTAAGGCATGAGCACAGTGCATTTTGCTGTAAGGGTAAGCTCACGAATTCCTTTTCTGTCCTTGGTATATAAAATATTAAGAATCTAACTGTAAAGTTCTTCCGAATGTTCAACAAGTCATTATGGCACATTTTCTGACTCGAGATACAGCATATATACCAATAGGGGAGGCTTATTCAAACTCTGAACTGGCATGAATATGGATCGCTTCTCTATTGTGATAAGTATGCATGTAAATTATCAATAAATTGCATCAAATCTAAAACCTCCAACCGTCTTTGAGCATTTGCACTTTACACATTAGACTATCATCAGTGAGTTCCATTAAGGCATCTCAGAATCATTTGCAACATGTGTTAACTGGGAGGCCGGGGAAAATACTTGAAGGTGGACATTTATGTATTTCCATTATTTAAACCCTTTTAATGCAGCTACTTTCATAGTTTATAAATGTTTGATTTAAAATATAGCCATTTTATCATTTGTACCACATTTACCTCATCTTACCACTATTCTGACTGGATGAGAGTCTAATGTAGTCTACACTGTCTGGTCAATTATGGCATGGACGCTGGGGACCAATTAATGCCATCCATAAAAGCCTGAATCATTCTGTCAATTAACTAGAACTAACTATGTCATCAGATATATTACTGGTGAGCAAGTCTATTTGGTTGCAATATGTCTTGAAGGAGAGCAGTATCAAATGAATCACAATTGACTTGGACAACTGCTAGCATAATTTCAGAAGATGAAAAGACAAATGTGGTAGTTATTAGTGGTCCCCTGAGGAATTACGGCCAAGCAATTGTAATGTGCTAAGACTGCGCTAGCAGGTGCCCACAGCACAAATCAGGAAGAGGGTTAAATCAATATTTTCAATTTCTTTGGATCAATTCAGTGTTTGAACGAGATGGAAACTTGTTAGCAATTGGCAGAATGTGTAAATGAAAAGTCAAACTTCTTATTATTTGTTAAAAGGGAACGGGTGCACTGCATCATGCCCTTGGCACAAAGTAGCGCTTTCATGATCCAGTTGCTTGGGCATTCGCTGAGAATCAAGCAGTTCTTAAATTTTAATAGAGTGCAAAAGGTTAGTTGTATACACGTTGACAATTCAAGAGCTTTAAAAATGATTGAAGTGTCAATAGGAATGTTTTTGAGGTGTGACAACAGTACAGTTATTAATGATTAGTGCAAGAACCAGCAAGAAAAAGAAATAGTTGACTGCTTGAGAGAAAGAGTCCTACCAAGAATGTACCTTAATATCTGACACATTTATTCTTTTACACGTGGAAATAGAACTGGGGTGGCTTTAAAGTTTATCTCTCTAACCATTAAACATCGCAGGCAAACCTCTTCTATTCACATGACTTGTAAATGATTCTATTAAATGCTGCAGCGTTTACATAGTCATGTTTCTTAAGAGGAAATTAACATGCATGAAAAACTAATTTTGCCATCAGAAGATACTCTTCTGCATTGACTACAGGTGTACAACGTATTATCATAGTCTGGTGAGTTTAAATAAACAGTAGAATCCTGTGTAGTGTGAATGTATGTCTACGTTTCCGAGCACAATTCAAAGTGTTGGTGTTGACCTTTAAAGCCCTAAACGGCCTCGGTCCTGTATACCTGAAGGAGCGTTTCCACCTCCATCATTCAGCCCAGACACTGAGGTCCTTCTCCTTGGGTCTTCTGCTGGTTCCCTCACTGCGAGAAGCGAAGTTACAGGGAACCAGGCAGAGGGCCTTCTTGGTAGTGGCACCCGCTCTATGGAACACCCTCCCTTCAGATGTTAAGGAAATAAACAACTATCTGACTTTTAGAAGACATCTGAAGGCAGCCCTGTTTAGGTAAGTTTTTAATGTTTGATGTTTTATTGTGTTTTTAATATTCTGTTGGGAGCCACCCAGAGTGGCTGGAGAAACCCAGACAGATGGACAGGGTATAAATAATAAATTGTGGTGGTGGTGGTGGTTATTTCAAGGTAAGCAAGTACAGTGTGCCTCGGGTTATGTACTTACCATATTTTTTTGCTCTATAAGACTCACTTTTCCCCTCCTAAAAAGTAAGGGGAAATGTGTGTGCCTCTTATGGAGCGAATGCAGGCAGTGCAGCTATCACAGAAGCCAGAACACCAAGAGGGATTGCTGCTTTCACTGCGCAGCGATCCCTCTTGCTGTTCTGGCTTGTAAGATTCAGAATATTTTTTTTCTTGTTTTCCTCCTCCAAAAACTAGGTGCGTCTTGTGGTCTGGTGCGACTTATAGAGCGAAAAATACGGTAATTCGTTCCGGAGGTCCGTACTTAACCTGAAACTGTTCTTAACCTGAAGCACCACTTTAGCTAATGGGGCCTCCTGCTGCTGCTGCGCCGCCGGAGCACGATTTCTGTTCTCATCCTGAAGCAAAGTTCTTAACCTGAGGTACTCTTTCTGACTTAGCGGAGTCTGTAACCTGAAGCGTATGTAACCCGAGGTACCACTGTACAGGATTTCAACCTTGGGGCAGAATTCAGCAAAGCAGTTCCACTAGTGCATGGATTTCTGGCTGTACAACATAACTTCCTCTCTCCTCTCCTCTCCTCTCCTCTCCTCTCCTCTCCTCTTCTTGTGTGCCCCTAAATCTGTTATGGGGTTTTCCAGTCCTCCAGAGCAGATTTGAAAAGGTCATCGGCAGGGAAAGAGTAGCAAGTTGCACAAACAGAAATCCTTGCTCTAGTGGAACTACTTCACTGGACACTGCGCTTAATCTCTCTCAACTATATCCTTAGGGAAACATACAAACTGGACTTGAGTGCTTGTTGGAACTTTAATAACTGACGTTACTATTTTCACTTCTAGATTTGCCCCAGTTGGTTTCACTCATTTCAGCATGGACCTTTTTGGTGATACAAGTTGCAGAACTTGAATGGGGATGGGCTGATCCGAATCAGGCCTACAATGGAAGGCAGAGAGTTCAAAACCCAAGGTTTCCAGTCTGGTTTGGGAGACCTGCACTGCCTATTTGTTAAAGGAGGGTAGGAGGAGCCTGCAGAGCTAAGTGACTAATGCCATGTGTAGTTTGGCCTCACACAGAAAATTGTTGCTTCACCATATAAATGGCTATGATTTTATAGCACTATACCTAATCGTGTTAAATATATTTTTTTATTTTCTACATTCTCAGGCACGACAACATGCTAGCAATCTTTAAATCCATAAAGAATGTCAAAGATTATATTTCAATATTTCCTTAACATGGGCCCCCATACAACAGACTCTCTTGTCCCTTAAAATTGAATTACGATGAGGCTCAACTTTTTCAAATCAAGGTTCAGAAAAAGAAAAAGAAGCCAACAGAAGAAAAAAATGGTGAAATTTGAAACCAGCCCACACATCGTTCAAGAAAAATCAAAAGCCTGTGTCTCCCACTCTGTTCAGACACACCCCAGTTTCTATTCTAGAAAAGCACATATTCTGTTTATAAGCCAAGAAGCTAATTGACTCAATTGTCTACTGTATAAGAAAGCAATAAAACAAAGACAGAGAGAACAATAGGAACATACAGCTCTTTTAATGGCATTACAAGAGTTTACTGTTTAACAATGGCACTGATTAGGGAACAAATGGAGGAATTGTTTCATGCAGTTGCCACATAATATGAAGAATGCATAATTTAATTGAGAACTGTATGTCTAGTCATAAAATGCATCTTCTGTGGTATAGTAAACTGGCTTTATATTCAGCACTTATGAACACACTCGCTAAAGATACACATGAAAGATCAACTCTATATAATTCTTTGGAGTCTGCTACATCAGCAATCCTCATTTCTTTGTGAAAACACCATTTGTAGCTCAGTCTAAGTTCAACAGCAAGGCCGTACAACTGATTTCATTGGAACCTATTTGCAAATATCTTCCTTTGCTTTACCTAAGGTAAAGGTAAAGGGACCCCTGACCCCTGCGGACGACTCTGGGGTTGCACGCTCATCTCGCTCTATAGGTCGCGGAAGCTGGCGTTTGTCCGCAGACAGCTTCCGGGTCATGTGGCCAGCATGACTAAGCCGCTTCTGGCAAACCAGAGCAGCACACGGAAACGCCACTTACCTTCCCGCTGGAGCGGTACCTATTTATCTACTTGCACTTTGATGTACTTTCGAATGCTAGGTGGGCAGGAGCTGGGACCGAACAATGGGAGCTTACCCCGTCAAGGGGATTCGAACAGCCGACCTTCTGATTAGCAAGCCCTAGGCTCTGTGGTTTAGACCACAGCGCCACCCGTGTCCACCTAATCTGACTTTTTCAATAGAAAACACTAGTACTGAACAAATGACTTTGTTCATTTAAATATTTATTAAGTGCTCTTCATCAGAGGATTTTTATCAGTGAAAAACAATTCGGACAATATGATGGGTAGTATTCAACTTCATTTTACTCAGAATAGACTTATGGGAATCAATGAACATAACTAAGTTAGGTCCATTAATTTCACCAGGTCTCCTGTGAGTAAAAACTAACTGAAAAATGCCCATAAACACAATATTAAACAAAAGAAAATACAAGGCAGACTAAAAATATAAAAAATATATAAAATTAAGGAACGGGGGGTGGGGGAGCAGTTCCAACTAAGATTCTATCTAAAACACCTAAGAGAAAAGGAAGATGAGACAAAGAATCTGCTAGACTGGCTGCTTGCTCACAAGTAGCCCACACATCAATCAGCCTGGATGGGCCGCAGATTAGGAAGGGCCATAGCTCAAGGACAGAGTGCATGCTTTGAATGCAGAAGGTCCCAAATTCAATCACCAGAATGAAACTCAGGAAAGCCTCTACCAGTCAGCGGTAGAGTCAAACTCACGAGCTTGCTCAGCCTCATGAAGAAAGAAGAGAAGGGGAAGCCTCATGGAGCTGCTCTAAGTGCCTCTACCATGCCTTCACGGCAGGCTCTTGACACCGGCAACAGAAGTCTTGCTCCCACTGCGGCTACTGGCATGTAATGGAGACATTATTAATATGTGTAAAACACCACATGACACAAAGCATTAAGAAAGCAAAGACAAGAAAGGGGTGTGGGGTGGTGAGTAGGGGTGGGGGGTTAGCATGCAACGTGAGCAGGGGACCAGAGCCCACTTAGCTGAAAAAGAAATGGCAAAAATATGTCAGTACGTAGCCTTCAATTTTTTCCTGAAATTTCCTCTTCCCTTTGAAAGTTTTCAAATGCAGTTTCTTATAACATTAATTGCCAAAGAGTGGTGGAAAAAATGTGAGAGAAATTTTGGGCATAGTGCTAAACTGCCTATTTGTTATCAGCACTATTTGCCATGCTCATCTAGTATTCCAAAACTAACTGCATGAAATAAAATATACACAAACAGCTATATATCATTTCTAGGAATGTGCTATATTTCAGCTAACTGCATTCTGAAAACCATCTACGTAACAAACATCTGGCCAGGAACTTGGAGCTGAAGAGATTTCCATGCCCCTCTTGCCAAAGAGATTTAAAACACTATTGCTTTCTAGTAATTACGAAATGCTCCAACATGCATAAGATGACTATAAGAACACTGGGGAATATCCTTTTTTTCTCCCTTTAAGGCAATAATAACATCTTAGTTCCCTGCTTATTTGTTCTGTAGAAGTGATTTTAAAAAAAGTCATAAAAAAGACAAGTTCAACAGCAGTGACGTTATGGGGAATGCAAATATATGTTCACTGGTTTAGGAAATCAGTACAAAATAACCTAAACAGAACGTCAAGTTATATGCCTGATTGACTCTGACCGCCGCCATATCAAAATGTATGTGTGTGTGATATATATCCAACTCAGAGCTGACTCAGTTATCTTCCCTATTGTCAGTCATATCTATTTAACATCAAAACAGTGGATTCCAGAGGCAGTGAGTTAGATGCGAGTCTGACAATTCATAAAGTTACAAAGATGAGCACCTTCTGGCCACTTTTCAACATGTCTTGCTTTGAAGTTCATGTGTGATTCATTTAAACTGGAAATCAATGTTTCTGTGTAAGATTTCTATGAGGATTACCCTCAGGGAAGGCATATACGCCATGGAGAGAAAGTAACTCAAGGAAATTTAATTAGAAGCCTTAAATGTACAGCATGTATACTTAGCTAATCGGATCAATTGCAGCCCACTAGCAAAGCATATTCTAATTATCAAGACAGATGAAATTTTGCCACCTCTCAGCAGTGGTGCAAGTCACCTTCAGGAAAATAAGAGAAGCCAGGCAAGGTTTTTTCGTACTCTGTACACCATCGAGTTTTTCTGCTTGCATTTTGCAGAGAAACCCCCTGTGGACTTTTGATTTGTTAAAGGTGGTTTTATCACATAGATTTTCTAGTGAAAGACACCTACCATTCCAAAGAGCCAGATCCTTTTCAGAACAGGGCTGCTATTCTACCTACCGAGTCTGAAGGAGCTTTGATTTCAAGGCCATCTTGAAATTAATTCATGAAAACAAAATACAGATCCTCAGTTCTCACATCTAAAGTGTGCTACTAAGTAAAAATATATGCATTTGAGCACCAGCATATAAATGAATGTACCATACAGATGAGTCTATCTACCGTAATTAAAGTTTGTAGCATAGAATCACAGAATCGTAGAATCTTAAGAGCTGGAAGGGACCCAATGATCATCGAGTCCAACCCCCTGCAATGCAGGAATCTCATAATTACTAGCATAATCCTATCCTATGGACCTTCACTTGAAATTTAGCCTCACTGTGTTCAGGACTTATTCCAAGGAGTAATGCATAGGATTACTGTGTAAAATTGCAGTCTTAAATACTCTTACTAAATACCCACAGGCTCACTTGGTGGGGACACAGAAGAAGGCCTTCTCAGTGGCTGCTCTCAGACTTTGACATGCCCTCCCTAGAGAAGCTAGCCTGATACCCTCCTTGCTGTCCTTCGGCGGGCAGCCGAAATCTTTCTTCTTCCAATAGGCTTTGGGGAATTGACTGCTTTTAATTAAAGGGCTGGTGCCATGCTGCTTTTATTGTAGTTACTGGTATGTTTTAAACAGATTTTATATATGCATATAGTTTTAATTCTATCAGTGTTTAATTGCATTTTAATAATTGATTTTTCTGTGTTTTTAGTGGTTCCAGTTTTTACCTGTATTCTGCTTTGAGTCTCATCAGGGGAAAAGGTGGGTATAAATAAATATATAATAATAAGACTATAAATCCCACTGAACTCAAAGAAGGATTCGATGTTTAAAATATTGTTTTCAATGTACATTGTTCGGATATCTTAGGGGCTTCTAAGTAAGAAAATACAGGATCAAAGCCATAAACATATTTTTAACTATCAGTAACAAAAAAGTAGCTGATAAGCTCAAGGTTTTCTTCTAACCTCTTTGATGAAATGGGTACTGACCTACAGGTGTTCATGCTATAGTAAATTGTCTAGACTTTCAAGGTGCAACCTTCACCATGAATAGCAGTCACGAACAAAGTAAGTTACTAGAACTTGTACTTGATCTATTGAACCACTTGACAGACTGTCAAGAGAAAGCATTATATAATTAGAATAAAAGGAAGCATCCGTATTTCAACTTTCCTTCCTGAACCGTCATGTTTGAACACCTTGGACATTTTGCAAGGCGATAAAATGTTCAGCGCACTAGTTGGAGTCTGCTTTCTGCATCCGTTTACATTTCACGTGTAGTCAGACTAGATGTGTTTGGAGAAGGACAAAGATACTTGTGGATTTGTAAATGTATCTCAAGAGGAAGCCTACATAGCATTGCTAATGAAGATGCCAGGGGTAGAAGCCGGACCTTGAAGCTGATGTACAATATGTATGTTACAGGCATGATGTGATGAGTGCTATTGTGGCACTCATCATGCACTTGAGTACAGTGGTACCTCGGGTTAAGAACTTAATTCGTTCTGGAGGTCCGTTCTTAACCTGAAACTGTTCTTAACCTGAAGCACCACTTTAGCTAATGGGGCCTCCTGCTGCTGCCGCTCCGCCACCACGTGATTTCTGTTCTCATCCTGAAGCAAAGTTCTTAACCTGAGGTACTATTTCTGGGTTAGCGGAGTCTGTAACCTGAAGCGTCTGTAACCTGAAGCGTATGTAACCCGAGGTACCACTGTAAATCGATTCCATGCTGTCAGGATGCTGTCAGCAGCTCCCGGCTCACTGCCCAGGAAAGCATGAAGACAAGGAAAATTTTCTTACAGTCCTTTTTTTATTTCAAACTTTACAGAGGGAGGCTATAGAACCCAGCTTCTTGGATAATGGCGTTGTCCCGAGTGAATCTCCGCCCCCAGCACCCTGTCTCTCCCACTTCCTCATTCATCATCATCATCACCACCTCCTCTACGGGTGCCGCTCTGTCTTAGAGCTCTTTTCTCTCCTGCTTTTAAGGTTCTGGGAGATGGTGGGTCTGGAATGCTTTCTATTGACAACGTGTCAGCCAGCTGCTGCTCTGGCTCTGCCTGCTCCTCCTCTCCCATTATTTCCCAACTTTTCCCCTCATCTGCCTCTGAGCTGTGACCCTCCCTGCAAACCACTACTGTAAATATGTACTGTCTTCTTCTTCCTCCTCCTCCCTGAAAGGGTCAGGATGGGGAGGCGGTCTCAACCACTGCTCCTCCTCCTCTGCCCACTCACTGACACATGCGCGCCAGTAAATCGCCTGAGAAAAGCAGATCACTCGGGTCACGACCCCAGCAGCATGACAGGGAGGCTGGTGTTGTTGCAGTATGGGTGCCAAATGACTGACTTGTACTAAGGGCAAGCCGTCACTGTGACAAATGTATGACGTCAATAGAAAAAGTATATATGTAGATAGGAGCCAGCTCAAAAGCTGTTATGCTTGATGACTAATACTGATGAAAATTTCAGCTTTCATGTTGGAATAAAGAGTTGCTGCCCCTCATTGTTGAAGACAAAAGCCTGAATGTGTACATACAACAAGCTCAGACACTAGGAAAGGATTGAAGCATCAAGTGCTTAGGAAATAAGGCATTCGAATTCATGGCTCATAACTCTATCATGATGACTCTCATCATTTAGCACTTTTTATCTGACAACAGAACTTTTAATGTTACAGTCTCTGCATTCAGAGGTCTCAAAAGCAAATGTTTCCACTAAGGCTGAGCTGAAAGGGGTAAAGGGTACATTTTGCAAACACTTTAACAGCCAGAAAAAGCATCTTCCCTTCATTTATTCTTTTTTTTCCACAGAGGGCTGCAAAAAGGGGGTGAAAATGTTCAGCCATTTGCAGGGAAGGCAAATGGAGGACAAGTAAATATTTGCAATGCAGAAAGATGTGGAGGGTCAGCCTACCCTACTTCCCCATCTCTCTCTAACCGCTTATTCACAGTTATTTTCATTGGGCCTTAGCGGTGTCATGTGACCAAATGGCTTCATGACATCATGATGTTATCACACTCACTGCATGACCAGGAAGAGAGAGAGAGAGAGGGAGCTGATTTCAAATAAATAAATAAATAAATGGCTGGCTCTGGAGCAGTAGCCAAGAAAGGCAGTGAATAGGTGCAAAATAGTAATAATTTACATTTTCCAATGAAAATGTTGTCTTGCACCCAAAGGTACTACTTTTGTGTCCAAAATCAAATCACACGAGCATTTATTGCAAACCTATTCTTGTACTCTAAGGATGCAGTTTGATGAACTGACTGAAACCCCACTTCTGGCTGCAGTCAATGCATGGGGTTGGGGGTGCGAGGGGTCTCAAGGAGCCACAAGACAATAATTAGACTAAAAATATTTTATTTCTAACTAGCACAACGCTCTCTATCTGCCTCGGCTGCAATGTGTGTACATGTCAATACAAATTAGCATAAACAGTAATTATCTGGGCTGTAGTATTACGCATTGCAAACATCATTTTCTTTCTTTTCCTTTTTTTTTATAAAAAAAACCCTTCCAGATTGCTCAGCACTAACACACACACAAAAACCCACCACCCTCCGAATTATAATATCTATGCAGTTAGCACAGCATATAATCACTGTGTGCTCTGAGGATTTCACAAACATATTTGTAAACGGCATAAATTAAATGGCCTCATGCAATAATTGCATGTTTATCTGTGCCCTCTAAAACATAGGGTTACTAATACTTACATCTTTTTAAACATGTGCTTTGGCGAACGCACAATGTGTAAAGGGCTCTGGCACCGAAGGCTACGAGTGAGCACTTTCGGCAGTTGGCAACTCCAGACAATGTTCCCTTAGGGTGTGCTTCCCTGAGTGCAAGCCTTATGCACTGGCATAGCCTCCAGCACAAATCTCATATTAAGCCCTAGTTTTATTCCACGCAAAATACTCTGTGAGGTCACGGGCACTGGAAGTACTCCAGGATTTAAGGGGCCCTACCAGGGGTGTTGCTAAGCACTGAGTGAGCTAACCTCTGGAAACCTGGCCCACTTAGCATTGTCCCATGTGAGCAGCATTGAGAGGAGCTGATGGTTTCCTCTCCAGGTCCTCATGCTCTTCTGTCTCTATTCCAAAGAAGAGCCCATGCTGCTGTTGTATGGGAAACAAGATGCGAGTGGCAAAATAACTGCCATTGCTGCATATAATGTCAACCGAAACTCAGGTCTCCAGCTGTTCTTGAACTGTAACTTCCATCATGTCTAGATATCAGGACCAGTGGTCAGGGATGATGGGAATTGTAGTCCAAAAACAGCTGGAGGCCCAAGTTTGGGAACCCCTGTGTTAAATCATAGCTTAGCTCTCCACAGTGAAGCCCCCACAAATTTAGAGAAGATAACCTATGCATATAGAGTTTGCACGAATGTAGGTATGGACGTTGAGGCAGGACAGGTTGGTTCTCAAGGTACCAAAGGAATGCCTAGTGAGTGAGAGTTAGATATGAGCTGAGCCTCTGCCTCCAAACCTACCTCTCTTATATTTCTGTTGCTGCAGTTACTAGGGTCCTACACCTTACTTGGAGCTTAGGGCAGTTGCTCCTTGGTAAGAACATTGAAGAACCCCGCTCATCATGGGGGAAACAGATAACTCAGCTCCAGCCTTTCACAACCCACAATGTCCATTTTCCTCCCTCGAGTGTCAGCTTCTGCCTTCTCTAGGCCTTCTCTTCTGCCTCCAATTTGGCATGACTTCTCCAAGGCTCATAAGCCATCAGGCTAAGTCTGCAGGTTTGCACACTCTCATCAGTGCCTGGCTGCAATAATGGACTCAATGATGGAGCAGGTCCATAGCTTTAGGCTCCTCCTAGAGCCATTGTTTTCAGTAAGCAGCCTTAGTGGTGCAGAGTGACTTCTATCTGCTGGTAGTTGAACTTTTTGCAGTCTGTGCTCTGGTAACCTCTAGGATAGTTTAGTGCAGTATCTCTCTGATGACAGAGACCAGAAGTTCGGCTCTGATATTCCTCTACTCACAGGCATTTAATGGTTGGTTAATTCCACATCTTTCCATACTTGATTATCCCTGATCTTTTGTCCACTGGTATTGTGTGATGATATTTCAGTAGTGTTAAAACTATTTTGTAATACTATTGTGTTTAATTTTTTGTATATTTTAAACTGTTGTAAGTCATCTTGAGTGTTTTCTTTTTAAAAAGAAACAAGCATTTAAGAAATTTAGTAAAACTAAACTAATAATCTGCCCCACCATAACCTAGCTCCAGACCATCCTGGCTGACGTATAGTGAACAAGCGGCTGGTTTATATACTTCTTCCCCACGGCTGTCTTTGATTGTATTTAATTTCTATATACAGTATTGTATTTTCAGTATTGTTTTGGTGCAAGCCATGCAGGGAATGTTTATTGATGGGTGGGTATATAAATTCCACAAGTGCAAAACTAAAAAGAAAGACATGGATGTAGCTGCATCTTAATTATTCATTTATTGCAGTATTTATATATTAAAAGGTAAAGGACCCGACAGTTAAGTCCAGTCACAAACGACTCTGGGGTTGCGGCGCTCATCTCGCTTTACTGGCTGAGGGAGCTGACGTTTGTCCGCAGACAGTTTTTCCGGGTCATGTGGCCAGCATGACTAAGCCGCTTCTGGCGAAACCAGAGCAGCGCACGGAAACGCTGTTTACCTTCCCACCGGAGAGGTACCTATTTATCTGCTTGCACTTTGACGTGCTTTCAAACTGCTAGGGTGGCAGGAGCAGGACTGAGCAACGGGAGCTCACTCCGTCGCAGGGATTCGAACTGCCAACCTTCCGATCGGCAAGCCCTAGGCTCAGTGGTTTAGACTACAGCACCACCCGCGTCCCATATTACCATCTCATAAAACATCAAGCCAGCATACAACAATATGTAAATAATATAACCTGAAAAACCATTAAAAGCATGGTTGGATTTGCCAAAGTGGGTTGCAGCACCTCTTTATCACTATAATTTGTAATACCTTACATTTGATGCAAGCTGATCAATGAGAAGAATCCAGTGCTGAACAGTGGCAACAGACACTATGGTAGCACACATACGTAAGCCATGTAGCTCAAAAAAAGTATATTGGGAGTCTGGTGGAGGATGCACACTGATGATTCATGTACTTGGGCATTTTAGTATACCTGAAGGAGCGTCTCCACCCGCATCATTCAGCCCAGACACTGAGGTCCAGCGCAGAGGGCCTTCTGGTGGTTCCCTCACTGCGAGAAGCGAAGTTACAGGGAACCAGGCAGAGGGCCTTCTCAGTAATGGCACCCGCCCTGCAGAACGCCCTCCCTTCAGATGTCAAGGAAATAAGCAACTATCTGACTTTTAGAAGGCATCTGAAGGCAGTCCTGTTTAGGGAAGTTTTTAATGTTTGATCTTTTATCATGTTTTAAATATTCTGTTGGAAGCCTCCCAGAGTGGCTGGGGAAGCCCAGTCAGATGGGCTGGGTATAAATAAAAATTATTATTATTATTATTATTATACCACAATATCGCAAACATGTTGACAGAAACCTTCAAGGGTCCAAAACAAGCTTTCATAAGGGAATTGTAAGTATCAGACAAATATAGCAAATATCTATAGCATTAGTGTTATACAATGATTTTGCCTTTAGAGCTTCTGGATTTATTTGATTGTGGCAGACTCTAAATATTAAAAGTTGCCACTGAAAGCAACTTACAAAACATTACTTTAAAAACATTGTCAGAGAAACAAAGTCAGCGCAATCTAATCTTGCAATACCTGATAAAACAAGCAGATCCTCAAAGCAGGTTCATCCCCCTGGAATGATACAATGTCTAGATAAGTTGTGGCTTGCGAAAAGCAGCGTGCAAGTTTAATTCAAATTAAATAAATAGCCGCATGAGCTTAATTAGACAAAAGCTATATTCAGTAGTTTAATTAGAATCAAGATTAAGCTGCTTGGAATAATCTAAAATGATATTATAGGCACAAAAAGAATTAGGAAGGCTAAAGACAAACGTTGAACATTCTAATGTATGACATACAACTTCATTTCCCGCTCCTTAAACATGCCGGTATGAAATGAGTTACATTATCCATTGATCTAAGGCAAGCACCTTCACTGCATTGCTTTCAGCACCTACTAAAAACTCTTTTTGTTTCAACAAGCCTAGCCAGGCATGTCATTTTGGCACATGATTTTAGTAGGTACAAGTGTTTTAAAATTACTGGGTTTTCTTCTGTATTTTAATTTTTTATGTATCAATATTGGTTATTTATAGGCATTTAAAACAAATATTTTAGTCTGCATTCTAAACTGCTTGGAAGTTAGATCACTTAGAACCAGCAAACTGCTTAGAACCACTCAGAGTTCCAGTAAATGGTATATGAATTTTGTTAAATAAATAAAATATTGCATCAAATGTCCAAAGTATTCTTCAGTGTTTTGTCATAAGAGAGGTGAACAGAGAGAAGAATACCAAAACATATCATACACAGGTATATTTAATATGAACAGGGCAGAATACCCAATCTGTACTCCACATTTTAAAATTCGCTTTACATGTTAACTTTTGAAATGATTTTTTAAATTGTATGACTCTCATTTGTAATATTATATATTTTGCAATGTTCCATCTGATCATTTAATACGAGTTGTAAACTCCTTAAGAGATTCCCTTGGTACTGTTCAGTGGTATAGAAATGATTAAAAGAATAAAAATAATACATTCAGCATGTATACAGTCATTCCACTAACATCTTTACATGTGGAAATCATAATGTGTAAACAGCACTAGAGTATTATTATTTTATTATTAATAATATTTTTAATTTTCTTTGTATACCACTTTATACTTTTAAGGAAACAAATCTCAAAGCAGTTTACAATCTACATTAAAACATCAGGAGTATGTGTAAAATAGATTCCTGAATTTTTTGTAGTTACTGCATTTTACCACCTAATGCCCCTTTTCTACCTTTGACGTTTTCATTAAGATGACAGGTATACATTATGTCACTGCAACAAATGAAAGCATTGTTGGCTGTTAATAACTACACTGAGTGGGTAAGAAACAGCGACACACACAAAAACCCCTGGGGACAAAGCTTCATTGTGAACATTAAACAATTATTGCAATGTGAAATTAGACAGTGTTGTCATGCAATAGCTGTTTCCCTGCAAGGGAAATGAGGGCAGGTCTTTTCAGACACATGGAATGACTCCAAGCAAACTAGGATTACTTCAAGCCTCGCAAGCTGACTATAGAATGGCACTGAATTCACATTTTAGTAAATACTGAATGTTTGTTAAATACCATGCCTTGCAAAATAAGATAACCCAGTTGCTTATTTGCAGTGAGTAAACGCAGATGATTTTTTCCCTCTTATTACAGTCACCTTAACACTACTATGAGATCTTTGCACTGATAGTCTACATTTCTAGAAAGCTGGCCTGAAAAGAGTGCATGTGGCTCTCAGAAGGCTTCCCAGAATGCAGCAGAATGAAAGGGAATGCAGCACCCCCTTACCTCTTTCACAGAGGATGGCTTAGCACGGCCATTTATCCCATGCAATTGCTTTACTAGTTAAAATATCTGGGAAGCAGATCTCCTGTATAAGATGCATTTGTGTATAAAATCTGGATACAAATTCACAGTTTAAGAATGTCGTATGGAGGAAGTCAGCTCAGACCCTGCAGAGCAGTGGCATTGCTTGGGTTTCTGTAGACACATGTGTTCCCACTTACGCATGTGCCAAAAATGGGGGGAGGTGGAATGAGGAAATCCCCACTTATGAACATCCTGTAGTGGAACCCCAGAGTAACTGACTTCCACAGGGTGGCCACCAAAAGGATGTGGCTGATCAAGGGTGAAAACCACTGCTCTGGCATATAGCAGGGAGATGAGCAGGCTCCACAAAGCAGGAGGAGGGTGCTCAGGAACAATTGTGTCAATGGCCAGGGCCATTTGGATGTTCCAGAGGTTGGCCAGGACTTTGACAGGAGTGCCAGTCATATCAGCCAGAAAATCTCCCAGAGCCACCTGGAAACCCATTGGAGCCATCAGCCTCCAAGGGAAGGACCATCCTAATAGATGCCTCGCCTCTGCAAAGGGGAAAAGGTGTTGAAAACCTTGACCTTAACAGGAAGTGATCTGACCATTACACAGAACTGATGTTACTTTCATATCACCCTCTTTCTGCCCAGTTGAGTAAACAAGGTCCAGAATGTAGCCAACCTAATGGTTGCCGTGACAGCTATGAAGCCCTGAGCCAACCCAGAGCCAGTCGCCTTGGCATGGATGATGAAGTCTCCCAGAAGCAGCAGTATGGAAGTCCTTAACAACACCTCTGGGACCAGCTCTGTCAGCTCAGGTAGGGAGACTGCTGGGAAGGAAGGCAGGCAGTAAACCAGCAGAATTCCTAATCTGTTCTGATTGCCCAATGCCTGGATGGAGAGCCTTGAGAGACAGATGGAGCCTCCACCTACTATAGCAACTCCCGCTCCCCGACCCACAAGTCTGCTCTGATGCTGAACTGAGTATTCTACCCTGCTCACTTACCCAGGTCTGGGAGATACAGACCAGATCAGCCTCCTCATCCACAATCAGATCATGGATGAGAGTGGTCTTACTCCAAGTTGACCTGGCATTCAGCAGAAGCAGACCCTAGGGCTGGCTGATAGGACAACCGCAATTCCCCAGGTTGGATGAGGAACTGGCACACAGCACAGTCACTAACTGTCTGCAACATGACTTCTTCTTTGGCGATCACTCCAAGTTTCTTTGCTTGCTTCACTAAGGGTGATATTCAACATTAGTCATACTCCATTGTTTTCAGAGTCTTTTTTCTGCATGGTTAATGTTAGAGATCATCCGGGGAACTTGAAATATGATCAACACACAGCTTTTGTCCCCACCAGAAGTTAAAATAATTAATAAGAAAATCAAAGGCTGATATAGCTTCCCTGTACTTGGATTAGATGAGCTTGTTTATTGGACAGCTCCCTTACTCCCAAACCTATTTGGGCTTGCCAAGGGTTTCTTTGAGGTTTAAAAATCATTTTCATATTTCATTTCATTTCATTTACAATTTGCTAGGCTGTTCCATGAAAGGTTTCTCCTTATTTTGCACACACACACCTACAAAACAGCCACATTAACCAGAAAGTTTTTTAAGGAAGGATTAAAACCTAGGTTTGTTGTTTTCAACATACAGTGGTACTTCCAGTTGCGGATGGGATCCGTTCCAGAGGTCCGGTCAGATCCCGAGGTTTCTGCAACCGGAGGACCACTTCTGCACATGCGTGCACAGCGGTAGACCAGTTCTGCACATGTGTGCATGGAAAAACCTGGTCAAATACTTCCAGGTTTGCCACTTTCACATCCTGAAGTTTACGTAACCAGAGGGTAACGTAACTGGAGATACTACTGTACTAAACAATACAATACACATTTTATTATACAGTCACAAACCCAGTAATACATACTAAGCCGTAGCTGAACTTCTTGGGGAAATGGTGCTTGATCCCTAATATCTCTTGAGAATTGTGAGTTGGGTACATTTATGTTCCAAACTAGATAAATTGTGAACTTTAGCAACTTCACTAGTGTCAGTTAATAGGTATGAAATTCATAATTCAAGGTCTCCTGTATTTTATCTGTCTCCCACAGTCAACACTGATAACAAAACTGCCACAAGCTCTGCTCTACAGAGAGAAAACCCTTCTGTGTTTCAGATTTTATGAAAAACAACCTAAAATTAATGGTAGTTGAAAAGTATGCCATTATAATAGCTTCAGTTCTAAGGGTGCAAAACATTGGTTGTTGTGGTTTGTTTTTTTTAAGTATTTATTCAAAGCTAAATCAAGGCTTCCAATTATGCTAGCTTTCAAAGTACTGCTTTGTACAAGGATGTGAAATGACTCAACACACAAAAAGCTTCAGATGAAAGAATAACTTCCGCAGGTTATTCTGCAGGTTATTCTGCAGTTTAGTAAATGATAGAAGTGCAGATGGGTAAGTCCGCTATGACAAGGTATTACCAAAAATGGCTGGCTTCCCTTGAATTTCTGAGAGTGGATTTACAGGACTATTTTCCCTAGGAAAGATTTACTATAAATCATATCATAGCAAATATGAAAGCTTGTCTTGTGAACAGTATAACATGTTTTCAAATGTCCCAGAACTGCAGTGCATGTTGAATCTTTCTTTAATGATAGGATCCACCAAAAGATGATAAACATTGTCAGAGGGTGAAACAAAAAAATACATAAAATAGACTGCATTTCTTCACTCATTCTCTTCTTGAATATGCCTTTCCTTCCTGCTTTTAGGACTGTCCCTATGTACTCCTTAGGAGTATTAATTAAGTTCAAAGTTAAATTATATTCTCTCAGAGACATGTGATGCCCTGGCTGGTGGCAGAGGCCAGACTATGATTCTCTTTGGTTCTATTGTCCTAGGAACGTTCTCATTTTCATACAAGTGGGCTCTTGGGTCTTTGGTTTGTGAAAAGATGGCCTTCCCCTCTGGCACAACTACACCCCTGTAATCATGGACACCCTCAATTGAAATAGCTGAAATTTGTGTTTGATAAATAGGACAGTGGTCATACTGAGGTACCCACAATTCTATAACTAAATGTGATTAACTTCAGGAACTCCTGCTGACTGCATATATTGTAGTTTGTATTCATGCTTCAGGAAAAAAAATAATCTAAGGAGAAAGTTGAAGCATAACTGAATGAATGTAAGAGTACTATAACCAGAGGTGGCTTTCCAGTGTATTAAAATTGTTCTACATGTTATTTGTTTGCACGTACACAAAGTACATACAGCCTTCTTCAGTAAACATTAAAGTAAACCAAATACACCCTGTTGCTCTAAGAATGATGCAACGTATTATCACTCACTTTAAAGCCAGCCACACATTTTGACAAAGTATCAGAGGACCAAGATTCTTCTCTATGACTGTGGCTGCAGAGTTTTCAAACGCTCTGTCAAGATTCCACTTGTTGAATTACAATTGTGCTAATGGCACTAATTTACCATAGTGCTAAATCTATGAATATAGGTGAATATAGGTGGTTTGGAAAGGTGAACTGAAGGATCCTCCTCTCCCGTCTTCTCTTCAAAATCACGACATCTCATACAAACAAAGATTGGGCTCTCTTCAGAAGACACTTGACCCAGCACATTAACTAACCCCTTCAAGCCTTACTTTTCCCAAACCAGTGTGGAATTGTATAATAGCAGCAGGATGCCTAAGGTTGAAGGCTTGGAGGCTTCTAGGCACATGCTCAAGGGTATCCAAGCCCTGACTGCCACTGTTAGCTTGGCAGTTCTGATGCTAAAAACTCACAGCTTAAGTGCATTGAGGGAAGATTTGATTGTAAATGTTGAAGCCCAAATTCAGTTCACTCTGGTATTATTTCTCTTCCACCTCTAAACTGGGAGTGGACAGAAAGCAGTCTGGGATCTACTGGTAGATTTCTGGGTGATTTCCATTAGATCAGCAAGGTGGTTTTTTTAACAGAATTGTTCAACAACAACAAAATTACAGTGCTGGAATTAAGAAGCCTGTTGCAGCTAGGGAAACAAAGTAACCACGAGCGTCCAAGAACTTCTATATCTACTTGAAAAACACTTAATAAGCCCAGTGCAGTCAAGTCAGGTCTGTTCTAATACTCAAAACAAATTCCTTTGCTCATCATACTTTCATTCCTTTTGCACCAAGCTATGCTTGGTGGATCTTGGGAATCATCGGGGGCGGGTGGAGGGAGTTGGTCACAAAGTAAAGCAAGATAATCTCAGCCAGTGCAATCCTGTCTGTGGCATACAATTGTGTCCCGTGATAAACCCAAGAGTAGTTTGGCTAGTGTGATGGACAGCAGAGCCAGACTGGTGATGCAGTCCCCCTGAAATTCCACCAGAGTGGCTGGAGCCTCTCTCTCTGATTGGCTACAGAGTCAGCTAGCCACAGAGGGGGGAGGAACAGCACTTTGGGGGGAAGAATAAAAGAAGTGGCTTCTGAGGGCGAGAGTAAAATAGGGCTGGATTTGAGAAGAGAGATAGGATAGGATAGGATTTGAGATGTTAGACAGGTTTCAGGTTGGGAGATGGGGAATGAGATAGGGAGAACTGGTTCTGAGTTAAGTTAAACATACACACTGAAGAGACTATCCATAGCGAGAGGACAGAGCCTTGCAGCTTGGACAGGGAGACAGGGTTGAGGGTCTGGGAAAGGTATGCAGACAGGAGTGTCCTCGGAGGGCTGTGACTCAACCGGGAGAGGTAGATCTTGTGGGAATACAGTCAAACCTTGGCTCCCAAACGCCTCCGTCATCGTACATTTCGGGTCCTAAACGCCGAAAACCTGGAAGTAACTGCTCCAGTTTTTGAACAATTTTCGGAAGCCAAAAGGCTTCCAGGGAGTTTTTTCTTTTTTCTCCATTGACTTTGCCAACCACCCTTTGATCCTCTGTTGTCAAACGTTTCAGAAGTCGAACTGTCTTCTGGAACAGATTACGTTCGACAACCGAGATTTGACTGTACAGGCTACCTGAGTCTCAATATAGCCAGGAGGGGAGAGTTCTTCTAGATACTGAAGACTCCCAAACCAGTGACAAGGGGGGAGGTGATCCCCTGGGTCTGTTATACCATTTAGAAGACCTCAGGTGTGGGATGGTTAAGAGGTAACTGAGGAGCTGTTCCTGTGAAGGAAGCAGGATGGTGTTTAAGGAATTTAATTGTAATATCATGTGACAGAAAGTGAGTTGAGCATTTTACCATCTATTCTGGACACTTGAATATCTATCTACTTGAAGTGTACCAACTGATTTTTAATAACTGAGGTTTAAGAAGTGTTGCGACTTTAATATTTTGTTTAAGCCTGAGACATCTTATAGTTAAAGTAAATAAGTTAACTTTTATCTGAAAGAACACATTTCCTTACTTGCTTTGTTTCACAAACTTCTTTTTATTTAATAAAACTTTGCTTGTTTGATCAACTCTTGCCTGAGACTTTAAATCATTAAAATTTTCCTCACACAAGTCCCTCACTGGATAATCTGTGGTAAATTGTAGAAATTTATTGGTGTACCGTGAGGTGGGTGCACTATATTTAATAGGGGGCAGTCAGCAGGAGTGGATCCACTGCATTATTAATTCATGGTATTAAGGGGTGGATCTGCTATAGCTAGGTTTCCCAATTTGTTGGTTTTTGTCTGTGTGATCACATGTGTCAGATACATTTTCATGCACACATGTGCATTGGCACACAAGCAGAAAAATCAAGGCAATGGATAACCACAGAGGTACATTGTGGCTGAAATTTATGTTTGGTGCAAACATGCTAAGGTTTTAATTTCACCTGATAATTTAATTTCACCTGAGCTTTTAATTGTTCCTGATAATTTTTTCATGTATTTTTCTTTACCAAAAACATTGCATTATCCAGACAGGATATGGTTTGTGTGACCTGCAATGTGTTTATTCTTGCTTTGTATTACAATTTTGTATTCATGAAGTAAACATATTCTTTAGAAATCTTTTCTAATTGGACCTTAATCTTCAATTTCTTGCCCATGCAAAAAGCCAACTGCCTCCACCTTAATTGTTTTCTCGTTATGTTAAAATTCTTTTTTTATCCTTTTCAGAAACGAGTGTTATTCACCACAGAGTGTGGACTGGGTAGCGCAATAAGGGGGAAAGGGCTTCATAAATCAGGATATATCAAAACCTGGCTTCTCTTTACTCTGTACTACTGAAGTCTTCATTACTCCCATGCTAAATTAAGTAAATATATTAGTGACAAAAATGTGAAACAAACAGTTTCTTAATGTTTAAGGGTAATGGGGAAACCTACATATCCCTGAGTTCTAAACACATACAGAGCACAACAAGGCAGATAAAGCTCACATCTATCTCTGAAAATAACCATAGCAGTTTAATTCCAATGCTAGACCAAGGAACAAGACAAAATACCTCATGTACCAAACACTGTGAAAACAGAGCCCTAGAAATGGCAAAGAAAAACTATTCTCAACCAGCAGTTTGTTCTCACACAGATGCTATGTATTTTCAACCGTCACACCTGCTTTAAAAATTCAAACATAAAGTGGAGCCCATGCAAACTTGTATTTAGGTCTGTCTGAAAGTACTGGTGGAGATGCTTATGAGCGTGAGTCTGAGCAGCTTTCATTTATGACTAAGCAATCACCCCCACCACTAATTTCAGATTGAAAGAGCAGGTTTCTAGTTAACCCTCTCAAGTGGAGGAAGCAATCTTGGATTTAGGGCAAATCGGAAAGCCGTTAAATGGGATCCTCAAAGGGAACAGTGCAGGCTTGCCCTCTGTGACACTGAATATTAGGTTTAGGCACAGAAGAGCTTAGTTCAAGCCCTTTGGACGTTTGGGGGAAGGGAGGCTTTGATGGGTCATTGTATATTATTTTAGCCTATTTCACAAGGGGCATATGGGGATAAAATGAGATTACTCTGTAATCTGCCCTTGGGTATAGGAGGAAATAAATTCCAAATGAATTAATATTGCACCAGGGCAATACACTCACATACTTCCTTATTATGAAGCAACGGGACTTCGTTTTTGAGCAATCTGCTTAGTGGCACAAGCCAGTTCAAACAAAGCCTATGTGATTTGCCCAGGGTCAAATAGCTAGTACGCGACAGAAGTAGGTTGAACTTTCGTCTCCCCAATGTCACTGCATAATCCTCCCTAGGAACATGTCATAGGAATTCAAACACATTCCACCACTAGACATGAAGGTGGTGTGTTAAATGGGTGTGTGGGTGCATCTGTCTGCCCCCTCTCTCACTTTGTGTGTGTATAAACGGACACAGGCAGAGGGACACATTATTTCTAACCCTGCAAAGTATGACAACTATCAATTTTCAGAATAGAGGGACTAAGTTTTATTTAAACTTTAGTTTTGCCTTGCAATATTTTCATCTGAATTATTACTCCACATCCTCTTGTTGAACAAACAGCTTGACAGCAGATTTTTAAAAATCTTTAACAGATTTTATGCATTTCTCGTTCTCTGTGCTCTTCAACCTCTACATGAGGTTATGTGACACTGACCAGACACTGACTCTTTCTCAGGAAAAAGTGCAGATGGTACACCAACCAAAATTGTGCAAAAGCTCTCCTGGCAACAGCAGCAACCTGTCCCTCCAGGAGCAACACCTGATCTAGAAGATGAACCTAGTCTTTCAGAATAAGTGATACTCCACACAGAGCTGGCTATATACATATTCTCAGATTGGTTTTTCTGCGTGACCCAAAGCACCTCCTTCATGCCTGGATTAAATTTTAGCTTATTATCCCAAATACAAGCCCATCACAGCCTCAAGAGAATATATGGCAATGAATCTGAAAAACACATTTTGTTATCTGTGTTGTAAGAAAACACTATTCCAAAAACAGGTTGTTTTATTGAACAGAATAGGCATCCAAAAAGCCACTTGTTTTCTGTCAACTAAAGCTATATTGGGGTACTTGGCAAGTTCAAGATAGCTTAGTTTGCATGCTTTATGTATCAATGGGTGATGTACATCAACTTGAAATAAACCCCATCTTCATAATCTCGGCATATTTTGAAAATGAAAGAGTGTAGGGGGAAGCAAGAATCAAAGCAACCTTCGTACAAAGCAGCAGTTTGAGGCTATTTGCAGATTAAAATGTAAAATTAAACCAGCTCTCCTTTAAACTAGCCACTAAATAATACAACTTTCCTCTTTTCAATTAAGTGTTTTGTATTTCAGATGCATAGAGAACGAGCTCTTTACTAATTTAATTAGTGATGCTGACTTGATAAATTCAGGTCAGTCTATATAGATTCTCTCCTCCTGCCTAAGAAGTGAGTGAGAGAGATGCAAATGAATTATCAAATTGTTTTATTTAAAAAATACAATTCCATATGTTTCAGATGCAGCCTTCTACAAAGAAGTATATCACACTAGCCACCAGATTTATTCTTAATGAATTATGCAGAAACAAAACAAAGAATAACTACTACACAATCAAACCTCCTTAATGCACAAGAGATTGGCTTTTCAAATGGCAGCTCTCTTAAAGGAAGTTTTTTTGTTCAGTGTGTGGAAGGTGCTCTAATTATAGAGAACCAGGGTTGAGAGATTACTAATTATTCCATGCTTTTAAAAACAAGGGAACTTTCAATAGGTCAGACTACAGCCTGCACACAGGAAGGGATGAATAAGGGTCTTTCTATTAAACTGCAACGTAATCTTGGCAAGCCCAATAATTTAAGGCTTAATGTAAATCACTGCAAAACTTCAACTTCTGTTTCCGAAGAACTTTTCAAAAAATGTTTCTAGTTTCACACAGCAGACCCTGTTCAGCATCTCGCTGCCATGGCGTTTTTCTGCCTTGACAATTCACTTCCGTGAACAGGCATGCAGCCAACTCAAATGAGACCCAGCGCGGTGAAAAGCCCTTCAGGTAAACAGTGTGATAAGCTAAACTGCAAAAACTAGACAATGTTTTTGGACTACGAGGCAGTTGCTATGGAGACAGTTGCTAATTAACTGCATTCAGCCAAGAGAACAAAGGGTTTTAAGGGCAGACAGGACTCGGTATCTTAGAGTGAGCAATGTATAACATCTTATGCAATCTGCACATCTCCCATATCTGAAATACCTGAGCCTTTGCTTCAGTGGCAAAATACCTTAAGAAACACCAAGCACTTCCTTAAAATTTAACTGCAACTGGCTTATCATCAGCAATTACCAATCAAAATATTATAAACTGTGAGCAAAAATGAATTTGGGTCAGGAGTGTTTGAGACATTATTCAGATCCATTCAGAGCAACGCCTTCTCACACTGAAAGTAAATTAGAAGTTGCCTTTGGAACCAATAGTTTCTGAATCCTATCAGTGTGCAAAGGTAGATAGATTTAAAATGCCAGGGTTTTATTTTCATTCCATACTCACATAGCCCAGAATATTCAGTAGGAAAATATCTAGTCAAAACACTATTGTTTCCATATACTGTGAGCACTCAATAAGACTTTTGTTTGACAGTTTTGTATGCCCATTTTCCTTAACCTGGTGCCCTCCAGATGTTTTGGACTACAAACTCCTATCAGCCTCAGCCAGCAAGAAGGCTGCCACAAAGGTCTTCTTTGATAAGGCTATCCTACCTCACAGAGCTGCTGTCAAATGTCAAGCCTCCATTATGGAACCATAAGCTATTTGGAGTAAGGCATAAAAAATGCAGAAAACTGGTGTTGTTTTGTTTTGTTTTTTTATCAAGTCTGACAGACAATTAACGCCCTAATTCTGATCTTCCAATAAAGCAGAAATAAAGATTCTAAAACCACTCTTCTTCCATTAGATATTAGGGTGGTATGCCAAAAATGACCAAAAGGGTCACAGAACCATAAAACCATAAAACACAAGGATTATGTTACCACAGCAAAAGTGAATCAAAATAAATACAGCGGTGCCTTGGTTCGTGAACTTAATCATTCCGGGAGTCCATTCGACTCCCAAAACCATTCAAAAAGCAAGGTGTGGCTTCTGATTGGCTGCAGGAGCTTCCTGCTCTCTAGCGAAAGCCACATCAGACATTCGGCTTCCAAAAAACGTTCACAAACTGGAACACTTACTTCCGGGTTTGCGGTGTTCGAGATCCGATTTGTTCAGGAGCCAAGCCATTCGAGTACCAAGGTACCACTGTAGTTAAGAGGACGTTTGACAATATTAGGAGAAAATGTGTATCTGTAACAGGCATCTGTTAAAACTGGCCACTTCAGTTTCATGCTTGAAAAGCTGACTGTATATAGTGAGAAAACAGTAAGGATATATGGGCCCATTCTCACTTTAATGCCATGTGCAAAACACTCATGGGATGGCATATCCAATGACACATTCCTGCTAACCCCTCACATGCTCAGAACTCATGGGCAGGTTGTACTGAACTACAGCATTTTGTGTTTTGTGGGTCCCCCCCCCCCAATCAGCAATAGAGAATGTTTCATCCTTTAACTCCTTGAGATGAAAATGTTGCCCTACCCAATTCTTTCTCCATATGTGCATTTAATATTTTTGTACAATACAAAGTTTTAAGCAAGACAGAATAATAAAAGTCATTACTGGTGCAGGTGATCTATACTTCATTTTCATCAAATTGCCTTCAGTCTCCGAACAACAATAAAGTACATAAAGAAAATATTACGATCCTTTACAAATACTTGTGGTGGAGAAGAATCCTGAGCAGTTGCTTGTAAATTTTCTGAAGCCAAGCTAGGTAGACCCACTAGATCTGCCTTTCTCAAGTGGAGCCCTACATATATTGTAGTACAGCTACCATCTGCCCCTGGCAACATGCTGGTAGAACACCAAGTCTGGGAAACCTGCACTAGGTGGATTTAGCCCAGCAGGGCTCCTTATGTTCTTCAGAAGAAGCTGACAAAAGTGGTGTCATAGAAGTCCTGCTCAACTGCGAAGCCACTGGGCTGTACTCAGTCAAAGCTCCTCCTATCAGCCAGAAGGGCAAAGTGGGACTTCCATACTGAGAAGGAGGATACTTTGAAAAACAAAGGACTCTGCCATCAACTTCATGCCCAGGTCACCAAAACTAATTTACTTTTCCACCAAAGAGAATGAACTCAGACAAAACAATGTGAGCAATTTAAAATAAATCCAGGGGGAGCATTGGCTGTCCAATAGGGTAGACAACAGGCTGATGAGTTACGTTGCCTCCAGCCCTACTCATCCCTCCACAGATAGCAGCACAGGTGCCCATACAACACTGTCTGCAGCCACATTTCAGGGAGCAAATCCTGTGAAGAAGACAAGAGGCATACAGTACATTTTTCCTATGCTTTTGCACTCAAGATGGCAGTTCAGCATGCTATGCACACAGATTATTCTAGTAGGCTGAAATATATCCCTATTTCCTTGGGCTGAATCATACTATGGTGGTGCCTTTGGAACATGTACAGTGAGGTCAGGGCTTTGTCTGCACCCCCCTCCAATATGTCCAGTCAGTCTTTCTTTCTTGATGTCCAGCAGGGTTTATTGCAGCAGAGCAGTCCAAGTCGGGAAATTTGTAGAAATCAGTGTGAAGTTCCAGCAGTGAAGTCCCTTTTCAAAACAACTTTTAATCCCAGCCGTAAGGCATAATATTTTTGGCATAAGGAATCAATAGTAGGAAGCTCATTTCTATCACACAATGCCTTTGTTTTTTAGTGGAGACAGATAAAGCTTTCTGAAAAGACTGGAACAAAATGATACTGACCAAAAAATATTTATTGAGAGAATACACCTGCATTTCTTGAATTTATTTACACTTCCGTGCTCCCTTTGGAATAGGGGCATCATATGCCTCCAGTTTAATAAATGTTGTATTCATTTTCTCTCTCATTTTCACTTGCTGTCTGCTTCTTTGTGACATCCAATCTTGGCTGTCAAATATTGTGTTAGGCTACAGAAGTTTCCTGGTGTTTCAGGAAGTGCACTATGGAGTTGCCTAACCAGCACTGAAACCTAGTTACATGCGAGTAAACCTTCAAGATTCAGTACATCTGCTTGTGGCTTATGGTCATATGAGCTACCATGCTGAAGGGGAAGTATATTTAAGCATCCTAGTCCTGGGAAAGGTCACAGATGGTACCCTCACACAGGTGTCAGAACTGGATCTGACACTAAAGAAGCCATTGCTGAACACAACCTAAGAAGAGCCCTGCTGCATTAGGCCAAAGGCACCATCTAGTCCAACTGACTGTTCTCATAGTGGCCAACCAGGGACCTATGAGAAGCCAGCAAGCTGGGCAGGAGGGCAACAGGACTCTCCCTGCTTGTGATCCCTAGCAACTGTTATTCATACTGCCTCTGACAGTGAAGGGGGGGAAAGCCATCAAGGCTAGAAGCCACTGCTATCCAGGTTGGTGACCATCATTACACCTTGTGGGAGCAAATTTCATAATTTAATTATGGGTTGTGTAAAGAAGTACCTTTTTTTTTTGTCTGTCCGGGACCTTCCAATGTTCGGCTTCATTGGATGCCCATGAGATCTGGTGTTGTAAAAGAGATTTTCCCCCGATCCACTTTCTCCACACCTTATTATGACTTAAACACATCTTACTTCCCTTTTCACTAAGCTAGAAAGCCCCAAATGCTGTAAGCTTTCCTCCGAACAAAACGAAACAAAAAACTTCCTCCTGCACCACTGTGCTATACGGGGACATTTATAAAGTAAGGGGGCTTCACCTTTCCATTGGGGCAGGGCTGGATGATCCTCCTGCAGGAACTAAAACAGATTTTCGTTCTTTATGCAAACCTCCTCCTCCTCCTTTCCTTCAGCTGATCAAGGCAGGATAACAAACGGCTGTACACCCATTTCGATATAATGGTGCAATGGTAATTTCAGGCACAGCTGCCCAGGGGCTTCTAGGTCCAAAGTAGGAACCAACAGCAGCAGGCAAAAGGGAAAGAGCATGTGACCACCTGTCACCAGTTAGCTGTCAGGCTGCTTAAATACCTGTGTAGAGGCAATCTTTCTAGCAGGTGCCACTATAGAACAACTTTCGAAAGGCAAAATATTAAAATACAATAATTCATCAAATATTGTATTTGAATCTGATAAACCCTGTATTGGCTTGAGTTGTCAACACCTTAAAGTAGGATGGGAGGACCTATGGCCCTCCCGTGTCGTGTTTGGACTACAACTCCCATAATTTCTTGCAATTTGCCATAAATAAATTTATTTTTATTATTATTATTACCCCTGTTTCAGCTACCGAAATGTAGCTCTAGATTGTAGTTGTGTTGCAGGTAGGCTACAATCAGGTACAAGCAAATTCCTGTTGCACACTCTTCCTTTCTGCATTAAGGAAAGGTAAGGGAAATTGCACTGGAATGAACAGATTTTGTGGAAACAAGCAAAAGATTCCATGTACGATTAAAATATTTTAAAAGAAAGTCTTCCATTTGCAGGGCTTTTTCTTTCAATGGACAAAATCTCTACCTGTAACTACGCCAATCAAAGCAAGTTGACAACATGTCTTAAGTGGATTTTTTCAGGTCTCTTGAAGACAATCAAATCCTTGGATCCAATTTCATCCTTACATGAACACTAGAAGGTAAACTTCTTTTGTTTTGTCTACACAAACAGTGCCATTGTAGTAGCGTTAGCATGTGAACGTCTGGCCAGCTTTCCTCCTGAAATATCACGTTCAGCATCGCAGAAAAGAGAATACATAGATTTAATCCCGTCAGACAGCTAACAGATATTATTATTATTATTATTTATTAAGTCTGTGTGCCACCCTTCATCCAAAGATCTCAGAGCAGTTCACAACATAAAAATACAGAATAAAAACACAATAAAAACAAGAACATGAACAAAACAAACAATAACACCCCACTTCCCACAAACACATTTAAGAGGACATAGACCAGGGATCCCCAAATTAATGCCCGTGGGCCAGATAAGGCATGAGGGACTCATTTATCCGGCCCATGGCACCCCCCGCCACTGCTGCCCGCTCTTACCGGCGCTGTGCAGCTGCCCACTTCCAGGTCGGAGGAGCACCAGAAATGGCTTGTGAGCATGCACAAGCATTATTTGCGCATGCACAAGCATTATTTCCAGTGCACATCCAGGTCGGAGCAGGCCCCTGCACATGCGCACAAGCTAATTCCGGTACTCCTCCGACCCGGAAGTGCGCCGGAAATAGCATGTGCGCACGCGTATGGGCACGCGCTCCCCCGTCCTCCAGCCCGCCACACAATCGGCGCTGGAGACACCGACCCGAGGCGCGGTAAGTTTGCTGACCCCTGACATAGACTGTTAATCAGCCCAAGGCCTGAAGAGGAACGTTTTAGTCTGGCACCTATAATAATGAAGGTGCCAGACACACCTCCCTGGGAAGAGCATTCCACAAACTGGGAGCCATCACACACATTCTCATGCTTCCACCCTCCAGATCTCTTATGGGGGAGGCACAGAAAGAAGAGCCTCAGATGATGATTGCAGGTAAGTTTTATGAGGAGAGGTGATCCAGACAGCATTGGATACTTTTTCTCTCTGGTCATGTGCTATGCTCAAGAACTGTTAAAAGTAATAATGGTGAAATGTTTGCATGTCAGTCTTCTGGATTTTGCTAGAGAAATCTTTGGACCAGTGTTCTTCAGCCTTGACTCCCTAAATCTTGTTGGACTAAAACTTCCATCTTCTCATCTAGATAAGCTAGTGGCCAGTCATAATGGAAGCTGGAGTTCAAGAGCTAGAGGCAAAGAACATTCAACAGAATCTTGGTTTTCTTCTCTTCCAAAGAATCATAATTGTGACAATTGGAACACCAGCTCTCTAGAAATGTTGTGACTGTTGCAACAAACAGGATGATGAGTTAAAGCAATGAAATAACCTCAGTGGGAAGTCAGTATGTCTGGATTCGTTTAATGTAAAGATCACAGCCTTTTGACACATGTTTTGGATCTTTCAGAACTCGCAGATACTTAACCTACTCAAAAATAAAAATTATCCTCATTTATATTCTCAGTCACAGCTCAGTTTGCTGTTATTAGGAGTGATGCTAAAGTAGCTAACATGAGCAAGTACATCAGGGGGTCAGCAAACTTTTTCAGCAGGGGGCTGGTCCACTGTCCCTCAGACCTTGTGGGGAGCTGGACTATATTGTTTGGGGGGAAATGAACAAATTCCTATGCCCCACAAATAACCCAGAGATGCATTTTAAACAAAAGGACACATTCTACTCATGTAAAAACACACTGATTCCCGGACTGTCTGCGGGCTGGGTTTAGAAGGCGATTGGGCCAGATCCGGCCCCCAGACTTTAGTTTGCCTACCCATGAAGTAGATTCACTTAAAAGCTCTATGGCATGACCCAGTCTATCATGGGCAGGGAACATCCCTATGTGGAGGACCAATAGGTGGGCAAAGAGGTAAACAGCAGCCTGCACACAAAGGCGGTAGGAGGAGCTATTGGAGGTTCATGTGACCTCCTCCCTTCTCCCTCTTCCCTCCCATGACCACTACCAATATCTCCCTTCTCCTTCACTTGGTATATAGCAGGCACGTCCAACACCAATCTACTCACAGTATTAAAATACTGGCTGTGATCTACCCATTGTGATTGCCAGGCAAAGTTGTTGAGCGTTTTGGGGGTGAGGCAAAGTTGTTTTTAGGAAAGCCAAACTTGATGAGGTGGTTTTGGGGGGGGGGACGGTTGCTCAGGGTCACGCGATCAACCACGATCTACCATGGACACCACACAATCGACCGGTAGATCGCGACTGACCTGTTGGACATGCCTGGTATATAGTAATGCAGTCTATTCTTCTGTTCATACAAAGCAAAGATAATTTTATTATTGATACCCCAGTCCAGAGTGGCTAGGGAAACCCAGACAGATGGACAGGATATTATTGTTGTTGCTGCTGCTAGTGGATAAGCTTGTTGGAAACTGCATTTCATTTCATGAACATTTTTGCACATTGATCAAATCTTTGATTTCAAAGTATGCAGGTATGGCCCACATAGTGTAGCCGGTATGAGCTGAAACAGTGTGTCATAACAAATGGGAAGTGCATGTTGGAGCCGTAAGGACCTACCTTCAAATCCCTGTTTAGTCATGACTCCCTCCCTCTCCCCCAGCCAAAGATGTCTCACAAGGTTGTTGTGAGAATAACATGGGGGAAGAAATGTTCACTACTGATCTGCTTAGCAAAGGGGCAGAATGCAAGCATGACAAATAAACAACTGAACGCACAAATATAATGTCTGCATAACAACCATTTCGTTTGCAAAAATACGTGTGGACGGGTTTGTGTACTGTAACTTATCCACCAGCTACCATCCGAGAGGCCTCATCACTGGGGTATATTTTGTGTATGTTGCTGTGAGACAGAAATTGCAAGGCTACATCTTTGTACAATGATTACAGTAACAGTTGAATAAACATGCAACCCAATACTTCACATCTGGCATTTCATCTCTTCCAATGCTACTTCTGGATTCAGATATACTTGTCCTTAATGCTGTGCAAACTTTATGACTTACATTTTTATAGCAGTAGTAATGAAAATGGAACTTCTTGAAGTTAAAACGAACAAGAGGGGGGGGAAATCCCATACACTTAGCTGTGAATCAGACAATTATGACAACTTAAAACATTTTGCTTCTCCTATTTCAAAAAAGTGACATCTACAAAACATTTTAGCAATAATTCTACATATGAATGAAGCTTTTAAAATAACACTGCCTCATACCAGGGATGTAAAATTTGACTCCTCCAAGAGTAGCATTTTAACCTGAGGCATGGAAATATATCATTGATGCCAGTAATCAGGTACAATACAAACTCAGATTACCGCTAATTTGGGAATGCATATTTTCCCCTTTAAGTGTCTGTTCATTTTCAGTCAGGACCTCTCTGTAGGAGATCTTCAAATTAAAACACACACAGACCCTACTGGCGCACCATGAGCATTCAAAGTATTTGAATGTTACTCTTCCGAAGGGTAAATTGAGGCCAATTAGAACTTCATTGGCAGAGCAGTAAATTCATGACAAACTTGCCTCACCACCAGAGAATCATCATTACCCAAACTCTAGGTGTTGTCTTAGAACACGTCTCACACCTGTGCCAGTCTAATCCTCCATTAACCTTTCTTTCTCTCCCCACTCCTTCAGTTTATGTTTTCCATATAAAGCCCAAAGCAACCATTACCCATAATTCCTTGACAAATGCAGGTTACAAATCAAAATAGTGCTCAGAGAAAATTAGCGCCTTTTCTGGATATAGTCCTTCTGAAGGAGAGACACATACAGGCAAGTATCCTAAAAATAAAGTGCATAGGGATCACCAGAAAAAACTAACAAAAAAGGCCAACACTTTGAGCTAACCACAAATACAGATCAGCCAACTAACTTTCAATCAAAAGGCCACGACTGCTGGATTTAATGAATGAGAATAATACCAGAGTCAAGATTTACAATCAAAGGAAACGTTCTGTATTTTTAATTGCATCTGTCATGGTACAACTATCAACAGAAGTAGCCACCACACAACAAAAATTTCACAAAGGAAATGTTGACTGCTTGAGTTAAGAGTTGCTTTTCTTTTCAAGAGATTGATTTTATTATTTAACAACATATGAATTGCTAATGATTCAGAGTCAATTAGCCCTGGGTGGCACACCTACAACTCACAGGGTAGGATAAAAGTCTGAAACAGTCAGAACGCTTTAGCCCTGAGTCTCCAGAAGTGAAACTTTTGGAAGGAGCAAAACATTTGACGGACTAAAAAGCATCCATTAGATTTAAGAGGATCTACAGCAACCTCTTAATTAGTTGGGTCGCATTTTCTCCACTTCTTCTCCCTACCTCTACCATCAAAAAATAGCTACTGCCATCCCACTTTCTTTGCTCTGATGGTTATCACTTTAAAGACAATTTCAACCAGAAAATAAACTGGTACTAACTTTGAACTTCTGTCTTGAATGGTTCATGGGTGGCTGTCAAATTACCGTATACTCCAAACTCTGTCAAAGCTTTGAAATACAGCAATATCTCCGCTATAAATAAGCTTAGAATGCCACCAGAAGGTATTCTTTTATTATTATTATTATTCCACACGGTATCTAAAAACACTTACAGTGTTTTGATTTCAAAATCCTTGGAGAACAATTATGCTATTAGGGCCATAAGACTCTATTATAAAGTCCTCAAAAACATAGCATGGTTTCAATAAATCCTCAAACACTACAAAGCAGTTGCTCAGCTTGAAGAATGAAAACATGAGTTCATCCAATGAGAAAGAGTCAGGATATAAATTCTACTAACGCAGTCATCTTGCATTTCCCGAGAGTACTTCTCTTTTCCCCCCAGAATTATGGCAGTACCTTAAATCAAAGCTCAGCTACAATCTGAACACTGAATTGCCACAATATAAAAATACCAACTGAATTTTAATGTGTGTGTTTTTTAAAAAAATCTAAACTGTGTATAGCAGTTCTGTAATAGCAATTAAATAAAAATGCATGTTTGATATATTCGCTAAATTGCTGACCGACCCTTTTGCAAGTATGCTGTGGGAGTCCAATGAATCATAGAATTGTAGAGTGGAAGGGTAATTTAGTCCAACCCCCGAAATTTCAACTAAAGCATCCTTGACAGATGGCCATCCAACTTCTGCTTAAAAACCTCCAAGGAAGGAGAGTTCACCACCTTCTGAAAGAGTCCGCTCCACAGCTCTTACTATCAGAAGTTCTTCCTGATGTTTAGTTGGAATCTCCTTCCTTGTCAGTTGAATCCATTATTTCAAGGTCCTACTCCCTTGGGCGTAAGAGAAGACAAGCTTGCTCCATCTTCCATGTGATAGCTATTTAGACATTTGAATACGGCTATCATATCTCCTCTAAACATACTCAGATCTCTTCCACCTTAGCTCCTATGCTCTTTAACGTCTACATTAAGGCACTGGGAACTGTCATTCTGAGGGCACAATGTCACCAATATGCAGATGCCACCAAGTTTCTCCTCTTTTCATACCATCTGAATCATGTGAAGGTGTACAAGTTTTGGACCAGTGTCTGGAGCTAGTAGTGGGCTGGATGAAGGTTAACATACTGAAGCTGAAATCCAACCAGATGCAGGCATTGTTGGTGGGTGTTTCTTATGCCTGGGATTTGAGGTTGCACTTCCTCTTAAAGAACAGGTTCATTGCTTGTGGGTACTCCCTTATTGTACACTGTCACAGGAAAACCAGGTGGCATCAGCAGTAAGGAACGCCGATAACTTAAAATGCACTCTGTGTGGGGCCACCTCTGAAGTTGGTCTGAAAACTGCAGATATAATGCAGAACACAGCCTACAGGAGTGGTGAGCATTGCTTTCAATTAGGATCCTGTAGCACCACCTCCGTGGATGCCAATATGCTAAAAGGCCTTAAGAACTGCTGGGGAGACCTTCTTGCATTCCAGCTGCTAAGTGTAGCACAAGGGTCAGTAGCATGGGGAAGGTGCCCCTTCTGTGGAACTCTTCTGTAGAACTGAGGTACAACTAGCTCTCTCCTTATTGAATCTTAGGGAGCATATGAAGACACATCTTTTTAAATCGGGCCTAGGGCTTTCTGTGATTTTCAGACCAACTTCATAGGTGAAGTGCGTTCAAGTTATCAGCATTCCTCACCAGCAATGCCGCTTGGTTTTCTGTAACAATAAAACAATGCACAATCAGGGAGTACACATAATAAAGGAACCTGTTTTACAAAAATGTGTTATTTCATCATGCCTACATTGATAGTGCTGATTTGCTGTGCTGTGTTATGGTTGAAATTGTGAGCCACCTTGAAAGGACATTGAAAGCAGCATAAAGATTAAATAAATATATATTTTAAATAAAATATAATAATGAATTCACAGCTATATCTACAGTACCCTCAATGGCTCCCCTACCCAGATCTTTTTCTCAAGTTTTACAATTATTTTGGATTTGCTATTGGACAAATCTTACCTGGTTCAAGTTCTAATGGAAACTGCTCTCTTGTCAGGCAACTACAGAAAAATAATGCTACTGGGGGCGGTATTGGTTTGTTTTGCTTTCATTCTTGTTTCTATTATGTATTTTATGTTTTCGTCGCGTATTTTTAGGCTGTGAACCTGAGATCTTTGGATGAAGAGCAGTATACAAATTTAATGAATAATGATAATAAGAACAGATCCAAATGCACCACATGTAAAAGACCTGTTTCAAAAATTAATTTATAATACAGTTAGTTCTATGAGGGAGGGAAGGAATTTCAGGTACCGGGCTATAATATCTTAATCATATGAAGCCTCCTTTGTAGAAAACCTCTCAGTATTCTTCTTCAGGGAATGTAGCCACAACATAAAACAAATTTCTCCTCATTTCGTGATAAGAAACTACCATCACCCCATGGATCACTAAAAGATAACAAAAATGACGGAAGTATACCAGTGTTGGGAGGGGAAGCCAAGGGAAGAAGGAAAACTGTGGTGTCTGATACAAATCGAAAGAAGGGGAGGGGGGAATCCAGCAGCCGGAGGAAGGAGGCCTCGAAAGTTTCTGCCAACAGCAGCTGAGATGCTTCATCAGAAGCCTATTTTTCCAGACATTATGTTTCATTTGGCTTCAAGGGTCACATGACAGCTGCAAACTAACGCCTTAAGGTCTGTTTCTCCCTCTCTGTGACACTGACAGGCTGTGAGAGACTCCAACACCACAGAAAGAATTTTTTCCCCTTGTTTCCATTACATCATCCAACCAGTACTGGGGGGGGGGGAGAGGGAGGGGGTACACAGCTGGTGGCAGCTGCAATACCATCTGCTTTCCACTTACAGTGCATGCTAGTTTGCTCTGCAGATTCCTACTGATCCTTTCTGGGGAAGAGCCTGCGTTTCAAGACAAAACACCCCATTGTGCGAAACATATTTGCAATTGTGGAGGAATAAGTTGCTCTCTAATGCTCACAGAAAGATTCATCAGGTAAGGATTCCGCATCGCTTGGAAAGCCCAGCTGCACAAAAGACAGAAATCGCTAAACACTCAGTGATTAGGGGAGAATAAAGAGCACAGCAACAACCTGCCATCTGCTTTCCACAATGCGAGAAGCCAGAAAGGGGGGGAAACTCTGCAGTCAGCAATATTTTCTGAAAGGGAAGGGACTGAAGGAAAGGGAAAAGAAGCTTAAGTCTCCAAAGTCAAGAGATTAGCTGGAGCAACTCGGAAAGAACAAAAAGTAAAAACAACTTATCCCCTAGCTGGGATAAACATCAAATATATGTACGAAATACTGTCAGCACAACTGATAATCTATGGCAGCCCAACTTGGAAGAAAAGACTCTATGGTGCCTTAACTGAAACGATGGTGGAAGTTAGTGAACTTACAATAAACTGTATACAATAAAAGTGCTTTATCTACCCTTGAGCTCTTACAAATGCATTGCCAAATACAAGTTCAAGTTGGATTACATTTTTTAATGTGATGTACGTATTTTCAACACAAACAAGGACGCCACCTTATGAATTAATATTTCATGTTTCTTTTAAACACACAAAACTATCTGAAGGTATTTAAAGCTTTTGATGAAACCTTCATGATTAATATAAAGAAGCAATTTATCAGTTCTAAAAATCCTGTAATAGACACTTCCATAGAATTCTCAGCTCCATCAGGAAAAAGGAGAAAAAGCAAAACGATGCACACAAGTTTGATCTAATACACATTATGTAATATTTATAGTTTCTTTACAGCTCTGAATGGGCTTAGATTTTGCCACGCTTTTACAACAGATCAAACTACCACAACAGGAGTTTCTTCTCCTTTTAAAAATTATTGGTCAGTGCGGTCATTCTCCCTTCTGTTACGTCCTGATATAAAGCAGCAACGAAATGCCACTAATTTCATTAGCTCGCCCAATAATGATGGCTAGCACTTGCTTATTTCTTAAGAAGGTGGCCCTTTAATCTGTGCACATGAACAACTTTACATAATATTTATTGAATTGTTATCAAAATGGCTGGATCTATATGACTTACCATACATTTTGCCTTCATCAGACAATATGATTTTCCTCCTCCCACAAGGGGGATATATAGCTAGTGCCTCCTGAAAGCTCTGCTCAATATCTGGGCTCCAGACACCTTCTGCATCATTGTCAATTGGTTTATCTGCAGAATCACTCATTCTTTCAATGTCCTCGGCAGGGCTCTCGCTGCCGCTCCAGCTGCTGGGCTCAATGGTGATGGCTGGGTTCTCCAAGCCTTAGCCTGGAAGCTTTAAGAGAATAAATCTAAAAAGGGGGAAACAGCAAAGAGAAGAGTTTTAGGTTAATTTTCCTTGACTGGTTTTAGTAACCAGTACAACAGAGCCACAAAATGTTACTACAGAATTTAAAGACCGAGAACTAATGGAAAATAACCCCCAAGTTCTATTTCTCTGTGGAACCAGACTGAAATTGGCCAGTTTACTTTTGTCTGTATCTAACAAATAAATGGGTTAGAATATTTCATGGTGTATCTAATCTCACAGCAAGTGTAATATATTTATTACAAGACTGGAAGTTTGGAACAAATATGTTGGTTCCACTGACTTCATCCGAACAATAACTATAAGGGTTTCTAGAAGCTAAAGACTACATCTAAGGAAACTGTTCTATTTAAAAATGGCCATTATGCTATTTTAATTCACCTCAGGAGTTCTGGCACAGATGGAAAATCAGCACACTTCCCTTACTTGACCTATATGAATGGCACAGTTCGTGCCCGAAGAAGAAAAGGTGGCCAAGAATTTAAAAATAAATGGCACCTAAAGGAAAGGGTAACCAGGCCAGATTTTACACCTGTTTCAGAAAAGTGTTGGATATAGAACAAATTTGGATATAGAACAAAGTTTTTTTTTGGGGGGGGGGTTTAAATCTCACTTCCAGATGTGGAATCAAGGTAATAAGAAATAATCTAATATGACAGCACCTGCTAACTCCATTCCACTCACAGATAACATCAATGTTTCTCTTATATTTGTGGGAGATGTACTGCTGATATGAAGGTGTGCTCTAGGCAAAAGACTGTGGTATCAGGCTGAGTTTTTCACAGTGGTAAGCCCACTAAGGATGGTGAAGAAAGCATCAGGAATTAATTTGCCTCAACCTGTCAAAGCATAGCTGAATATCATTAAGGACAAAATGTACACTAGTGGACAAAGACTGGGTTAAAAGAAAAACCAACCTCCCAAAAACATTTGCTTCAATTTAAGCTTCCTTTAAAAAAAAAAAAATAATCCAGATGTCAGTACTAAGAGGTTTCTTCTTTTTTCAAAATAATAGGTAAATTAAGGAAAAATATGAGAGAATGAAAGTTCTGATTGAAGAAACTAATTTCTTTTAGAATCTTTGCATTCTATGAACTCAAGAGACTCTTCAGGCATAAGGACCGTAAGCAAAAATCAGATATTTAAATATTTGTTTCCAGGATTGTACTTTCTCAGATGGATATTATACAAAGGAGGTGAGAACTTACTATATTAGTATGGAACAAGCTGTTAGGGTTCTTTGAGCCACTGCATCTACACAAGTCACAGGGATCACATGTACAAACACCCCTGCACAGATGAACTGTATACTTCTGGGCCACCACATGGAAATCCATTCTCCTGAACTTTTAACAAATTCCACACAGAAATTCCACTTGTCTGTGAATACTGATTGAATACTGTTTAAAATTGTTTTCAGCTGTTTTTAACTTCTGTATGGGTTTTGTTGTTTGTTTGTTTGTTTTTATTGAAGGAATTCTGAGACCTAAGCCTTATACTGTGCTAGCTTGAGTATGAAGAAACTCTTTTTGGGAAAGCAGAAATTATATTACTTTTACTACACATACTGGCAAACTTTCTAGGTTCAAATTTTTTAATGGAAAAAAGGGTACCTAAAATATTTACTTTCACTTGACCATCCCAATACAAATCCCAAGCGCACATACAGGGATAGTGATATACCGAACACTGACGTGTGTACACACACAGGCATGCATGTGTATGTGCTGTACTCAAGTAAACTTGAGCAAACACCACACTCAAAACATACATCTAGCTGGATGGCTTCACTGGTTATGGACAAGATCTGCTTTGAACTGGTAGCAGATTGCTGAAAGTTTTAAAAACTGATATAAATCTGTCAAATATCTCACTGTTCAAAATCAACATTTCCAGGGAAGCTAACATATCCAGTCTCTGCCTTGTATTGCCTTGGCCTTTTCTGCAGGCACAAGAGGTTGCAAGCAGAGACATGCCTACTTTAGAGCAGACAGATATACATGCACCCCTTTCTTTACAGAGAATATGGTGCTCTCACTTCCACCTGCCACCATAGTAACTGTTAACTACAGTGGCTGTTATTTGTTGATAACGATCAGTGATTGGGCAATTCCCAATTTTTTGCAAGGTCTTTGCATTTTTTACAATCCTCCTTCAACAAGGACAGGAGATGACTTTGCCATCTGCATCATCTTTGTTTTGTCTTCAGTATTTTAATAATCTGGATTAATTCTTTGAAAATCCAATAAAGTAAGGCAAAGCAGCTTCCAAGAGCCACAATGTTGCTTATTCTTCTCAGCTTCTTTAGGTTCTTTTCTTACAGATCACTGTCAAATTTGGGGCATCATTCACAATCAGACTCATGCATGAAGGAAAACAATGTTTTTGTTAAAAATAATAATCCTCAAGTACAAATATATTAGAATTCGTATGTGAGTTGGGTCATCAAAAATACATGGTGTGTCTAATTGTAAATATTGCTTATTTAACCTTTTTTAAAAATAAATGCAGAGATGTAAGTCAAGCAATTTACACCTGGTTGCTTTATGTTCTCAGATTTCTCAGTGGAGAAAGCATTTCGTTCAGTTGATATACAGCTTCAATATACACAAATCAACATGTTTTATTGTCTGACCTTATCACTAAACGATGCATTCAATATCCAACACACAAGCCTATTTCTACAAATGCACTCTCATTAATAACACTCTGCACACATGCAAAACCTGTTTGCAAATAACCACGGCAAACAAGAATGGCCAGCCTTTGAACAAATTCAGAAAATCAGTATGTAATTATCCAACTGAGCCCAATTAGTGATATAAAATTATTTAGCATCTGTATTTGAGAAAGAAAACACAAGAATGCATTATAAAAAGGTAGCGCTGAACCTTTTATTTAAAAAACCAATTTAGTACATATGGAGCAATTTATCATTTACATTTCAAGTCTGTGATTTTGTTAAGATTCCTCAGCAGTTCAACCCACTGACTTTTGAAACCCAGGTCAGGAAGACCCCAATGGATGGAGCCTACTACAGCAGATGCAATTTTCCTCCCTGTCAACTGGATAAAGAAATTCAGGTTGCGAGCAAGTGATTCTACAACAACAGAATCACCCTAGTATATGGTTTTACCATGAAAGAAATCTCAATAAATACAGGTAGCTTGTAGTTGCCTTTTGAGAACTTGCGATTGCAGTAGAGTTGCACTACGTATCTGTTTAAAAAGAGTGCCTAGTAAAAACATAGTTTCGTTCCAAAAAAAAGCAAAAACAAAAAGAACTCCACACCATTTACTTCCTTTTTGCACAGTTAAAAAGGAGAAGTAAAAAATAATGAATCTAATTAACCGAGAAGATTTCCTCTTTCTGTCTTAATCCCTACTACTTGCTGAAAGAATGATGCCGCTGGAAAAACCACAAATCTAAGCAATGGAGTAGTATAGTGATAAAGAGCATGAGCAAATTTGTATACCCTTAATTCAAATTTCACTTGAGTCCCCCAGGTGTAATTTGGGCAGTCTGCCTCTGGATACTGGTGGCTGGAGCACAAGAGTGCTATCAAGTTCATACCCTACTTGTAGACATCTATCTGGCCACTGTGAGAACAGAATGCAGGATTAGACAGACCTTTGATCTGATCCAGCAGAGCTACTCTTGTGTTGTATTCTTAGCATTCCCCAATGCTAAAGTGAAGTCTTGTTCCCACAGTTTAGCTGACCACTTCCAAGTTTGATCCTAGCCAACTCTATTAAATCATGTCCAATACCAACACTGCACTCTCTTTGGCAATTTCTTCTTTAGCAAAGTTAAGGCGTGAAAATAAAGGATCCAACAATAAATTCTACTCGGAAATTTCCTTTTATAGTGATCTCAACCATCTTCCCATAGTCTTTGGCTTGAGTGCATGTCCACCCTGTCCAAAAAAATTAGAAGTCTCCTTTACTACTCATAGGCTCGTAGAACTGTAGAGCTGGAAGGGACCACGAGGGTCATTCTAGTCTAACCCCTGGCCAGGGGTGCCATCTATCCCTTAGGAATGTGGGTGCCTGCCGACGCAATTCGGATGTGTGACATCACACGCACATGCCTGTTGCGGTGGCCAGCGGCTGCTCCTCTTCTTCCTCCTCTCCATAGCCAGCGAGGCACTGTTTTCTGGGGGAGTTGGAGGCGGAGGCAGAGTCTGTCTGCCTCCATTTCTGAGCTCCTCCCTGAGGAAAAGTGTGCCTTGCTGGCTAGCTGCTTCTCTCTCAGAGGCAGCGCTGCTGCTACCTGCTGGCTTTTCTCACTGACTTTGTGGGTGCCCCACAATTATATTATTGTGGGTGCTGGAGTTGGCTCCTATGCCCCCTGCAATGCAGGAATCTTTTGCCCAATGTGGGGCTTGAACCCACAACCCCAGAGATTAAGAGCCTCATGCTCTACCAATTGTGCTAACACAATCTGATCTTATTTTTTTAAAGCCGTAACTTTTATAATTGCATATGATTTCACACAATTACTTTTTAATTCATCACCTTATTCATTAAAATAATCTGAAACAGCAAGGACCATGATTACCAGAAGTAAATGTGGCTTAATGTCAGGTTATTAATTAAAATAATATGAAATTAAAAAGAGCTCTGATTTCTAGATGTTGCCCTGGCATTTGAACTAGTGCCACTGGAAAGTTATATTAGCCTGTATTAGACAACAGTGTTCTTGCTAACCTGTTCCTTACAGACACACTCAGCCTCCCCCCCCCCCCAAGGTGCTATTAAGGATACAACCTAAGGCCTCAGGTTTTTTAGTCCTGTTTACCTAATTCCAGCATATCTGGCACACTGCCCACTTACTTGCTTTTAAATGGGGGCGGGGAGCTAGTTCTGCATTTAAGACATATTTTCTACCTGACTGTAAAAACTCGGGCAAATTGCAAGTCACGACACAAGCAAAAGTACAGCAGAACTCTTCTGCTGGAATAGTTGTGTGCTAAGTTTTGCAAAGAAAATAAGTCTTTCAAAAAGTATCCCATCACATGATCATTTCATGTGCAGCATAATTACCTAGTTCATGAGAAACAGTTTTAGAGCTGTGCTAAATTTTCACATTCATCTACACGGCAAAAAATGAGGCTCTCAATGAGTGTGAAAAGTCCTTTGAAGAAAACTCTCAGTAGACTTGTACTTTTCCGTGCCTTTTTGTGTAGCTTTGACATACTGCTGCATTACAGCACAATTGTAACCACATCTACTCAGAAGTAAGTCCAATTGAATTCAATGGGGCCCATTCCCAGGTAAGTGGAGTTGGGATTTCAGCCCAAATTCTATTTTGGGGCTTCTTTCTTTGCTATGTAATGCCAGCCAACAGGGATCATGCAGTGAATGTGATGATACCTCAATGCCGTGTAGACACCTAGATTTGGCAACATGACTACATAAGTGAGGACAAAGTCCTCAAATTGCTCAGCGGCTGAAAGGGAAGGAGGGAATACATATTGACTGTCAAGGCCATCAGGCCAGCATGCCTTTCTGGGCAGGCAAACTCCCTTTTTCAAAGGGAGCAAAGGGGGTTAATGAAAAGTGCCCTTCTGTTGTTGTTCAGTGCCAAAACTTGATATACTGGTTTGTTTGGTTTTTTTAAAAGACAACTACAAAAGCACAGTGAAGTGATTGTGTAGTTTTCAAAAGTCCTTGCTCAAAGAAGACTTGCAGCCCTTGTACTAACTCTCTCCTCCAACATTGCAATAAGAAGTGGCCTACATCTATACAGTGGTACCTTGGGTTAAATATTTAATTCATTCCAGAGGTCCGTTCTTAACCAGAAACTGTTCTTAACCTGAAGCACCACTTTAGCTAATGGGGCCTCCTGCTGCCGCCGCACCGCCAGAACACGATTTTTGTTCTCATCCTGAAGCAAAGGTCATAACCTGAGGTACTATTTCTGGGTTAGCAGAGTCTGTAAGCTGAAGCATCTGTAACCTGAAGAGTATGTAACCCGAGGTACCACTGTACTAGAAAACCTTAATGTGAGTTTTTCAAACCAATGTCTTTGGCTGGCACTCCATTCCTAACCTCCACATTTCAAGTGTAGATCGTATGAAATATTTTAATTAATAAATAAATATGGCCAATGGAACACTGACCAAGTCTGTAAAAGAATGCCAAAATTCATTAGGAAGGCCGCTTTGGAAGGGCAATATTGAAACACACAGGGGTTCTGGAAAATATAGTCACCAAGCTAAGGCAACACAGTGCTGTTGCATATCCTTCATTCATTCTCCGCTTACCTAAGTAAAAGGAAGTTACAGGTCTGCAATGGGCCCTTTTAACTGGAACACATGGTTTCAAACTGGGTAGGATTTAACTGGAAAAGCTAATCTACTGTTGCAGGCAATACCTGAATCTCAGCTGCAGGGAACTGCAAGTGGGGAGAGTGCTCCTGTGCTCAGACCCAGCTTCCAGACTTCCCACAGGCATCTAGCTGGCCACTGTAAGAACCAGATGCTGGACCAGATGGGCCTGATCCCACAGATCTCTCCTTGTGTTTTTAGATGCAGAAATTTCCTCTGTAGAAATGTTTAACCATATAGGGACAGAGTCCATTCTTCACAATTTTGCGCATCTGAAGTTGCAGCCATGAAACACCTGATTGTGGGTGGACCATTGCGTTCACATTCTATGCATGTTTACTAGAAAGTCAGCCCAAGTAAAACATCAGTGCCATTCACGTGTGCAAGTGTGTGCATGTGTATACACCAGCCCCCTACAACTGTCACCTTAACATTTGGCGTAATGCACCATAAAGCAATTTTTCATCCTCCAGCGCTGCTCTTTCCCCACTCCCATTTTCCATCATGGACCTATGTGCAGCTGCACATGTCCAAAAGCTGGACAGAGATTCAACTGGTGTTGCTGTTCCCAAAACATTCCCTGGCCAATTGCCATATGTTGCCTTCCCAAACATGTGCTCCGTTCTACACAGAGCCCTACCCTCCTGCCTTGTGACTCTCCAAACCAGCTATATCAAGCCCTTTGCACTTGGAAATAGCATTCTCTTTTTGGGCACCTTTTACTGTCTTTTCTTCAGAGTCTTCATATATGCCCCACAGGTACTAATGCAGCAGCTTGTGCTTCTGCCTGCCTTGGAAAAATGAATGGCAATAGCCGGCCCATTTTCATTAATGCCCATTGTACTTCTGCAATACAATGAGGAGCACAAATAGTAAGCAAGCACAGCCCATAAGCATCTTATCCAGTGTAGCTTCCTCATGTTGTATTGTTATGTGCCCAAGTGGCGATATGCCCAAGGTGGGCCTGACATGACCAGGAGTCTCTGCTAAAATTGTGCATGGGTTCACCAAGGCTGAGCCTGGGAATGTATTTTCAGTCTTAGCATTCAACTCCAGAATATATGATCTAAGAATGTATTAAAGTGCCCTGAGCAGGTGCATTTCGTCTGCCAGCAAAGGATTGGGATTCCAGATCTGAGGGTACTGTCTCCAAACAGAGTCGAGTCTTGGCATGCTTCTCTCTTTTTCTAGAAACAGAGCCCTGCCATGAGAAAGTTCTGCCCTGTGAAACAGACTAGGGAGGTGGAATACAGTGGTACCTCGGGTTACAGACGCTTCAGGTTACATACGCTTCAGGTTACAGACTCCGCTAAGCCAGAAATAGTACCTCAGGTTAAGAACTTTGCTTCAGGATGAGAACAGAAATCGCTGCAGCGGCGGCACAGCAGCAGTGGGCGGCCCCTTAACCTGGTACCTCAGTTTCAGGTTAAGGTAACCAACAGTTTCAGGTTAAGAACAGACCTCCAGAATAAATTAAGTTCTTAACCAGAGGTACTACTGTAGTTCCTGAGGGGCACAAGAAACATTTTGCATGAAACAAAAGGCTGCTTTTTGAGCAGGCAAGACCATAAGTAGACAGCCAGCAATAACACTCTAGCAAACAAAGGTACCACTTTCCCAGCACCTGGATAAGGCAAAGCACTTCGGGACAACATCCTAGATTCTGGTATAATGCAGGAAAGGCAAAGGGCAATGTGAAGAAAGGGCTTCGTGTGGCAACCCAAACTGTGGTTTGCCTATACATCTGAAAGTTCAAGCGGTGATTTAGGTTCCAAATGATGGTGACCGCAAACTGGTTTGGCATGATGTCTGAACTGAACCTGAACCAAGGCACTCTGAGCTACATCTCCCTAGCAAAACAGGCAAACCAGACTGTGCTGGCAGCAGCTGTCTACAAATCCCACTCTACGTTTTGCACATGGGTGGGAAAAGCCTTCCGGCAGCAGGTGCAAAGAGGTGCGAGAGCCCTGCCTTGCACTTGATAGCTATATAAGCCTTCTGGCAGCCAGCCAACCATGTGGGTCAGCCATCCTTTGAACCTGCCAGCTGTATTCAATATTTCAAAAACAGGTTGCTACAACAGCCCTTTGGCTAGTTATTTATTTCCACAACAATGGATAACCAAGGCAGACCTCTAGACACCCTCATTAAAAAGTGCAGTTGGAGGAAAAAAGAATAGGCTCAACCCACATCCTCAAAAATCCTTTATAAGGATGGCAAAGAGGTGAGTTTTTCAACATGCGCAGAAGGTCAAATTTCCCCCTCCCAGAAAACTAGAGAGAAATACCGTCTCACAGGAAACACCTTGCTCACACACAGTCCGCTCCTGGATGTGTAGCTTGGATATCATTGCTGGCAATCGATTTGCCATTTCGTTCTTTCTCACTCTTTTTCTCTCAACCTTTGTTTCCCTTGTAGGAAGATGCACAGATTGTTAGGAGAAGAGATAAAGTCACTTTCCACCAGCAGGCAGAAAAGTAGGATGTTGGGCTCTCAGAGGTTAGGGATATCATCTTCATAGCTGGGTCTGTGTATTATCTATGTGTTTATTATTTAATCAGCTACTTCTATCACTTATTTATATTGCCCCTCATGTTTCTTCCCCTCCCCCCGCCTTTACACGAATGTGCTCCCATATCTACAGAACATCATGGAACCCATTTTCAGACATACTTCCACAGCGATAACAATGACAGGACACTGTAGATTCTGGCAACCCTACATGAAAATGCCCTCAGACTGTTAGCTCCCACAACTTGAATCACATAATCAAAGAACTGTAGAGTTGGAAGGGACCACGATGATCATCTAGTCTGACCCCCCTGCAGTGCAGGAATCTTTCACTCAACATGGGGCTCGAACCCACAACCCCGAGAATAAGAGTCTCATGCTCTACCAGCTAAGCTATCCCTCAGGTTCCATTTGTTGTTGTACTGCTTTAAAAATATTTTAACTGTTTTAGCAGCATGCTTATAACCTGCCTTGAGACATATACCAAAGCTGTTTCATAAATTAATTCAATTACGAATTATAAACACAGATCTACACAAACCCCTGCCTTGCAGAGACATCTTAAAACCCCCGCATTGTGGTGATCTTTAGTTGCTATCCATTTTAAAACACATCCTACTCTATGACCAACAATGACATTTACCAAAACCAATATCATAGGTTATGTATTCAGCCTACATTTCCCTTGCAGTTATCGCTTGTCAGTGAAGCACCCTCTGTCACCAGTTCAGATTTATGTGGGCAGCCTTGTTTCATCTCCTCATTGCTTATGTAGTTTAGTCCTGTTTTTAAGGTATCAGTTTACTATAAAAATAACTCTGCTGGCATTCACCAGGATTGTGAAACCTTGGAGACTGAGATAGAGGAGACAACACAAAGCATACAAAATATGGTTGCAACAGAAAACAGTCAATAGGTGCCCAAAACAAATTTCTGCTAATAATAATTTTGTTTTTTGTTTCCTTTTATTTATGTCATCCTATTCTAAATATTCTGGGTTGCAATGTAATGTATGCCATTCATTCCAATGAGAATCTTGAATTACATCCAACTGAGGCCTGAATTTTATGGAAGCTTCTTCCCCACAGAGCTTCTCCTCATGGCTGTGCCATGAACGTAAATGTAATCCTGCAACAAATGTAAACCAAAGGCATGACACAGAGCAGCATCGTTCTGGGACCTTCACTCAAGAAACTACAAGGACTCTTTAGAAGAACTGCCTATGTATGATGAGAGTGAGTCAAAACAGTTTAGAAATTTCTGGAATGTTCTTTCTTAGAGCTATGGATGCTTTTAAATAAGATGAATCTTCTCTCACAGCACACAGAACTGAGTTGTATGACCTTTTTAAAGCCTCTTTTTTCTTCCTAATGTTTCAGGATTCAGTTGTCAGAAATCCCAAATTATATATTTCTAATATTTTTCATGATTTCCAAGGGAATCTGCTTTATGAGGTTTGTAACATTAAATATGCCTTCTACAGTGATACCTCGGGTTAAGTACTTAATTCGTTCCGGAGGTCCGTTCTTAACCTGAAACTGTTCTCAAGCTGAAGCACCACTTTAGCTAATGGGGCCTCCAGCTGCTGCCGCACTGCCAGAGCACGATTTCTGTTCTCATCCTGAAGCAAAGTTCTTAACCTGAAGCACTGTTTCTGGGTTAGCGGAGTCTGTAACCTGAAGCGTATGTAACCTGAAGCGTATGTAACCCGAGGTACCACTGTATGTGGCTAGGACAGGGTATGTAATTAGTGCCCCTGCCTCAGAGAATACTGGACAATTTAACAACCCCCCGTCCAGCTATTTGTATGTCCCAGTAAGCTGACTCTTCTATTGCTATTGCTGTACCTCCCGTTATTTTTGTGAGAAACAGATATACTGTAAGCCCATACCATCATATGCCTTGTGGAGAGACCTTTTTAATTGTTTTGGTTGTCTTATAGATGACTTACATTCAGTCACTTCATTTTTATCCCAAAATGCACATGCGTGTATTGAAAAACCATGATATTCAATGGCCCTCGGCTACTACTGCTCAGCTGCTTAAGCAGATGCTAGAATGTTATTTTATGAACACATCTTTTGTTCGCTGTTTAAGACTTCACACTCCCACACACTTTAAAAGTAGGCCTTTTTTTTTAAAAAAAAAGGTTCTTGCACATCTGCAGCTACCACTGAAAGTAGCAGACAATGAAAAACCTGGCCTAAGATCAAACTGATATCCAAAATTATTCCCACATTGGAGGCAAACTGCAACCCTTGCTTAAACCCAATTTTACAATACAATGATCAGTTATTTCCATTCAGTACTCTCTTCCTTATTATTTGAGATTGTGCAGTTACTGTGCCAATCCACAGCACTATACTGCACTGGAACTCTTAATGGAAACATGTGTTATATGTACAAGCATACTACTGGGAAAAGGGATTTGATTTTACAAACTCAAGTGTGTGATTTTTTAAAAAAATAAAACCTTTTTTTATACCTTGATGATTTGGCATCCACTATGGACCAGTAAATGCTTAATCTCAGCATCCTCCTCCCAGAAAGCTGCCTTTTGATTTTTAAGGAGTTTAGGCTTTTACAGTTGGCTCAGTATGGTTACGACGAGAATGATTTGTATCACGAAGTTTCCCAGGCCTGCTTTAAAGACTTTGCAGAGGCCCCTAAAATTCTGCTGGTCTTTTCCGTCTCTCATGAGATTTCTAACTAAGTATCTTGATACAGCCCCTTTACTATCAACATATTATGAATTTGTCACAATTAATTCTTGTAACTCTCATGGAACTAGTTCTATAATAGCCAGTATCCAGTATACTCACTATAATATTAGGTTTCAATATTAAATAATAATATCTTGGGCATTTTGGCATTTGAACAGCTCAAATAATTTGGCTTTTGGCTGTTTCCTTTTGGTGTCCGCCCTTATGTGGGTGAAGTGCTTTTTTTACGCTCTTGGGGGATTTTTGCAAATTAACACTTTTAATTTGTTTTGTTGTTTATATATTTTGTATTAGACTCCTTATGTGTGAAGTGATTCAAAAACTGAATGAATTACACTGAACTGAATTTTTTATCAATGACTTTCTCACCCATGAACTCACGCACACAAACCTTAGAAACACAAGTTCTACAATCAACTACTATTAATATAAACTGGGCGGGGGAGAGCGAGAGAAGTTAGGAAATGCTATTTCCAGCCATTTTGCCTTCATATCCTGGTCTATGACCCCATTGGGAGTTTCAATTGATTTTCAACACCAGGTGCTTCTTGCATAAAAATGAAACATTTTTAAAAATCCAGCTTATTTCTACTGTATAAATTACTATTTAGAATTGATGATCTGTTCCTTCAGTTCCATGGGCTTTGCCGCATCTAGGTATATTATTATTTTCTACTGTATCTCTAAGGTGCTCTGAATACCTTAATTGAAATTGTAGGGTTTTTAAAATGTATTTTAAATTGTCGTAACCCTCTCTGGGACCTTTGGCTGGGTAATAAAATAAGATAAAATATAATAATTCTTCAGATAAAATACAAACACTGTACAATAACATTTTATTCGCCTGCTTTTAAAATTAGATATCAGAATAAATGTGACGTTAATAATGACAAGGAATTTTTAAATGATGGCACACTGATCTGGTTCAGCCAAAATGTTAAACTATAGTTTAATCTAGCATGCATGACCCTTCAAGTTTGTGCATTCCGCCCTCCCCTCCTCTGGTGTGGCTTTTGTTTCTGCTATCAATCCATTATCATTTTGCCTCAGGGCCCAAAACTGTATTTAAGCTTAGCTATGGTTCAGGGAAACACACCAGAACCATAAACCATGTTTTGAAGTTGGTATGTTTTCTTAAACCATAGCTAAGACTCTTATGATGATTTATTACCCTCCCTTCACCCTAAGGTTCCAGGGCAGGTTACAATTTAAAATAAAACATTGAAACAGTTTAAAACAAATCATAATCAAAATAATACTGTGGGTCTTCTATATCTATATCTATCTATCTACACACAGAGAGCAAACTGAGTTGGTGGACTGCCATTAAAAATTGAGGGAAGCGAAAGTGCATGACCCTATAGCTCATCATGTAGCACTAAACCACATGCTAATACTGTTTCAGACTAAGGTCACTGTGTACCTACAATCTTACATTCAGAAACCAGCCAAGATAAAACAGGCTAAGTGTAGCTGATAGGATGCAATGGTTGGGTGGCCATCTGCCATGGATGCTTGAGTTGAGATTCCTGCATTGCAGGGGGTTGGACTGGTTGAGCCTTGGGATCCCTTCCAACTCTACAATTCTATGGTTCTATGTCCCAACAACCTTTCCTGCCCCTCCCACCAAGCTGCGCTCACTCATGAGACTCTTCTGCCTTCTGGGGTAATTGAGGTGCAGGGGCGGGTGCATCTGCTCCCATCAAGCCTGGTTCTAGATGACAAGACTGCAACCTTCTGCCCAGGCACCTGAGTAAAACCTTCTCCAGCCTCCACTGAGGCTTCTTGCTCCACAGGAAGGTCAGAGGAGGAAGCCAGCATCCTTGATCCCCCTTTGAAAGCGACTGACATGGAGGGGTTAAGGGGAGATTCCCACCTCCTCCAGCCCAGGTTTTCTTCCCCCATCAGAACCTGCCAACCTAAACCCAATCCCAGCAGCATTGTGGGGCTAGTGACATTAATGATTATTAATGGACTCTTGGGAACATCTGACGTTGTCCTTTTCAAACAATCTTCTCTTTAAAAGAAACAAACTCCTACATCTTCTGCTGATTGAATAGGCATGCAAACATTCACAGGCAAACGCAGATCCAAACTCCATTAGTTGGTTGTGTTTTTTCATGGAGTTTTTGGCTGAAGCAACTTTGGCACAGGATTTGAAACTATTTTTGGAAGCTTTGAAAAACATCCCAGGCCTCTGCTTTTTATTATTTAACACACAATATCTTTCTTTCTATATATCCAGCAAGACAATGCTATCCACTCAAGTCCAACTAACTTTCACGTTACTGCAGGGCAAAAAAGAAATCATGATTGAGTACAGCTGGGGGGGGGGGAGTCTTCAGAGAGCCTTGGTGCATTCAGAATAATTGAAGCCTTCCAGGTTCAAATCCCCAAGATTATTATGGAAAGGCAAACCTTTTAAAGCAAGTTCAAACTGCAGATTCTTTTCTTTTCTTTTCTTTTTTTATAATATTTATTAAAGTTTCGAGATATTACAAAAATAAGAGAAAAAAGTAAGAAAAAAGGAAAAAAGAAACAAAAATGAAAATACAAAGTAAAAACAGTTAAAAACAAATCAGTCTTTCCATATCTTATCTTTCATTTGCTTGTTTCCCTGACCCCCTCACACCTCCCTTTTTTGTATTCCAGTTCAGTTAGTTAATTCAGCAATTCCTTTCCC